CATAGTATAAAATCTGTCGTACTTCTCTCCAAAAATAGAAGATCCGGTCCCCCCCTCGAGCTCAGAGCTCATAAGTCGAGTTCGCCCTGCGTCTAAAACCTTAACTGCGTCACTTCGTTCTTCACTGCGTATCCTCGAAACCTCGTCTACTGTGTTTACTCGTTGATACCGTCTCGACGAACCTTTCGACTTCGGCTATTGTCGAAAAACTGCGTTGCACCTCGAACCGCGTCCTAGCTAAGTCCACCCTATCGAATCGTGTCTCTTCCCTCTACGATACATCGAAGAGCTCTGCCAAGCTTCGATCGTCCCTACCGACCCCCGCTAACTACCCACAGCCTACGAGTAGCTTCGACGACGTGTCGAAGCCACCTCGTACATTCCCTAGCATTCGTAGCCTTTTCTGAGGGCGTTTCTCATGTTCACTCGAACCGCGGGACACCTTGCTGCTAACTCCCCTCTCACTAAGACAATAACCCGCCTCTAGTCCACCTAGGTCGTACCCAGGTTAGGGGTTAGGGTTTCGTAGATCGCATCACCGGTACAAAATGGCAAACATATTTTTGGGTGTGAACGGTGCTTTGCACCTGTTTACACCCCCGTTCATATATGTGTAGGCACTTCATGCCTGCTATCCTGCCTATGCATTGTATATAAGTATTTTTAATGGAAATCATAAATGTCTCCTCTGATTCAAATACATTGTCATTGAACTCCCATTGAATTCCCGTGGCATTCCCATTGAAATTGTTGACTTTTGGGTATGTCGGGCAAGTGTTGCTGCCGGCCTGGGTCACATGGTTGTGCACTGGTGTGGGAATAGGACTTATGTAGGCATTGCGCACTGTAGGTAGCCTCATCGGTTTGTAACCTGATCCACCATTGATCCCTGTCCATCGAGGACATTGTCTGCCAGCAGTCTTTCCTGTGTTGTTCTCACAGAAATCCTGTGGCATTCTAACTCCATACTCCTGTAAGCTTCCTGTTGAGTTCCCATATGCTTCCCATTGAGTCCTATCAAATTCCTGTTGCAATTTGACTATACACTTTCATGAACTTCCCATTATGTGGGGGAGACCTCCACAGACCCCCCCTCCTGCTGCGCAGAGCCTTGGCAAGAGGATGATAAGCGCCATACTTCCCAAAACAGTAGGTGTTTCCTTATTGGGAGCACATGCATTCCCGTACTGTTATGCGGGGAAGACCCCCGTGGACCCCCCTCCCGCTGCATGGAGCCAAGGAGGGCGCTGTGCGCCGCATTTCCTGTTATAGCGCAACTGCTACGTGGAAAGACCTCCCGCTGCACGGGGCCCAAAGTAGAGGTGCTGCGCGCAAGCACACCAGCACTACGTGCACCAATACAGCGGTAACGCTCGCATGCTTACGCACGTGGCCAACGTGGCAGCCAGGTGGCTTTCACGTGAGAATCTTCAGCCACAATCTGGCATCATCCCACTATTCTTAGATTTGCAGCCGGCCAAACATGGCTATCATTTTGTCCAATATGGCCCTTCATAGTTTTCTAGGTGGAAGCGATGTTGAGAAATCCAAAAAATATCGAAAAGTCTTATAAACACTCAATCACCCACAGTAGGGGCTATTTGGAACATGGTAGAAGTCGGCTTGCGCGGTACTGCTTTGTGAAAAACTCTCCGAGAGAGGTTTTGACAGGTTATAAACATGAAGCACCCGCCCATCGACAGTGCCATATCTTCATTGGGTAGATGGGTTAATGCATACATCACAACCTTTGGGAAGCGCGCTGCATATGGATATGCGGAGCCGGCGTAGGTTGAAGGAGTTGTCGACTCTGCTCTCAGGAGACTAGCGCTGCACTCAAGAAGGCGTCGCGGTGACACAGGTCGTCTCCCCATCTGCGCACTCTGCTTGACAAATACGCCGAACGTTGGCGGGACTGCGCGGGTTTGGAACTTGGGATGGTGGCGAGCGCGTGCCGTCGTATTCAGCGGTGTCGGTAGTACCCAGCAGCATTTGCGTGGGCCCCTCTCTGTACGTTTCCTTACGCGTTTGACGGAGCGCGGACAAACACGATAAAAGTACCTTTATCGATCGTTCGCGCTTCGGGGCTTCAGACAAACTCTGACACGTTGCGTGTCGGGAATCGGCGTGGTCTAGGAGGGCGAGCACCGACGTGCGCAGGTGTAGGGCTCTGACATCAAGGCACGCAAGATGCAGTCGAGGCGTCCTGCGGATGCCCTATGCCTCCGCAGCGCTATCCGGCGGGCGCATAGGCGCATACCGGTTGCGGGATGTACGAACGACGGCGGGCGCAGAGCCAGCAGAGCAGGCCATCGCATTTGCATCCTAACAAGTGGTCGTGGGACGTCTCCACGACGGAATGGGGCCTGGCTGGCTTTCGCCGTGAGCTGCGAAAGCATCTCATTGATGCCGCATGCGTGTAACGTACCGAACGGCCAAAACACGGACGCGCTTGCGCATGATGCCCGTGGACTCTGAGCTTGAGCATAAAAAGCTGGACATCTCCGCGCCCAGCGCGGAGCCGCGCAGTCCGGGCTGACTTGAGGCGCATACATTCGCACCGACTGGGGTCGGGACGATCCCTGCGCTTTGTGGTCGATCGAGAAGGCGTAGGTTGTCCTGATCGTCGAAAGCTTATTGCATTGCGGTGCTCTCGGAAGCAGGCCCCTGCGTGAGACGTGAGACTGGCCGGCTCTGCGGGGTAACGGAGCAGCGGAGAGCTTATGTAGGCTTATTGATTCAGCCCGTGGACGTCCCTCGGTAATGGCAAGAGACCCTGACAGGAGGTGCGGAGCAGCGCAAGGACCGTGGGGCGTGACCCATGGACTGTGCGCATTCAGAGGAGACGATCGAGGGCTATTGAGTGGGGACGCCGCGGCGGTGAGCAGGATTGGGCGCGGAGGCACAGGGTTTGACGGAGCTGAAACCCGGGACGCACGGTAAACGCGCAGGGATACTGTGGTCGGAGGAAGATCACTGAGCTGCGCGCTCGGGAGGGGACGCGTTCCCGTCTGTGAAGCTGGGGTGTGCGAATAGAGCCAACGGTGTCGGCCTGGTTTGTGCGAGTGCGAGAGCCGCTGGCCGCATGATCGTGGGGGGCGCGCTGGGGCGATCGAGGATGTGTTCACATGTCGAGGCTTCTGGGTAGTGCGAGATGGCTGGCGGTGAGAATGAGGCTGTAAAACCGGGGTACACATCACGGCCTATCTATGGGCGCTACGTGAGGCGAAGTGGAGTGTACCGAGTGGGGCGGGCAGTGATGCCGTCCATGGCGAGCAGAGCCACGCATGCTCCAGAGGGGTCGCAGAGACAACGTCGGCGACGAGAGCATGGACGGCGCCGACGGCGGGGGCGGCGGACACGCAAAGGAGCGTGGGAGCGGGCGGCAGGGCGTTGCCAAGGTCCGTGACGGCAGAGATAGCGGCGTGCGCTTCTGTGCCAGTGGGGTGATGGCCGGGGTGGCGGGCGCGACGGGCGCGTTCTATCTCTGCCCAATCTAGGACGGCGCGCCCGAAAACAAACGTCGGTAGCCCGATATGGCATCCCCGGGCTGGTCCCGAGTGGAGCGCAGGACAAACACGCGTCAACATCTTCGTTTCTGTTATAGACGACGGTTGCCCATACCATTCGGGCACAACCATTCGCTAGCCTTTGCGCTATCCTCTTGTCACCATGATTCCACGCTCGAAACTCAGTCGCCGCGTCGCCACCGTCCGTCGTCTTGCTCGCGCTACGCATAGCAAGGCAGAGGGCACTCAAGATATCAATCCTAACGAGGTCCTCCGGCAGAAGGCCCGACGTGCTGCCAAGGCAGAGCGCGATGAGCGCATGGACATTACCACAGCGATGACCCCGGTCAAAGAGTGAGTCGTCCTTACTGTTTTCTACATTGTGCGTAGGGTCGGTGTTGGCTCGGCCTACACTTTTTCGCGGAGGCGCTCGCATGACGTCTCTAGTGCGTCGATCGCATAGCACATGGCCAAGAGAGAGGAGGACAATGCAGCCGCAGCATTATAGCGACCGTTCATGGTGATTACCCATGAAAAGGGGTCATCCGGGCTCTTACCAGACCGTACAACGACTGTCACCCTTGAACCAAGCTACGCTATATTTGTCCTTTTTTTTCGCCGGTGCTTAGGCACGCCATGTTTTCACGAGACATGCATTGCATGTTCTTGACTGCTATTCATTGTTCTGTGGTGTCCATCACGTGTGAGCTAGTTCTGACCGTGCATCTATTGATAGCTACCAAGGCGGTTTCACGCGTCCGACCGACCTTCGCCTGTCCAATTGGTGGCAGGGCGGCGCATGGCGCGACAAAAAGCGATACGAAATCCCGCCCGCGGCCGCCTACGAGCCGCACACCGTTTTCCTACTCGAGTCGCGCTACCCCGTCAAGCACGGTATCGGCCGCATCGACAGCATTGACCACTTTGTCGGTGTGTGCCGCGAGGGCGATCTTCCCGCAGTCCTCGCACGCCTGAACAGCCCGCGAGCGCCGGGTGAGGCGCGCCAGGCAATGGACAATGCCCGCTGGCCGTGGGCGCCGCAGAAGAAGATCCGCCCCGTGCGCTGGTGGGAGCACGGCGAGACCCCCGCGAGTGTGGAGGAGATGCTCGCGAAAGAGGACGAGGAGGTCGCGCAGCGCATGTACCCGCAACAGCAGCACAGTTCGTCGGCTGCCGCGCCGCGGCCTGCACACGGCCTGCAGGCGTCGCCTGCGCGCCCGGAGCTCGTCGCGACGGAGCTGCTGTCGAAGCTCGGGCCGTCGACGCAGCAGCGCATGTTCCACTTCAGCTTCCGCGCGTCCGCCGCGGCCGACGCGCACTCGCCGCCCGAGGGCCCGGGCTCGTTCAAGGCGCGCATGGACATTCCCGGATCGACGTGGGCGCGCCCGCACAAGCCGTCGCAGGACGCGGACGACAATGTCGTGCCGTCGTATTACGTCGAGCGCAAGCGCCAGCGGGACGCGGTCGCGGAGCGCAAGGAGGAGGAGGGCGGCCTGATGGCGGAGCTCAGCGCGGGCATCCTGAGCGAGGGTGTGGCCGCGAAGACGCGCGCCCGCGAGGAGAAGATTCCCGTCGAGGTGCGCGACCCGAAGACCGGGACGGTGCGCCATCCCAGCGGGTTTGAGCCGCCGACGCCCGAGACGCATTTCCACCCCGCGGCGGCCAAGACGCCCACGGAGGACCATCCGATGCTCGCGACGGTGAAGCAGCTGTGGGACGAGCGGCCCGCCAACCTGGATGCGCCGGAAGTGCCGGGTCCGAACCTGCGCGTGGAGCAAGAGTTCACGGAACGCATGGTCCAGCAGGGCGCAGACGCGGACGCGGACGCAGCGCGCGTGCTGGTGAACCATGCTCGCACGGAGCAGGGCCCGTCGGGCACTTTCGATGCGCTCTCTGGGAGCGGGTCGACGACACAGGCGCAGCGCACGAACATCCCGACGTCGTCGTGGGACACGCCGAAGCGCGCGGCGCGGTGGCAGCAGCACCCCGAGGACGTCGTGCCGACGTACTACATTGAGCGCAAGCGGCAGCGCAACTCGATCGCCGAGCGCAAGGAAGAGGAGGGCGGCCTGATGTCAGAGCTGAACGCGGGCATCCTCGGCGAGGGGCTCGCTGCGGACATGAAGCACCGCGAGGAGAAGATCCCCGTCGAGGTGAAGGATCCGGAGACGGGCACGGTGCGGCACCCGAGTGGCTTCGAGCCGCCGACGCCGGAGACGCACTTCCACCCCGCCGCGGCGAAGACGGCCACGGAGGACCACCCGATGATGAGCACGGTGAAGGTGCCGTGGACGGAGGTCCTGCACTTGAAGAACGGCGGAGGCAGCCGTGGGTTCCACAGCAGCGCGGCGGCGGGCGCGGTGGCGATGCCGCACGACGCGCTCGACTTCCTCGCGCTATCGCGGGCCCCGGAGCCCATCGTGGACGAAGCCCAGAACGAGCACGAAGACGAAGACGAAGATGCCAACGCCATCGGGGCGTATGAGCACGCAGACAGCGAGGTGCAGGCCGTGCGGCGGCAGTACCTGCCGACGCTGGGCGCGGAGCCGTTCTGGCGGCCGCTGCTGACGGCGACGTTCAGCACGCGGCCGCTGGCGATGAGCTTCGCGCGGCTGTCGCGCGGCCTCGCGCGCGGGACGCCGTTCTACACGACGGTGTCCAACGAGGACCGCAAGTGCCACTCGTCGTTCCCCACGCGGCTGCGGAACCTGCGGATGAAGCGCATGCAGGAGCTGACGTTCGACCTCGCGCGGCTCCTGCGGGGCGACCGCGGCGGGCTGATCGGCGTGCGCTTCGACCCGTCGCAGCGCGGGCGCGGGTACGACGGCGAGGGCTTCGACGACTTGCTCCCCGCGGAGAAGCGCAATGTGAAGATTGGCGTGGGCGAGTGGTACCAGCTGTCGGCGGAGGTCAAGGAGCGGTTCGTGGAGGGCGCGAGGGAGGCGGACCTCGCGGATTCTGTGGAGGTGTTTGGGCTCACCGAGCACGGTGCGCGCACTGACGGCAAGTCATGGCGCGTGCCGCCCTCCCGTACGGTTGTGAAGGACGAGCAGAACAACGCGGTGTTGATCCCCTAATAGTATGCCGTGCACGGACTCTACCTCTTTTAGCTCACGTACGTAGTCTTCTCTCATCTTGTGTACTCTTACCTGGATCTGCAATACTATGTCGCTATGACTGTAATACTCCCCAATTGGTGTGCCATCTACTCGAAAATGATTGATCGCGCTGCCGTGACGCTATTGGACGACACGGACTGCAAGGAACTCGACGAAGGTTGCGACCTCGAGAAATTCAAGCACGGACATTTACACATGTAGAAGGCTTTATATTATCCGCATCGAGAACTGGTATGTAAGGAGGGACGACGAAACAACAGAACACGCAAAAAGCCAACCGAACGAGGGACAGATAGACGGACATACGTCAGGGTATCACGAGATAGATAGCGTTTTTGCAGGCAAATGAACGTCCGGAGCATAGCACGACCCTCTACCGCCTGTTGGTGCCGCGGCCGTAGCCGACCTGAAGGTTGTCCAGCTCGGCCTCGAGTGACTTGATCGCGCTGTGCGCCAGCTCGAGGTCCTTGTTGAGGCGGTCGCGCTCCTGGATGAGCTGCACACAAGACATCAGCACCCGTAAACAAACAGAGGGTGAATGAAGACACGATACTTACGTGCTGCTCCCATTGCCTGAAGCGCGCCTCCTCGGCCTTGACCTGCTCCGTGAAGCGCTTGCGCAGCTGCTCCTCCTCTTCCTTGAACTTGGGGTTCTCGAACTTGCGCGGCTTGCTCTCGCCCGGCTTGCGCGTCTCCATCTGGCCCTGGCGGTAGTTCTCGTAGTGCAGGTCCTCTGTCGTCGAGATCAGGTCGAGCATGTGCGTGCGGATCAGCAGCGAGCGCAGCTTGCGGAAGTCGCAGTGGTTCTCGTTCTCAACTGCACGCGCGGGTCAAGTCAGTCTGTACGGGGGAACATTCCAGCGCTTGCGTACCTTCAGCAACACCCCAGAGATACTCGCGACCCTTGACGACGCGGCCATCCGCGGTGGTCACGTCCTCAGTCGAGCCAATGATGGAGAACGGCATAGCCTCGGACAGAATGCGCGCGTGCTCGGCGGCGGCCTCGTCGTCAGGCTCGATGGGCGGCTGGTAGATGCGGATGCCCTGAATTTGAATGACCTCCCGAATCTGCAAATTTTGACTTAAGCATGCTGAAGAATGAGGTTGTGTCCAAGCACGTACGCGCTGCTTGAACGTGAACAGGTCATTCTGAGTGAGCGTGTCAGCCTTGGCGACGACTGGGATGAGGTTGACACGGCTTCCAAGACGCTTCATGATCTCAATATCGAGGGGCTTGAGCCTGCGTTGCGTTTAGAAGCACGGTGTTAGGACGGCGCTGCACACGAGACTCGCTGGCACGTACGTGTGCCCTGTCGGGCGGATGAAGTACAGGCACGCGTGCACGCGGAGGTCAATCTTGTCCTTCCTCTGGGGCTGCTGCTCCTGGCGCATATACGCCTCATGCTGATCGTCAATGAAGTCGACGATGGGCGCCCAGGAGTCGCGGTTGTTGACGTAGTCGCCGAAACCTGGGGTGTCGATGACGGTGAGCTTCGTCTTGAACTGCTTCTCTTCAAGCTCGGCCTTGATGATCTCGACCTCGGTGAGCTTGTCGAGCTGCTTGTGGTGCCGGCGGCTGTAGCTCTTGGGCGGAGAGAGCTCGGTCGAGAAGAGCGTATTGACGAGGGTGGTCTTTCCAAGGCCAGACTCCCCTGCAGCCTCCGTAAGAGGTCTGTAGGCTAATTACCAGCCTTGCGCAGTGCTCACCAACGACCATCACGGTGAAGTGCGCCCCGCGCTTTGCGACAATCTTGTGTCGCTGTGAGAAATCGAGAATGTCAGACCGTCCTGGTGTCTGTTCGCTGTCGCTGCCCTCACCTGGTTGGGGAGGTTGGCAATGCCAATGCCGTCGGACGGGGGAGGAGGAAGAGAAGCCATGGATGCTTAAGCTCAAGGACGGAGGGACAGCACACAGAGGAAACGCACAACGTCTGCACAGATTCACTAGCGCTTCCTCTCGTCGCGTTGTATGGCATTATTTGTGATGTGGCGCATGTACCACTCTGACTGTTTCAAGTCCACACTTTCGATGCAACTCTAATGTGATTCCTTCAGCTCGCTGGGCTCGCCGTTAGCTATCGTCTACGGCGGTGACGGCGTGCACAACCTCGCTTAAAGCGAGCGTCTTAGACAGCGTCCACGCATCTGTAGAAGACGATCTTGAGGATATATCGCGATATACGGCACTGGTCCAGGTGCAATCGCCCGGCACGGTGAGGAATAGGTCGGAGTTGAGTATTGAGCAGAAGGCGCCACAAGGTGTTGAGCCTCTACTCTCGTCGACTTGCGCGTCGCTTCTTGTGTGATATGCTTACGAGTCAGGTCTGTGCATGGTGATCGAGAAGGATACAGTGAACGGAGTGCGTCATTTCTCAGTCCCGTGTACGGTCGAGCTAGTGGCCCTAAAACCTATTATTGGGCTAATGCTGATTACACTCATGTGCGATTCATATAGAGGTTCTCATACCGAACACACGAAGAGCAACGTCGAGTCACGCAGGGTAAAACGAGAAGTGGGTGCCATGTATCATGCGAGGCAAGCAACCGCGTTACACGACCAAGCCATACCACAAACTTCGCGCAGGTACCCTGGTCTACACTCCATCTGGCGGATTTATTATATTACAATAATGTATAAGCTTCCCTCTGATCTCGACGGCCATTTCCCGTGCTACACCACTTCGAAGTGAAACCTGGCCGAGGTAAGTCAACGGATTGTCTGTTGGTGCTTATAATTGAACTTACCCACCCATCCTAACTGCGTAGTCCGCCCGCCAACCACCGCGGACGGTAGGGCTCGGTGGGCTGGCTGACGGGTCGACGGTAGCCTGCCACGAGTGGGAGTGGCATGCCTGGTCTGCTTGCTCCAGGGGGTGCGACAGGCGTGGCGAATGCGACGGAGAGCAGGGCAAACAGCAGGAGGACGATGTTTTGTCCGCGCATGTTAACGACTTCCGAACGATTCTGGCTGGCCGCTGGAGGGCGGGATTCGCTGAACGCTCCCAGTGCTCAGGTCAATCTGCGAAATTTGAGCTTCTCAAGTTTCCAGAGGGTATAGTATAATCATTTCTCGCCACCAACTCCATGCAGCGTCCGGTCAGCGGAAGGCGGATGCATCGTCATCAGGTGCGGAAGTGCCTGCGGAAGTGATCGAGCTGCCCATAATTCGGGTTCTGGCGATTCGACGAGTGGATCTGTGTACAGCATTTTGTTTGCCCTTTTCCCGAATGGCCTGACATTCGGCTTGCAGAAAAGCGAAAATGTAATATGCACCCGCTGTGCGGGAAGCGGCTCACGAAGCGCTTCATCCTACGTCGCACTGCCAATTGGCGCCCGTACGGCCAGCAGCTGGCGCTGCTCGTGTGGCCACAATGGCACGGCTCTAGTTGTTCCTCGCTTTTGAGCTGGAAACTGAATCAGGTTGTGTGTGGTGCCATGATGGATCCAGACCATCATACGGTAGCTTTCTGTTTCCTCTACCCTATGTTCGACTCGACTTTGCCTAACACCATGGAAGTCTGATGGCAGGACCTCATATGTGAGCAGGCAAGTATGTGGTGTCGTTCCTACTGTACATTTGAGATTCAGGAGGTAGTGATGTGCATGTCTCGGCTCGAGGCCCTCAGGCCGGTTCAAGTCGGGCTTTGGGGCAGCCTATGGCGGCTTCACCGGATAATAAGTAAGACATGCAGCCGTATTTAGTGTAACTGTATAGTATTCATGTAAGTGTATTATCCCATGCATGCATGACAGATCTTCTAATGGCGGCAGCTCAGTGACCTTCCTCCGACCACAGTATCCCTGCGCTTTTACCGTGCCTGCATTCCGCGTCCCGGGTTTCACCTCTGTCGAACCCTGTGCCTCCGCGGCAAATTTTGCTCACCGCCACATCGTCCCCACTCAATAGCCTTCGATCGTCTCCTCTGAATGCGCACAGTCCATGGGATCACGCCCCACGGTCCCTACGCTGCTCCGCACCTCCTGTCAGGGCCTCTTGCCGTTACCGAGGGACGTCCACGGGCTGAATCAATAAGCCTACATAAGCTCTCCGCTGCTCCGTTACCCCGCAGAGCCCTCCAGTCTCACGCAGGGGCCTGCTTCCGAAAGCACCGCAATGCAATAAGCTTTCGACGATCAGGACAACCTACGCCTTCTCGATCGACCACAACGCGCAGGGATCGTCCCAACCCCAGTCGGTATGCGCCTCAAGTCAGCCCGGACTGCGCGGCTCCGCGCTGGGCGCGGAGGTATCCAGCTTTTTACGCTCAAGCTCAGAGTCCGCAGGCATCGTGCGCAAGCGCGTCCGTGTTTTGGCCGTCCGGTACGCTGCATGCATGCGGTACCAATGAGATGTCAGGTATGCACAACAAGAGCATCATCGCAGCTCACGACGAAAGCCAGCTAGGCCCCGTTCCGTCGTGGAGACGTCCCACGACCACTTGTTAGGATGCGAATGCGATGGCCCGCTCTGTCCGCTCTGCGCCCGCCGTCGTTCGTACATCCCGCAACCGTTATGCGCCTATGCGCCCGCCGGATAGCGCTGCGGAGGCATAGGGCATCCGCAGGACGCCTCGACTGCATCTTGCGTGCCTTGATGTCAGAGCCCTACACCTGCGCACGTCGGTGCTCGCCCTCCTAGACCACGCCACGATTCCTGACACGCAACGTGTCAAAGTTTGTCTGAAGCCCCGAAGCGCGAACGATCGATAAAGGTACTTCTATCGCGTTTGTCCGCGCTCCGTCAAACGCGTAAGGAAACGTACAGAGAGGGGCCCACGCAAATGCTGCTGGGTACTACCGACACCGCTGAATACGACGGCACGCGCTCGCCACCATCCCAAGTTCCAAACCCGCCCAGTCCCGCCAACGTTCAGCGTATTTGTCAAGCAGAGTGCGCAGATGGGGAGACGACCTGCGTCATCGCGACGCCTCTTTGGGTGCAGCGCTAGTCTCCTGAGGGCAGAGTAGACAACTCCTTCAACCTACGCCGGCTCCGCATATCCATATGCAGCGCGCTTCCCAAAGGTTGTGATGTATGCATACACCCATCTACCCAACGAAGTTATGGCACTGTCGGTGGGCGAGTACTCCATGTAAATCACCTGTCAAAAACTCTCGGAGAGTTTTGCACAGAACAGTACCGCGCAAGCCGACCTCTATCATGTAATTGTTCACGCTCCCGCATTGTATCGCGATGGCAGGCCTTGATCGCAACCGGGAGAAGGGCAGTGTTAATAACATCGTTAATGACATGGCAAAAACCGAAGGGTTGTTCCCGGAACAGTATTGCGCGGTGCAGTGCAAGAATGCTCGCCTTGTACTCGGGTAAACTCGGGCGAAGTCGACGAGACTCTAGCTTAGAGGCTCCTGGGGCTGTGCGCATTGGCCGTCATGTCACTTCCATTCTCTGCGGACAGACTTGTTATCTTCTTAGCATGGTCGACAATATGTCGACAATATGTGACATTGTATTGCCGCAGCATCCGTTTGGGCCATGGAGAGCAGGTCTATAAGACGAGTACAGTATTGTTCGCCTTTTGAAGCTCACCCTGTCATCTTCTCGATGCTCGGATACAGTAATCGTGATGAACCCATTGATAATGCTGTGTCCGGGCAAGCCGAGTAGAAGCCAATGATAAGATCCATATTTCTTCTTTAGGTGTACTTGTATACTTCACTTTGTACAATTCCCAAAACGGGAAGGTGAGTGTAGTTCAGTCGCGTTGCACAAGTGCGATGTTTGTCAGTTTATCACACCTGAAACGTGGGTTTGTATCCATGCAGACTATTGTTGCACAGACTGAAACAAGAAGTTCGCCTTCAACTCCAAAAATGCAGGCGACCATATGCCTTACTTCGAACAAGGGCGGCTTGAACAACATGTCACCTGTCGAATAGCAGCACGTGGGTTGCAAGGATACAGGTCCCAGGAGGCGATGATACTTGGGTGTCGGACATTATATAAAATGACCTGTACTCGCAGAGCACGATGTTATCTCACACCCTTCTTTCAGCTTGCCAGCCTAGATATTCTCCATCATCCAGACGTCTGACCCGACGGCGAGAAAGTCTACGATCCAATATCTAACTAGCAGATGCCCGTTGTGATGGATCTGCAAGCAGAAATATCGTTGATGGGCGCGTAAGCACATCAATTGTTGGTCCTGCGGTGACACTCATGATCTCAGCGCAAACTTAGCCCTGCTGACGCTGCTAAGCTACTCACTGCGATCAACAAGCTCCTCCAATCGCCTGCACCGGATGACGATGCAGCAGCAAGGATCGAAGAGTTCATCTCTTCTTTGCCACTTCAACTCAAGCCTTCTATGAGTGCGGTTTCCGCCGATATCGCCCAAGACGTTATCGATGTGCTGGACGGCGTGAGTGCTTCCCTCTCACAATCACCATTGTAGCCGCTAACGTGCTCCCCTCAAGGCGCTCTGGGCGAACTACTGGAGTCTGGACAGCAATGAACGCAGAATATGTTTGCGCACCCTGAAATACTTATGCGGACTCACGGGGATCTTGCCGCCATCTTGTGTCTTGCCCATCCCGAATTTGCGGAGCCAGCGGAAACGGCCAAACACTTGGGGAGGTTATGGTATTGTGTATCAATACCAGTTCTACGGGGCCCAGGTCGTAGCCATAAAGTGCCCACGTTATGATTCAGCGGCTTCTGCAGAAGTGCGGCGTGCTGCTGAAATGGTTGTGTCTGGTTCAACTTGATTGTGCTAGTTGACTCACCCGATGACAACAGGAATTCTTCAAAGAGGCGGTCGTCTGGAGGCACCTTCGTCATCCCAATGTTGTACCATTTCTTGGTATCAACAAAGAGGAAGACCACTTTGGTTTTTGTTTGATCAGTCCTTGGATGGCTCCAGGGCACCTCGAAGCATATTTATCCAAGAGGAAGCAGGATGCCGATCGGCCTAGACTCGTGAGTACTTGTCTCTCGGCTTCTCAAATATAACCCAACTGCATTGCTGCAGGTCGTCGAGATAGCACTGGGACTGAGACACCTGCACAGTTGCAACGTGACCCACAGTGATCTGAAGTCTGTGCGTGTTGTTGTGTAGATAACGGCGCAAGTCTTACTAACGGCTCTGTTGTTCCACTAGTATAATATTATCATCGACGTTGAACACCACGCCCTTCTTGCTGACTTTGGCATGTCAAAAGTCCAGTATAACGTAAATAGTGTTCGCCAAACGACCCTTGGGAATGATCCTCCGGAAGGCTCCCCGCGCTGGATGGCTCCTGAATTGCTCGACAAGGATCTGGACAATTGTGGCGAAGAAGCATGGCAAGGCCTAATTACTCCGGTTATCGACGTCTATGCCTTCGCCATGGTTGTTTACGAGGTATAGTGTCTCAACAAAACGACCTCTCAGTGAATGCTCATATACTTCAGATATTTTCGGGGCATATTCCATATTACAAGACTTCGGATCCACGTGTGCGGGACAAGATATATAAAGAGAGGGCAAGGCCTGATCGCCCACCCAATACCACGGATATGGGCCTCACCGATGCCGTTTGGGACCTGGTGACAAAGTGTTGGGCCCACAAAAGAGAAGACCGTCCGCATATGGGCTTCGTCGTATCTCAACTCTGCGACTACTACAATTTCTCTGTCAATACTGATGGTTCAATCTCGTAAGTATTGGATTACGGGCCGCTTTTTCTTTTCAAAATGAGACATCGTTTGGTCTTATTATCGTCCATGACGCAAGCACGCGGGTGAAACATGGAAAATCTTCCGGTCTGATAAGGCCTGAGGGAAGATACCTCAAGGAGGCTGTGCCAAGGAGAGCCTTGCGCGACTACCAAGTGGAGAGAAAGAATACATCCATCCGCTGGAACATGCCGGGCCCTTCGTTAGCAGACAGGATGAGAGCGCTGACTCTGGTGAGTCAGGATGTCCTTCGTCCAGTGCGAGATCGACGCTAACGGACATATTGACATTTACAGGTCGAAGAGTCCAGGTTTCCCGCACCTGTCGCGACCTTTTATGAACCGTCAGGATCACGAGGCATAGCGTTGACCACATGCAGGGACAGACTTCATTCACAATACGATGGAATGGAAGCCCCCTTCTATCTCAAGGATGGAATCAGTAGGATCTGTATCGACGTGAGTATGCGTGCAGTGAAAGCGGCTAGTATTGATAATTCACTTTTACTTAGTGGCCGTCACACCCAATGTCCGAACTTACGAAATACGACCCTGACAGCCACAGTACATACGATTCTGCCCACTACAGTAAATACCCTCTTACACTGAGAGACTTGGCCCATCATATCGCTGTAGTGATGAAGATCTTCATATACGTGAGCCAACTTACTATTAGACCATCCTCTCTGTCCTGATCTACGCGAGACAAGATGCACGGTTACCCCAGGCGATCATCCTTTGAAAGCCCCACTACCGGCCGATGGAGGCTAGGCGATGATCCCTCTTTCATCCAATTAAGCGACATCTACCTTGTCGCTGTCGATTATGTTGGACACATCATACGGCCCGTATTCGAGATTAAACGCAAGGATCGTTGGTAGTATACTTCATCCTCTCGACGTGTCCTGCCCACGCTATCTTCATCTAGTCTGCTTTCAAGTGACGATTTCTCGCTATCCATCCATGCCCCTCGTACCCTGAAATCGCAACTTTCCAATCACGCTGTTATACATCTTGCTGTCTACTGCTCAGTGCGTTCTGCTCTATCGTATACTTGTCATCTGCTATCATTGCTATCTACGCCAATGCTGTCTCCAGATATTTCTTACTGCTCGCTGTTATTTTTGCAATGGACATGGAAGTTGTTCTTGTTCTTTACTGGTTTCGACCCTCGTCGCTGTGCACATGACGGGATTACGCGCATAAACGTCTGCGCCTGCGGACATAGTACGGATGGCCTACTACACACCCTCAAGTGCCAAGTACGACATCGAGAGATATCGTGAGTCCCGCGCATAGCGCATACGCTAGAATGTAGGCGTTTCTTCAGAAACAACCTTGTTAGCTAATGAGTGCGTGGATGGTCTAATAGAATTGGTAAAAGCCGGCAGCGATACTCCATAGCTGGGCAGTGTCTTTGATATAACTGGCCATAATGACAAACTCTTATATGAGTTCACATAATGAAGACCGCGCGGGGACCTGTACACTGTCGGGAATAGACATTCAAATAGACATAGATACAATGCAAGTGAGAGTGATCATGACAACCCATGTGTCCCACATCCGGCCGACTACTGACCAGATGGCTTCTGCCAAGCTGGACGGCGTCCGTCCTCCGTTCCTGCCGCCATAGTCGCTGGTCTTCGGACTTCCAGGCGTGCCGACTGTACCCTCTCGCCACCATCCCAGTAGTGTCGCTCTTCGTACTTCATCTCCTTGAAGTTCCCATCTGCCAGCAACGGTCGTGGCCAATACTGCCATCCTTGGAAATCCCCGTGCATACTCTTGACCCCGCTGTCTGCTTTAGGTGGCGGGCTGACAGGAGGCTTCCAAATGGGGTGGAAGGAGGTCTGCACGGGCGCGGCCTGCTGTACATGAGGGGGCATCGGGAACGTATGTGGCTCCTTCGGCGCAGTAGCACGCTGGGGGGCAGCCTTTGCAGCTTGTGAGGCGATACTCATGCACTTGGGCTTCAGGAGAGTCTTAGCAGGCCATATTCCGTTAGTGTCTGTCGTTACCTGCAGAGGTTGACATATAGTAAGCCCACCTGCTGTATTCTAGAAGGGCCTGGGGCTTTGTCCTTTTTGTCGCTCTGCTGTGGAAGGCGGGCTTCGTTCTACATATGATTGACAATTATTCGGATGCATTTTCCAAGTAAACGAGTGCAACTTGATATTCACCTTCACGTTCTGAACGCCAGCCTCCTATGCAGTGTACACATTAGAATATGGCATGCGTATGGGAGAATGAAGAACATACCTCATCATCAGAGTCTTTCTCGTCATCCACCATCCGACCCATTTGGGCGTAGAATTGCTGGAGATCACCCGGATTCACGAAGATGAACGGGCCGTGCATGTTCACAGTAACCTTGCGTTCAGGCTTGCGGAACATTGTGAAGTAGTAGTAGTCGTTGTGTGAGGAGCTGGAGGTGCGATGTGAAGACTGCTGTCTCCAAATCATGACCTGTACTTTATATCTTCACTGCGGCAAGGTTCTGTCTGTATTCGTGGAGTACGGGCACTGCTAGAGAACCACATACCACTCGGTACAGCCTGCGGGCGTGGCTGATGAACGATGCAGCGCCATGCTCTTGCTAGGTTCCGAATGCCCATCTAAGTTCGTGTGGTTCACGATGCAGTGCGGGTGGTTCGGCAACCCCAATAGAGTCACTATGAGTCATTGACACCAGGCAACAGCTCGAAAATGTGCAGTGTCGCCTGCCGTCTCGGAGCAAGCTATCGCATTTTTATAGCGTGTGGTCGTGTTACGTTGAAGGAGATGTAAATAATCTTGTGCGGGATCTACACGTTCTGAGACGCTATGAGTCGCAAGCTCAGGCGCGCTTGTGGTCGCACATCAAACCTTCGAGCCCCGGGAGACTTCAAAGAAGCACGGGTTGAATTGTACTCCTATGCGCCGCTCACGCGGCGACAGGAGCTGTGCGAGGTGCGGTAGTTGAACTCGTTCTGGTCCCGACATGTATAGTCAGCGTGACAAATTACGCATAGCTTGTGCGATGTCAATGTCGCCTTGCGACTAAGTCCGGCCCTACATATCTGCTGAAGCGGTGCAATGTTGCTGCACGGATACCATTGCGCCCCAGGACGTTCGAGCAGAAGGTTGAGAACTTATCACATTTCGTCACTAACATTCGTCACGGCACGACATAGAATAGTCTTTGTGTATACGCTCAGCATGCCTTGAGAATCCCTGAGTGACTACGCTGAATAGTCCACCATGCGACGGTGGGAGCATCGAGAACAAGTTCTGTTTACTTTCGCACCTTGATACTGTGGTGTTGATCCACTACATCGTTCCATCGCAACGGGCACGTCGAACGATGCGCGTACAAGAGGAGGCCGGACGTCGGGCTATAGGGAGCGAGGAGTAGCAGACAAGAGTCGCGAACCGAAGGCACCGATACTGGCGCTGATTCGGCGACGGTACCCGGTACAAAGAGCGAGAGCGACAAGTCAAGGAAGAGACAATCAAGTTATATGTGTGACTTGTTGATTTGCTGCCGCCGGCAGCTCCAACGGATGCAGAATGCCAGACATTATTGCATTTAGATATCGGTAAGTAGAGTATGAGATGTCGTATGGCTTCACCGAAACTCAGGAGTCATAGGTGATGGGCCACACGGTCCACGTGACACGGTCATAACGCGTCGCGTCGTTGGAACAACGCGGCATTGTCCGGATGTGGCGGGCCCTTGTCTCATCGACTTGCGCTTTGACCCTTGCTTTCTTCTTGCTTTCAACCACCACCATCAAGCATGGACAATCAATTACCTTACCTCCCCTATATCAAGATCAACCTCGTCCAGAACGTGGACTTCATACAATGCGTCGAGTCGTTGCACATGCGCCTCCTCATGCAGCTCGGACGGCATGGCTACTTGCAGTTACACCACAGCTTACAACGACCCGCGAGCTCTATGCAACTTGTGCGAGAACAACGCCACGGAGAGATAGTATTCCGCCTTGACCCCCGCAGTGCTCCCGCTGCTGGAGATCTATCAAGCAGGAAACGCAAGTCGTCGCCCGATGTCATTGGCCCGCGCCACAGTATGCCATATGAACGCCACCGTGCGCGACGTCGCAAGCTCCTGTCTGATGATTGTGTGAGCAACATACCTACATTCTCTGGCCCCTTTCTGACCTCAAGGTTGTATTGTCTTTGCGTGCTGCGGCAACACGACCTTTCCGCCCTCGCCACACGTGAACGCCACACCTTATTGTCGGCATCAAGCCTCCTCCTGACCCACGCCGTCGCGCGTCCCGTCGCGCAAAGCCAGTGCCCGTTGCCGTTGCCGAAAGGAAGGCGTTCCTACGAAGATGGACACGGGTGCGCGCCACATGTGGCGCATTGACACCATATTACCCAGGCGTGCTGGAGACAAACTTCGCGTTCGGGTACATACCAGCGTGGAACCATTGCCAGGCACGGTGTTCACGTACCCGTGTGGATGTTATTTGCTAATCCGGAACACGCAGGGTATTGCGCCGGTGCTCTACGTGCAGCCAAGCATGGAGACGTGGACGACCATGCCAGAAGCGCCCGTTGCATTCCAATCGAACGTCGCGCTCGGACCCAATATCAATGAAGAAATGTCCAACGACCTCGAACGGCGGTCGCACATTGCAGCTAGCACGACTTTAACAAATCATCCGCAGCCCACTACTGACCACATTCAACTCGTCGCAGCTCACCAGGTAGGTTCTCACAGATGCATATCAGACGGCTACTCTCTCATATGCTTACTTCGCACCAGGTGGTCATAAGCCATTCCTCGCCACGCCATACAGTTACTTTGAGTGAACCCAATGCCGTACCAACTGCCCCCGAAGCTGGAGTACCGGCCGTATCAAAGACAGCCAACGCCGCGGACAGCTGGAATGCAAACTCGGGAGGGAATGTGAAGGCAGTCGAGAATCCGCGTGCCGCAGAGCGGGTTGACGGCCGGGGCACTTCAGCAGGGCTCGCCAACCAACGGGTTGGTCGCGGCGAAAGACCACAAAGCACCACGAGCGGGAAGGGCGCCGTCAGAAGGTCTATCATGCCAGAACTGATTGCGCCGAGGCCAAGCTATCTCTCGCATGATATAGCCTCTCTCCAAGAGGAAAGGAAAGAGCGAGCCTTGGCACGACGCGCGCGCATGGAGAGCCTATCAACGCATGAGCCTTACCAGCGCGCGGATGCCATGAGACGTCGTGCAAAAATGCAATCGACCCGGACCGTGAATGCAGAAACGGCTTTAGGCCCGCGGACAGATTTCTTCCGCCCACCCCTGCGCGACAAGGGTGTAGAAGGAGGTGTTACGAAGAAGAAGGCACCCAGGCCTATCCTTAAGAAGGAAGCAGGCAAAGCCAGCAAGGACCACGCGAAGATACCCAGACCACGCGTCCGGTGGAGTGATGAGTTCGAGACGAGCTCCGACCCGGGCCCCTCTAACAGCTCAAGCCGAGGTACGTCTTTTTTGAATGCCAGCCTAGCTCTTGATCCTGACAGTGTAAATCCCCAGCACCCCAACGCACAGACTCAGATGCTATGGTGGTTCCAAGGTCAATGCAGCGACCTCAGAAAGTAACGTTGAAGGCCTCGACCAGCACATCCGCTCGCCTTTCTAAGGACGACATGGATTCCATCCTGGATTTTAGCAAGATGAAATTGAGTGACAGCTAATGCGTCAGATGGGCGCGAGCAGCCCGGACGGTTGCCAGAGCCATGCACTCCCAGCCCTGTCGTGACCTTGCTGAGGATTCATGGTCGGATTTTGCCTGTCGGAATCCACCTCATGCGAGCAGCACCATAAGCAGAAGAGTCAAGATGCGCCTCATCGAGCAAAGAGCGAGCGACCGTGACAGATCAGCGGGAGTCTCGGCAATGTCCGCGTGCAATGCAAACCCAAATACAACCTCCTCTTATCCTCTAAATGCGCTTATACTTATCTTATCATTCTCTGTCTCTTTCTATGTAGACTTCACCGGAACACACAAACGGACACTCGAGAAAGCCATCGCCTATTCCAAGATATTCTTCTGAATACCCTTGTCATTGCTCCATCTGGATCGACATACCCCCTCACTAGATACCCCTTCTGATACCCTTCCTATACCGTCTGTTTTGATATCCCTTGCTCCACCTACGCTCTCATCCTTGACCTACACGGGCAAAGCATCTCGAGTTATGTTCGTCTCATCAATCGATTTTTTGGAATAGCTGGGATCGATAGATTGAGTGCAGTGGACAACGAAGTCGCTCGACATGCAGTGAGTGATGCAACTGTAAGGGCTGTATTGAGCCTACTTCTGCTTCGAAGACGTAGGCCAACCTTGTATAGGTGTCCTGCGACGCAGCGCGGTGCCCATGCGAGCTCGAGGCGATGATGACGCGTAGAGAATCTCACACGAACAATATAATGCAGCATGAGACACTGCCTGGGAGAATCCGAGACTCATCTTCTCCGTTGCTCTATGTATGGTTCAGGTACCGACCGAGGTGGTATTGTGACACACCTCAAGCATCTGCATCGTTGAGGGAGTCTGTACTCGGATCATCACGCTGTTTCTGCAAATCGCTCAGTCTACGCAAAACCCTTCCCACGTGCATTCAGCTGCAGCCTCTTGCCCAACGTCATTCTCGGTGCCAAGGTCAGTCCCGTCTTCGGAAAGCGTGTCGGAGACGTCCTCGTCCTCGGAGTCCGACTCAACTGAGGATAGGGAGGTCATCAACTCTGCATTACTGATATCGCCAGCGTCGTCAACTCGCATCATGTGCGGATCGAAGCGAGCCCCCAAATCGACATGGCTGCTGCCGCCGTTGTCGCCATCGCTGTCGTTGTCATCGCTGCCGTCATCGTCGCAATCCTCAGAAATCGGGAAACGCGGCAGCAAACGAAAGTCTTTAACTCGCGCATCATCACTCGCAGGCCGATGCGGATGCCATCACCCATGGTGGCTCAAGCCTCGTCCCCTGATCCGGACGCCGATGAGTTGCTCGGCCACTGCCACCCCTGAGCGTCGTCGTCCTGCTGGCCCTGCTGACACATTCCTCCACATTCGGCGCGATCGCGTAGAGCTAGCGCGCGACGCCGTCCGGCCGCGGCACCCTTGACCTGTCCCACTGCTCCAGATCGAGCGTCTTCAAACGGGGCGACGTGACCGGTGGCAGGGCCGCCAGCGGCCCCGACCGTTGAGCCACCTTCGGCAGCCACAGCGCCTCCAGCCAAGGCACAGCTGGAGGAACGCCGTGACGACGCGCGGATGCACCTTGGGCGCAGTGTGAGCGGCGGTCGCTTCGCCCCACGCGAGCTCGAGACGGCGGAGGCGCGGCCAGGGCGCTGCCAGCTCCATCAGCGTCTCTGAGTTCCACTGCTCAGGCGGCAGCCCGACGAGCGTGATCGAACCGTCTTCCATTGTCCGCAGCGACAGCAGAGGCCGAACGAAGTCTCTGGACACAGCGCGCGACGAGGGAAGCGACGGAGGCTCGACAGACATTCGCGCCATCCATCCTGCGATGCACCGCTCGTGACGGCGTTGTCTTGCCTCTCGAGAGACTCCAGGTCAGGCGATGAGACGCTGTTCACGAGCTGTGCTATGTGCCGTATTTCGCCGGCTGACGTGAGCGATATGAGGGTGAGGGATGGGAAGGCCCACGGGGATGTGCCCACGACCTCGCCCCGCGTGTATCCAAACTCGATAGACAGGTCCGTCAGGTGTTCAAGGCTGCTGAGCGTCGAGAACAGGCTGGTGTCCAGGAAATGGCAGTGCAGCGTCACAGCACGCAGGGTGCGGGACTTGCTTTGTTTCTCTGACAGCTTGTTGATTGCGGACCGGCCGTCATTGCTGCGCAAGTCACCGCCCCTTTGCGGACTTTGATGAGAGAATTTCTGGAGACAATAGAGACACGTGCATGTTTGCACTGCCAGGAACGTAGTTATGCATAAGTATGTTTGATGAGCAACTGTGTCGAAGCGTTGAACGCCAACTTCGGCTGTTTCCGAACCTCGATCAACACCGATCGTAGTTCTGCAAGTTCGCCGAGCGCCTACACCCAGTCAGTCGAACTTGGGCTCGAGCTTGAGCGCTTGAGCTTGAATACAGACCAGTGGACACGGCGACACGGCGGACGTTTAGCATGGAACTTTGCTGATTGATATGAACGCATTGGTCCACGAGATTGGGAAAGAATGCCCGCCTCGGAGATGTTGCCACAAACGTCCGGGTCTAGGCATGTGAGGCGTTCAGGTGAGGCGGTCGCCGGGCAACTGACCGCCTCCATTGATGGACACACTGAGCGGCTGTGAGGCAAACAAAGACGTCCGGGGGTAGCCCGCATCATTACGGGTGGGGAGGATCCATGATGGACTGATTAACGAGATGTCAAGGTGTCGCTCGGACAGTTCAGTATCGCAACTCAAGATAAGTGAACGGTCAGACCTCTGGCACTGACCCTGTTACCACCGCCTGCGAGCGCTGGTTGCCTCTAGCACGACCGCGGCTGTGATAGAGATACAGAATACAGATATACACAGGGTAAACACGCATGCCACCCCTTGCGTCGCCCGCCCCCGTGTGCAAACCACCTAAGAATTGGGGCGGTGTATGCGGATGACGGATGTTACGAGTACGGTTTGCCTTGTGCGGACCAGAGTAAGATGAAACCTACCTCGAGATGGAAACCTGGACACCGGGGACGACGATCACGGCGACCGGTAGGGTCGTAGCCACTCCAGTCTATGCTTCGACGTTGAGAGGACATCGCATCTGCCGCCCAAGGTTAATGCTTACAGAAAAGAAGACGCGTCGGCATCAGGAAGCTTCTGGGGTTCTGCCACCATGATGGAATGAGGGGAACTTTGTCCCAGACAAGGTTTGTACCTGGACACAGAAGGAACGCTGGTAGCTAAAGATGCGACGACAGGCGAGCCATTTGAAAATAGCTGGAGCTGAATCGGTGTGTGGGGTCGCCCGTCATGTTGTGTGGACGCAAGACCAGACCGAGGGGGTATGGCTCTGGCGAAAGGCATTCGCGGTCGCACCCAAAGAGTCAAACATTTCCTATAGCAGAAATGTCCGCCCGTCACGTTCAACGACAGGCCCCAGTTCGCCCAGCACGTAGAGAGCACCGATTGCGAACGCGCCAGCCCAAACTCGAATTCTCCCTCGCGGCGTTACGCAGGCCGTCACGAGAGCTGTGATGCACAGGCGCCTATCAAGACATTGATGGCATCGGCCTCGGTGTGTACGCTCCTCTACGTCAATAACGTCAAGCAAGGTTCGCGCCCGGGCATCGGGAGATAAGCCCAGGCACGCAGCGGATCCCGGTGCACATATGTGTGACGGTGCCTCCGCGCAGCGCGAAGCTCCGAGAGCGATCCCGATTAACGTCGCGCGGCGCAGGCGAGAAGCCAGATAAGAAGCACAGTAGCCCTGGCCGGAACGCACGGGCGAAATCGCAGAGGCGACAGCGACGCGCACAGCAGCGACGTGCACAGCAGCGACGTGCACAGCAGCGACGTGCACAGCAGCGACGCGGCCTGCGTTGGGACAAGTCGCCAAGAGGAAAGGGGCGAAATGCCCATGTGTGGAGCGTTGCGTGGCCTGGGACACCGAGCGAACTCCTATCGAAGCATGGCGCGATGATCCGCCCGGTCGTCAAGCGCGGAAGCCAGCTATCGCTGATCAGGGGACGGCGAAGAAACATCGACAGGATGCGGTATAAACGCCGGACAGACGTGCTTCGCGACGGTGTGGCTGAAGAAATGAGCATAGCGGCTGAAAGAGCTGCAGCTTGTGCCGATGGCTGCCTCCGTGTCAAATACTTGCTGTCGGCAGTCTGGATTCCTGAGCCGCATACACAGCTCGTATGACAGCGTCATGAAATAGCACAGCAAAACCAATGTTCATATACCTCCCTCGCAAAAAGTACAGATAGGCGGCATGGAGCATAACGGCGCTCGGCTCCTCGGGGTGACGAGCACTCATTCCTCAGAGGTTGTTCGCGGCAGCCATATAAAGAAATCTACGCCAATGCCTCAATGTCCGTCCGTATGTCGAGGTCTACCCCGTCTGCTTCCGCAAGCAATGGCACTTTGCCGAAGTGTATACTTGGCGAGGGGAGGTCTATCAATATTGGTTTTGCTGCAAGAGGATCTGCGCTGGACATGGAATGCTTTTGGGTCGTTCGCTTCGATCCAAGTTTGGTAAGCGGCGTGGCTTATATGTCTCTTTGACGTATGCTCTTCGGAAGAGTCGCTCTTCGATTGCGTCAAAGAATCGAAGCTCGTGGATGTTTGTATATATACAACCGACCCTTTTTTTGGCGGGAAGGAATCTCTTGCTTTGCCCTCGTACTGTCGTTTCCTCTAGAGGCATTCTGTCCAGCGGTCGAGACCAAAGGTTTCAATTGTAAAGGCCGACGACGCGACACTGGAAACGAGTGGCGCAATTCCGGCTCTTCTATAGCGTCAGTGCCTGACACAGCACTTGGATTACTGGGACAGAGCTAGGTTGACAAATGAATAGAAGATCGGACGGTGGCCTCGCCGGCAACTTCGCCGACTCGGGTAAGTTAATTTTGAGGCCGCTGTATGCGCCGATCTGTCAAGCTGATCGCGTGAAAACTGGACAGGGCCAGACGGACATGGTCCCCAAGGTGGGCAGCCAAATCACGCGAGACCAGGATACGGTGGTGCACGGCGGCGACACCTGACGACGCACCATCGATGATGGGCTGGAGAAGCGGGGTAGCTTGTGCCGTCAGACGGTGGGGACGCATGGAGATGCCTTCTGGGCTGGCGTAAAAATTCGGGGCCGGCGTCGGATGGATCGGGCAGCACCGCCCCTCGCGCCCCAGACCTCGCTCCGGTGCGCCTCGACACCGGAGCATGTCAGCGTCATCGCCCACCGCCGAACGCCAGTACTAGTGCGTCTTCTTGCCTATGCAGATGAAGGGGCCCACCGTGGGTGATCGTGTGCAGTGGGGGCGCAGCAGGGCGGGGCACCAAGAATGGCAGCCGGTTCCTGAGATCGGAACGTCGATCTGGACTTGCCCTGATCGGGAAGTCGAGCCATGAGCGATGGGCGCCACTTATGGGCGCCCGTCAGTGATTGGCTAGGAAGAAGTCCGCGGCAGCGGGACGGGTGACGGTCGATTACTTCGCACATGGCGTAAATTTGGCGAGGAGCATGTGCTGCCGCCGCCGCCATTGATAAGGACGTGTCCCCCTTCCCAAGCCCGCTCCCGGCATTCATCTCCCCCCCTCATACCCTCGTCCCTGGCTTGGTCTCTCAGCATCGTCCTAGACGAATAGAGTTATCGCCATGTTCAACGACGCCAGCATGGGAGGTGACCCTCGCCTCGAGCGCGAGGAGAACGGTCACGATTTCCTCGAGCCGGTCCACGACCACCGTAAGTACCTATGCCATCCTCATTACCTTCTCTCCTCTCAACTTGTCCTTCGTGCCTGTTTTCTGCTCCCGACACACCCTATCGCCCCCCTGACCTTAATCTCCAATTTCAAACACCCCGGCCGACCCATGCAGATGGAAAGGTCTCTTTCGAAGAGTACCTCGCGGCAGCACGGCGTCAGCGTGCGTTTGAAGAGGCTCAGCACGGCGGCGAGTCACCGGCGTCTGATACGGCCTCGTCGTCGACCAACGAGTGAGTCTTCATGACGACATCACACCCTCACTTCGTATTGACACACAGCGCAGGAAAAGCTCGAAAGGCGCCGAAGTCTCGGAGGCGGCTCTTACGGCAGACGAAAAGGAGAGGATCAACGCTCGCAGAGCGCTCAGATCCGCTTCTGTGAGTCGTGCTAAATGTTCAGTTGTGTGTCTCGCTCACAATCCTTCTAGTGGGCCGCCGTTTTCTACTTGATTACCACAGATATCCTTGGTCGTAAGTGTCATTTCCGATTCGGTCGCAAGCCATCCCTCACACCATATTTTCAGCCTTCAATGCGCCCTATGCGATTAGTCAAGTGGGATACGTCCCTGGCGTCATTCTTTACTTTATCGTATGTGCACCACCCTGCCCCAAAATTCTTTCTATTGACGTCACCCGTGCCTCGCGTTATCTGCGCGTCTGTTCTGGAATTAGATGGGTGTGGTCGCCTGCTATACCGGTCTTCTGCTGTGGTGGCTCTTCCTGAAGCTCGACTCGGACACCTTCCCCGTGAAGACGTATGCCGACCTCACGGAGCGCATCTACGGACGCACCGCGCGGCATATCGTCAGTGTACTGCAGAGCTTGCAGCTAATCATCAATGTCGGCACGATCTGTCTCAGTAATGGCCAGTCGCTCAGCCAGATTGCGAAGGGTAACGTGAGTTTATACTTCACATTGAGCTGAATGTGAATGGGGTCTAAAGTTTGTGTTTTCAGCTTTGCTTTGCTGTCTGCATCGTGATCTGGGCGATCGTTGGTATGTTCATTGGTCAGATCCGTACGCTTAAGGCCTACGGTTGGCTCGCGAACTCGTATGTTTGCGTTCCACTTCGCATTTCGATCGTCACTTATGTATATATGTATCCAGTGCTGTTTGGATCAACTTGGCGTAAGTAGCATGCGCGCATTGCTTTGCGCATACTCTGACTCTGGTTCCAGCATCATCTTTATCTCCATGGGCTTCATTGCGCACTCGCCCCCGAACTACAGCGCCGCGGAGAGCGCGTACGGTATCGGTATTGAGCCCATCGTCAAGTCGACGTTCGTTAGTCTGCCGATCGCCTCGAAGGTCAACGGTATCATGAACATGGTCTTCGGTAAGTCACTAAACGTTTACTACGCGTGTGAGCACGTCCTAATTCGCCTTTTTCACAGCATATGGTGGTGCCATGATCTTCCCTGAGATGCTCGCCGAGATGCGCCGCCCCTGGGACTTCTGGAAGGGCATGTGCTGCGCACAGCTGCTGATTTTTGTCGCATACCTGCTCTACGGTGCGCTCTGTTTGCATTGTTTCTCCGTCAGCGCGATCCCTAACCCAGCGCCACACAGGTCTCTTCGTGTACAGCTACCAGGGCCAGTACACGCTCGGTATCGCGTACCAGGGTGTTAGCAAGTACTCGTGGCAGACGGTCGGTAATGTGCTTGGTCTCGTCACCGGTATCATCGCTGCTGGTCTGTACGGCAACATCGGCATCAAGATCGCGTACTACAACATTGTCGAGGACATGCTTGGCGGCCCGTCCCTCATGTCGCGTACCGGCCACATCATTTGGGTTGGTGAGTACATACATGGTCGCGTGCTTGTAGCGTGCAGGGACTGATATGGTCGCAACGCAGGCATGGTCTTCCTGTATTGGGCTCTCGCCTTTATTGTCGGCGCGGCCATCCCGCAGGTGCAGACCATCTCCGGTCTCGTGGCGGCGATTTGCATCATGCAGTTCACGTATACGTTCCCGCCCGCGCTCATCTTCGGCTACTACTTCCTCAAGCATGGCCGTGACTCATCCACCGGGAAGATCAACTGGAAACGCGTATGTCTTTCCCCCCTTTTGCTTCCCTCTCTTTGCCCTCCCTATTTTCTCCCTTATTTGACTCCTCCACCCGTGCATCCCCATCCTTTCGTGCTCCTTCCGCATTCACTCCGGGTTCCCCCGGTTCCCCTCCCCTTTCTGTGCTCCTCCTCCTTATAGGCTTGCATGCTGATTGCTTGTGGGATTACAGGGCTTCTTCGGCGGTGAGACAAAGATGCTGCTGTTCAAGACGTTCAACTTCTTCCTCGCATGGGCTGCGCTCGCGATGGCATGCCTCGGCATGTACGGGTCCGGCACTGCGATCCAGGAGACATTCCAGACGGGCGCGGCGACGAGCTTCGGCTGCACGCCGCCCGTATAGACGGCGGCTTTCATTGTCCTTCCCCCCTCCCGTCGTCCTTTCCCGTCGCTCATTACAAATGCCTTTTCAACTCGTTTGGCAATGCGCTGTGTGGATGCGGCCTGGACGCTGCTTTAGTTAAACGTTGTACGGTGTTGATGTTCTTATGTGATGTGTGCGACGTGTGTGTAATCGGCCTGTATGTGTACTGACTAATATACAGTAATGACGCTGCAGCGCGCGAGCGGAGGCCAGGCTGCAGACGAGCTGAGTGGGCGTGTTGTAATGCTTGGATACTCGGCATTTTCTCTCTTGTGTGTTTTGTATTAGATGGGTATGAAAGTCGCTCTAGATCTCTTAAATCCCCACCCTTTCTGTGATATGAGTGCGAGGTTTTATGCCCACAGTGGTTGACGAGATGGAAGGATGGCTCCTTGACTCTTGACTACGGACTGCAACTGACATCTCTGAGGATCGAAAGAGGGACGAGGGCATGAATACAGCATCTGCTTTTCGATTACATTACACCAAGTCCACTCCGTAGTTTGGATTGTAAGAAAAGAGTCAATGCACAAGAGGAGCCGTCAACGTAAAGCCTTTATGCCACCAGACCGCCTACAATCCACCATGCCCCCGATACGTGCACGCATGTATGACCGGAATAGGGCTACGCCCTCAAGCGGATATAAAACTGTAATCGAAATAAGAATCAAAACCTGAAGTCTAAAGCCTAAAGCCCGAGGCGTGTGACCACCCCGAGACGCATGTGCGGGCGCGCGTCTGATATGTGATCTGGTCTGTCTCCGCGCATCCATCTGCTCCGCTTTCAGTGATCCTATCGTCCAGCAATCGACAGCAGCCCGGCGAATGGTTCGAAGCCCCAGGGCTGTGTCCTCGACCGCACATCGGTGCTGGCTGCCAGCGCGTCCTGGTGTACGGTACAGGGCGAACGTCTAGGAGCCCGGAATAGCCCTGCCTCGGACGTATGCCAGGACGATGCGATGATGTGGACCACTCCGAGATGGTACTTGGGGGCGCAGAAGCGATGCACGGAGGCGGGTTGGACGCTGCTGACAGAGTAGGACGCGATGCCCGAAGTGCTGGCTACTTCGATCTTTGCGTTGATACGCTCGCGGAGGACAGCGAGGGCGTCGCGCCTGCTCGTGGGCGTGGATAGCAGTGAGTAGCAATATGTATGTTAGATTTGCACAGAGTTAAATTGAACCTGGAGACCAGTAGCTGGCTTGTATGCGAGCAGTGACGAATGATAGCGTGAATGGCATCCGAAATGAACGGTCGAGAGGCCGTAGACCCTAAGGCCGAGATTTTTCCTGGCTGTCCTGCTCTGCAGGCAATGAATGTTCCGGGATCTCACTTGTATTGGCTGCAGTAACCTCTGACCTGCCGGCGTCCTCGTCCACAAGAGCTGCGAGCACACTCTGCGCCGCCAGGCCTGTGTCAGGCGAAGGCGGGAGTGCGATTGACCGTGCCAAGTCTGCTCGACCCCAGTGCCACACTACTGTATATGACTTGCCGAGACACAGGAGACACTGCAAGACGTACCTCATTGAAGCCCCGCAGACCACCCGCATCATGTCCTCATGCTTTATGTTGCTGATCCACATCCTTACTCTACCAGTAACGCAGGAGCTGCTTTATTTCTCCATGGTGCAAGTTGGCAAGAGCATTCAAGAAAGGTAGGAGAGGTCTCCGAGAGCCTGGGGTGTACAATCCATCACAATGTAAGGATGTCGCCTATGTCTACGCCCCCCCTGCTATGGTCAATATTAATAGCAGCGCCTCGCTTATGATTTGCTGACCTCTCGTCTTGTCCAGGGACCTCACCTCGGTGTTGCTCCCCAATGCGATCCCAACCTTTGTCAAGATATGGCCTCCTCGGACGCGACAGACTGTGCCGTGCGCGGAAAGCAATCAGCCGTTCAACAGGAAAATAGGCCGAGAGACACACAACAAAGGTGCATTCGCTGCCCGCTCGGGCCACAGGCCACATGTCACATGAGTCGCGTTGGTGCGTTGAAGTTCGCGTTGTGTGCCTCTCGCTCCTTTGTCCCAAACCACCACTCGTCGCCACTCACCGACAGCAACTTAACCCCCAACTCTGCCCAACCTCCCCTCACACACACACCCACACACACATGTAGCAACATGTTCTATCAAACGTCTGCACAGCGCGCGATGTCTGTATATGACATCGTGAACGAAGTCGTTAGCCACTTCTCTCCGAGCAGAGAACACAGCGCAGACCTCGCGCGTCTCGCCCTGGTCAACTTGACTTTCTCTGATATCGCTGTCAAATACCTATGGGAGGACGTAGACATCGTTCACGCTCTCCGCCTGTTCTCCGGCTTCGAAGTTGTGTCTGCTGACGACCCGACTTACGTGAGTGTCCAATTTTCTGTGGCTGGCGCAATGGTCTCGCAGACTGACTGGGAATTTGTCGGATAGCGCATCAGTGGCGACATATCTGCAAACGAGTGGGCTCGTTTCAAAAAGTGCGCCACTTATGTACGAAGACTGGAGGTTGACTTCGGGCCATCGATGTCCGGTGCTCAGGTTCTCAAGGACCTGCTAGATGCACATCCTGAGGGGCCTTTGTTCCCTCAACTACGCATCCTGCGCTGGCGTCGAGGCTCCCCCGCGGATACATCTGCTCAGCATCTCATTTCCCCGACTCTGCGCGCCTTTGAGTTCACTGGGGATCACATCGGCCCTGAAAGCGAGGATGAGGGTATCAAGGCCATCCTCCGCACCGTCTTCTCCACGGCGGGTGATTCACTTCAGGAGATGGCCATATTCCGTGATATCCATCCCGCCTCTCTCATGCCTGAGCTGTGGCCTGCCAGCCTACGCCAAGTCGACCTAAACTGCCCCTTCATCGATGCGGGCATGATCACGAGGCTCAGTCGCTTACGGTCGCTCACTCGCCTTTCGCTTGTATTTGGGCGGATAAACGGCCCACTCCGGAACATATCTGGCTTCAACGCTCTGGAGAAGCTCTACCTCTGCGGCAACCCGATGCAAGTCAACCAGATAATGGGCTGCATCACGTCGCCTGTCCTCCACGAGCTGGAAGTGTCAGGCTGCTCGCAGGAGAGCTCATCGGAATGGCGCGACTGCCTCGCCACAATTGCAAGCCAGTTCCGTTCGCTGCGCGACTTCAGGTGCGATCTGTATCTGAGATGGAACGATCCATCTTGCGCGTCATTCGGCGCGTTCAGCAAGCCCTTATTGGCGCTTCCCCTGCAGAACGTCGATATCGTGCTGGTGGGATCTGGGGTGCGGCTGTGGTCGATCGGGGACCTCGCGGTGATGGCAAGGACCTGGCGTGACCTACGCAGGTTCATATTCTCGTGGGGCCACGAAGCGGAGCCCCATGCACGCCCGATTTTGAACCCAGCGGCAATCCTGGAGTTCATCAAACGCTGCCCTCGATTGGAGGCCTTGTGGCTGCCGAAGGTAGACCTCCGGCAGAAGTACCTGAAGGACATCCCTTCAGTGGTCTCGTCTAGCCTAGTCGAGCTGGACGTCGAGTACTGGACCCACTCGGAGGTAGAAGATCCCGCGTACGCCGCGAAATGGCTGCATTCCATTGCACCGAACCTCGACCTCGAGGCGATGGGGGCAATGCGGTGTGCGGACTGGGATGAGGATTCCGACGTCGCCTCCGAGGACGCGGATCCTGTACACGATGCAGGGGACGACAGTGAAGGCGAAGGCGAGGCCGGGAACGATGACGACCGCGAGAATGAAAAGGATGCGCAAGGTGGTCCAAACGGCGACCAGAACGAGACTGACCACGATGCAAGTGAAACTGAGGTTGCTGACGATGATGCGAGCACCACCGAGGTTGACGACGACGATGTTGCGAGTTCCACGGACGTTGCTGACGAAGACGAGTCGACCTGGGCAGCAGTTATCCGCCACATAGCACATCTACAGAAGCGTTGAAGGCTTCTGGACAAGGCTGCCACAATCATTTAAAGAAGTGATGCCGCCACACAATATGTCCCGACGATCTAACCTCAGGCTGCGTCGCGCACAATTTCGGCACGTCTGTGTATGTCACTTTTCTGAGTGGGAGAGGATTTACTGAACTAACTGAAGGTATCACAGATAAATCATGACCATTCCGGTAGCCCTGCGTCATCCTTGGAAGCAGTATGGGCCTGGCACCGCGATGAAGGAGATGTTCCAGCTCAGCAACGAGCTTTGGTCACACATCGGCTGAATGGTGTGTCCTTTCACCCTCCGTTGTTCCCCGTCCTCTAATACAAATGCCTTCCGATTCCTTCTATCATGCAGCGCGTCAGACGTTCAATCGCCTCAACTCTTCATACGCACGGTCAACCTTCCGATCGGGTGTTCGGGACGTGGATCAAGGTCTACCAGGTTTTCATAGGAGACCCGACGCGACTTGAGACATACGGCATTTGTGGTTAATTAAAACAGCATGGAACCGTCGGAGGAGTACATTGCGGAAACAGAACAAGACAAGTCCTACCAGAGCACTGAGCGACCATCATCTCGGTTTGTAGACGCTACAAGCACTTGATCAGAGCAAGGCCAGTCACGACAAACTTCCCCTCGCAGATTATACCTCGGAGCAAGGTGGGGCAGAAGCTCACCGTCAATGGTGCAGATGGTGGGCGGCTAATCGGAGAGACAGGATCATGAGGTAGACACTTGCTGTAATCTCCATGATGGAGAGCTCGAAAGTCCGATCATAAATCATGGATCATCCGTCGGCGGGTTCAATGGAGACAATCGAGAAACAATTTAACGTTAGGTCAACCCCATCGGTTTGTAGCCTGATCATCCATTGATCCCTGTCCATCGAGAACGTTGCCTGCCGGCGGGGTTTCCGGCATCGTGTTCACATCCTAAAGTATACCGTATGAGTAAGACCTGTGACATGGTACTGACCACAGCGGAGATGGGGCCCGAGACACCCCAATTACACATCCCTAACTCGTGTTGTGCAGAATCCCCGGTCTATGTGACCGTATGGATAATTCAGTAACCGATGGAATGCGCCACGGGTACTTCAAGCCTCTACTCTTCAGATTGTATCCTCACGCGAGCCCGTGTATTTACTTTTGAGTTTTGGTCGCCTACAATGTTCATCTTCCAGTATGACCCCTTTCCTGAGGGACCTTATTGCGACGGATATGAAATTTTCAAATGGATCCTGTGTGGAAACCACAATTGAGCGGTATGCAACATGGCTGCACGCTGCAATCCCAACGGTCTCAGCCTGTTCGGCAAGAAGCCGTTCCACTTCACAATGAACGAGGTAGGTCTGAGCTGAGGACAACTCTATTGTATGTACACTACATGCGTTGCACAATACGTAGTACTACAACATTAGCAAGAGCGGTAATGTGACGACCATCGCGTTTCGATGATTTATCTATAATGACCTAATAAGTTGACCTAACAGTCGAGTCCGTAAGACATAGCGGCGTGATCGTGTACAGCGACCTTTGTTCCCTGGGGATACAATAGCAAGGAGGGGCCGTTAGGATGGGTAAAGTAGGCGAAGTCGCGAAGATGCGACATAAATGCGTGATAAAATACGAGGAGCTGTGCGTGAGCGGTCATTACGGATATCGGATATCATGATAGCAATGCAAAACGACAGCGAAAATGAGCTTATGCGTTGTTCGTCGGGTCCACCTCCTTCTCGACGTTCTTCTGCTCCACCGGCGGCTTCGTCGGCGCGTACTTCGAGCGGCGCCGGATCGCGGGCCCGAGCTTGTACAGCACGAAGGGGATCGGCCCGAGGAGCACCGCGATGCAGCCGAGCAGCGTCGACGCCCAGCGCGGGTCGAGCTTGTTGTACATCTGCGTCGCGAACAGCGGGAAGCCCGCGCCGAAGCATGACCGCGCGACGGTGTTCGCGGCGAGCGCGGACGCGGCGACGAAGAGATACGCGTCGATCATGTAGTTGAAGAGCGCGAGGAAGATCCACACGATGCTCCATCCGAGCGGGAAGCCCGAGATGAGCGGCGCCCAGAAGGAGATGCTCGGGTACGAGGTCCAGGCGAACCAGAAAAACGAGATGGCGAAGAGCGGCGCGGCGAGCATGCAGATCTCGAGTCGGAATTCGGGCGGGACGGGTTCGGGTGCGTAGCGGGCCTGCGCCTTGACATAGCGCGGGTTGAAGATCAGGAGGTAGGAGAACACGCCTGCGCAGCCGCCAATGAAGACGGGGAGGAACATGAGCCCGGAAATGCCCTCGTTGAAGTTATGGCCTTCGGTATATACGATCGGGTACGCCTCGAAGAGGATGTAGATGCAGCCGTACACGAACTGATAGATTGAATGAGTAAGAGTCAGGATTGATCAGAGTAAGCAGAGGCTTACACTCATGTACACGGTAATAGCAAGCAGCATTGGTTCTTTGAAGAGTATAAGGAAGGGCCGCGCTAACACACGCTTGACATGCTGCGAGAAGCCAAGCTTCTGGCGTTCGTATGGCGCGAAATACCTATCGTCACCCGTCTCTTTGCGCATCTTCTGGGCTCGGCGCACCATGATGATAGGTCTGGACAATGTAGCGCGTCAGATCGGCCAAAGCATGGTCAATGGAAAGATGGCTCACAGGAAAGTCTCCGGCAGCGTAAGGACGATCAAAATCAAGCATGCACCAGCGAAGAAGGTCAGGACCCAAAATACCCATCGCCAGTCAACGCCAGCCGTCGCCATGAAGCCGGAAACGATGGGGCCAAGTGTCGGGCCCGCGAAAGGCGCGAGAGTGAAGAAGGCGAGTGCCTCTCCACGAGTGCCTGCGTCCCAGATATCTGATATCAAGGCACTATGGCATAGTGAGTTACTTAGTTCAAACGCTGGAGTGACACTTGAACTTACCCGCTATTCGACAGTGGAGCCGCCGCAAAAGTCCCACCAAGGAAGCGGAATATGAGAATCGACGCGGTATTGGGCGAAAGAGCTGCGCCAACTTGGAAGCCCGTGTAGACAATGAAGGTGCCAATGAAGACGTATCGCCGGCCAAACTGTTCCGATAGCGGTCCCCACAAGAGCGGACCTACACAATAGCCGGCAACGAAGAGAGAGATCGTCAATGTCGCTACTTCTCCACCGAAGCTAAAGTGCTCCATCAGTTGTGGAACGATCCCTGTTGGTGCGGAACTCGCGAACGTTCTGTGTGCACCATTAGCGGTCCATATTATGATTCAGGGTAGGGAGAGCACATACGCATTGAGCAACACGACACCTGCTAGCATCGTAAGATACCATCTATACAGCCTTGACCACGAAAAGGGGTGGTCTGGGTCGTCTGGCGCAATGTGAATCTCGTACGGATCCCACGCCTTGTCTCCGGGCTGAGGACCAAACGCTTCGCGCTCAAATTCACGCTCCACATTGTCGCTATCCTCTTGGTTTTGTTCGGGTTCATCTACGATCGTTGAGGAATGGGAGCTTGTTTCGGTACGATCTTGGCGTGATTGTACCTCCTCTACCTTGGCGGAGTTCTTCGATGAACTTGCACCTGTGGCTGGAGAGACCGAAAGTGATGCAGAAGAATCTGCCGGGGCATGAACGGACGCCATAATGAAGAGGGAGGGAATAGACGACGGCCGGACTATAAGTTAGGATGGGAGAGTAGAGGAGATATAAGTACCCTACCTGCGTTTTGTAAGAGACCGTGCGGCTGGAGCGGGTGGGGACAGTCTGTGTGTCAGCATAAAGAGTAAGTCCAGCCAGGTTAGCCATGGGCACGTCACTCTGCGTGATCCGCGATCACAGCTGTCACGCATACGGAGTCGCAAGATGTGATCATATGTGACACGGACTTGTAATATCACGGAGTTGAGCCACTAACCGCTCCCTTCGGCTCCGATGTGGCTGTTCACGCCGCCAGGACGCGCATCCCGCCGCTCGCGCTGGATGGCCTTTGCATAAGCGCGTGACTAATCCCGCCTGCGGATACACCGGCGTTAGCACACAACGACAGCACGGCGTTCCTGAACGTTCTGCTCAGTTCGGGCCAAGCCCATAACGACCGGGAGCCGACTCCTTTCCTCAGCCGCAGGGCTCAAGATCTCCGTATCTTACTTTGTCAGGATCGAAGACGCATTCGGAGCGATAGAGGGTCCAAGCCATTAGGATGTTCATGGTATCAGTGTCAGATGTCTTGTGGATCACGTACGTCTTGTGCAGGCCTGAAAGCACTATCCCTTCGAACCAGTAGAGAAAGGGTGCAAGGACAATAGCTATTCGCAGTCGTGGGTGAAAAACAAGTGAAAAGTAGGATTTCTGGTAGGCGCTTGCTTCTCCGACGGGTTCGAAGTCTGATGCCCAGCCACAAGCGTGTCTCACACGTCACGCGTTATTCCCTCACGTTCCCTCACTGTGGATGTCTTCGGAGTATGCGTGTGTATAATTGCCGCTTTGACCGCGCCTACCTCTCCCCGTCTTTTGGTGATGCAATGGGCGAGATGGTCCTGGAATTTCGAGGGGTTTCATTGCAACGCACGCGGTGTCAGGTTCCGAGGTGCGATGCCGAGCTTCTGTTTCTACTTGGCCCTGACTTTGTGGACGCCAGCTGACTGTTGCCATAATTGGCATTGTAAATGAACGCTAACCATCTTCTTCAAGGGGCTTCGACGACGGAAGATGAATCACACCAATGAGATAATGATGGAAGTGTCAATCCAGCTCATCGTCCCAGCTGCACGTTTTCTGCGCTCCAGGTCAATCCAGCAGCGTCGTCTAGGGTGCGCCACATAGCTGGTAGTGCGCAATTCTCCGCCACAGAGTGGGATCCGGTTCTGTGTAAGCACCTGACTCAGAGAACAGATTAGGTCTGATGGGGCCGCACCCCAGACGCGCGCGTTGCGGCGCGGCGCGCAGGGACTCGCCCTCCCGCCTATCCCGATATCGAGCGATGCTAGCGGAACAAAGATAGTAGTGGTTGCTGCCAAGGGCCACGCCGAGAATCTATCGTCATTGAAGGTTCCTGTCCACACTCTGGATATTAACCTAGGAGCGACATTGTATTGCATTGCCCGTGCTCCTTGACTGGGTCGCACAGCGTGGTCTCGGCGACCCTCCAACTGCGCACTACGCGCAATCAGCGAGCGTGGAAATAGGACCCTTATAATGAGCGCGTGAGGGTGACGGCCCTGCCAACCACCTTGCACTCAACCGATACTTACTCACAAGACAACATTGCATCTTCGTGGTCACCACTCCCCGACATGCTACGCCATTGCCATTTGATCGACTTACCAAGTACCAGCTCAGCTAGTACTGATGGCTTCGAGGTAAGCGTCTGCCGCTCACATGTGAAGAGCTGTCGGTCCGATTCACTATTTCTCCTAGGAAATACGCACGGCTGCGAGGGTGAAGGTGAGCCGGCCTAGCACATGCGTTCGATGGTTGGTCAAAGATGTCATATGTCTCAGAGCGACGGCAGTGTCAGCGTTCGAGAGGAGTACCATTTTAGGAGGGTTCATTCTAATGGACGAGTTGACGAAGAAACGCGCACGTACAGAGTGGAGATGCGGAGGGTCGATGCATCCCTGGAGAAGCGAGCACAGTTTACCAACCTTACGGGGGCTAATACGGACGAGGACGGCAAGGTAAGGAAGGTCGGCGCGGCGAAGGTCGACGAGGCGAAGAGGGACGATCATTGGGTCAAGAAGCCTATTGAAGTCAAAGTGAATCATGATAGTATGAAGACTCCGAAAAAGGTTGCGAAGCTTGTCAAGCGCGGTGCGGTGAAGAAGGATGTCAGGTTCAAGAACGACGAGGGAGTCAGTAACGATGACAGGAACAAGAAGCGAGACGATGGTAAGAAGGGCGACAAGGATGTAGAGAAGAGGGGGAAGAACGTGAAGAAAGAGACTAGGAGGTGAATTGCATCTCTTGGGCACGTTGCTTTCTATCACCCCTCCTGTTTCAACTTGGGCTCATTTACCTCCTGGGCTAATATACTCTACATCCCTTTTATGAATATGTCCACATGGCTTGCACTACCGCGTCTTCTCACAGTACAACTATCTAAGTCATGAATGCAGCGGTCTGCTGTTGAAGTAGCAAACGAACGACAAGTGACGAGGAGAATATTTTATGGCAGCGTCGTGGTGGTAAGGGTATAAACGCTCAATGATGCGAGCTACCTCGCGTGCAACTATACGGTGTCACTATGATTCGATTACATCTATCCTACCGCAGTGTGCGCTCGCGTAAACCTCAAGTTCAAACACCTACATCTTGATCTACTACAGTCACATGGTCCCGATGGTGTTGCGCAACGTTCAAGACACGTTTGCGAACAGTATGAAAAGCAACTGAACGCTTCTGACACAAACCGCCTAGCCCTGCTTCGAGCGTTGATATCAAATTGCGTGACGAATTTGAAGGTATGAGCACGTGCTAAGAAACGCGCTTTCAAGGCCGTACGGCACAGTGCAGACATGATGTACTACTTCAAACTTGCTATCATCGAACGCTAGTAAGCAATTCCCTAGTTCTCTTGCTGACTGACAGAGAACCAACGGTTCGCGCTTCGTCCTGCATACGTCAGCCAGCACTCGTTTTCAGTATCTTCTCGGGTTGTCTTAGCGAGCACTCTGCATCAGCAAAACTCCAATTTTGCTGAAGCAACACCAAGTATGAACTCATAACCTGAGACTCAGCCAGATTCAGGCCATCCTGGTCAGACTCGGCCATTGTATGTCTAAAAAACGCACCTGAATGCCTCACAACTTGAGGCTGTACTATTTCCGCCCGCCGTCGCATACGAGCTATAAGGCGTGGTCGCTTGACACTCAGGAGTTTTCACTGCATGCTGAGTGTGCGCATAAGGGCTACGCTATGCTATGCAGTGGATGTGGTGAATGCTAGTGGTGAAACTTGGTAAGTGATCAACCTTCTGCTCGAACGTCTATTGCACGCCTAGCGTGCAGTAGTGTTAGTGAAGCACTGCTCTTCCATTCCGTAGCGTGGATCATATACCAAGGTGCACTGCACCGCTCCAGCAGATATGTAGGGCCGGACTTGGTCGCAAGGTGACATTGACATCACACAAGCTATGCGTAATTTGTCACGCTGACTATACATGTCGGGACCAGAGTGAGATTCAACTACCGCACCTCGCACAGCTCCTGTCGCCGCGTAAGCGGCGCATAGGAGTACAATTCAACCCGTGCTTCTTTGAAGTCGCTCGAGGCTCGAAGGTTTGATGTGCGACCACAAGCGCGCCTGAGCTTGCGACTCATAGCGTCTCAGAACGTGTAGATCCCGCACAAGATTATCTCCATCTCCTTCAACGTAACACGACCACACACTATAAAACGGTGATAGCTTGCTCCGAGACGGCAGGCGACACTGCACATTTTCGAGCTGTTGCCTGGTGTCAACGAGTCATAGTGACTCTATTGGGGTTGCCGAACCACCCGCACTGCATCGTGGACCACACGGACTTAGATGGGCATTCGGAACCTAGCAAGAGCATAGCGCTGCATCGTTCATCAACCACGCCCGCAGGCTGTACCGAGTGGTATGTGGTTCTCTAGCAGTGCCCGTACTCCACGAATATAGACAGAACCTTGCCGCAGTGAGGATATAAAGTACAGGTTATGAAATGGAGACAGCAGTCTTCACATCGCACCTCCAGCTCCTCACACAACGACTACTACTACTTCACAATGTTCCGCAAGCCTGAACGCAAGGTTACTGTGAACATGCACGGCCCGTTCATCTTCGTGAATCCGGGTGATCTCCAGCAATTCTACGCCCAAATGGGTCGGATGGTGGATGACGAGAAAGACTCTGATGATGAGGTATGTTCTTCATTCTCCCATACGCATGCCATATTCCGATGTGCACACTTCATAGGAGGCTGACATTCAGAACGTGAAGGTGAATCTCAAATTGCACCCGTTCACGTGGCAAACGTATCCGAATAACTGTCAATCATCTTTAGAATGAGGCCCCGCTTCCAAAGCAGAACGACAAAAAGGACAAGGCCACAGGTCATTGTAGAATACAGCAGGTGGGCTCACTATACGTCAACCCTTGGAGGTAACGACAGACACTAACCACATATGGCTTGCTAAGGCTTTTGCGAAGCCCAAGTTCATGAGTATCGCCTCGCAAGCTGCAAAGACTGTCCCTCAGCGTGCTACGGCGCCGAAGGAGCCACACACGTTTCCGATGCCCCCTCATGTACAGCAGGCCGCGCCCGTGCAGACCGCCTTCTACCCCATTTGGAAGCCTCCTGTCAGCCCGCCACCCAAAGCAGACAACGGGGCTAAGAGTATGCACGGGGATTTCCAAGGATGGCAGTATTGGCCACGACCGTTGTTGGCAGATGGGAACTTCAAGGAGATGAAGTACGAAGAGCGACACTACTGGGATGGCGGCGAGAGGGTACAGTCGGCACGCGTGGAAGTCCGGAGGCCAGCGACTATGGCGGCAGGAACGGAGGACGGGCGCCGTTCAGCTTGGCAGCAGCCACCCTGGAAGTAGTCGGCCGGACGTGGGACATACGGGTTCCAGGAGAGTCGTGGGTTCAGGCGAATCCAGGGTCTAAGAAGTGCATGTTTATGTGGACGGTGATGATCGATCTTATTCATTTTCATAGTATCAATGTCTATCTTAGCGTCTATTCCCCACAGTAATATACAGATCCCCGCGCGGTCTTCGTTACGTTAACTCATAGAAGACTTTGTCATCAATATATGGACAGTCATACCAAAGACACTGCACAGTTATGGAGTACCACTGCCGGCTTTTACCAATTCTATTAGACCATCCACGCACTCGTCAGCCAACTGGTGCTGTTGCCGAGGAAATACATACACCTTAGCGTTTGCATAGTGCGGCAAGACTCATGGTCTCTCTCGATGCCGTACATGGCGCTCGATGGCATGTAGTAGGCCATCCGTATGTCAAATATTGTGCGTCCGCAGAAGGAAGATTATGTACGTAATCCCGCTATGTAGTATGTACACAGCGATGAGGATCGAACCCAGTAAAGGAAGACATATACTTTGTAGTGTCCGTTGAAAACATGACAGCAAGCAGTAAGAAATATCTGGAGACAGCATTGGTGTAGATAGCAAGGACAGCAGGTAACAAGTGAGCGATGTATCAGAACGCAGTAGCAGTAAACAGTAAGATGTATAACATGGTGATTGGCAAGTAGCAATTACAGGGTACGAGGGGCATGGATGGACAGCGAGAAATTGTCACTTGAGAGCGGATGAAGATATAGCGGCCCGCAGGACACGTCGAGAGCATGAAGTACACTACCAACGAGCCTTGCGTCTAAACTCAAATATGGGCCGTATGATGGATCCAACATAGTCGACAGCGATGAGGTAGATGTCGCTTAATTTGATATCGTAATCATCGTCGCCCAGCTTCCATCGGAATGAATCCTGGGCGGTGGCGTCCCCTTCATGCAATTCATTGGGTGTCAACTTTAACTATCATCCCACGGAGATCAGCACAGCGGAGATGTCTGGATAGCGAGTTGGCTCACGTGTATGAACATGTCCATTTGCGCAGATATATCATACGCCAACTCCCTCAGCGTAAGAACGCCGTTGTCGAAGAAGGTAGCGTCGTATTCCTTTTTCCAAATTGGGTATGTCGGCCACTGAATACAAGCAGAACATCAATACTATCCGCTTCCACTGCGTGCACACGTACGTCGATATAAAGCGTACTGATCCCGGCCTTGAGATAAAAGGCGGTGTCAATCCCCTTGTATTCTGAATGATGTCTTCGCCTGCATGTGTGCAAACCTATGCCTCGTGATCCTGACGGTTCATAAAAGGTCGCGACAGGTGCGGGAAAATTGGCCTCTTCCGCCTGTAAACGTCAGTATGTCCGTGAGCGTCGATCTCGCACTGGACGAAGGACATCCTGACTCACCAGAGTCAGCGCTCTCATCCTGTCTGCTAACGAAGGGCCAGGCATGTTCCAGCGGATGGCTGTATTCTTTCTCTCCACCTGGTAGTCGTGCAAGGCTCTTCGTGGTACAGCCTTCTTAAGGTATCTTCCCTGACGTCCAATCAGACCGAAGGACGTTCCATGTTGCACCCGCGTGCTTGCGTCATAGACGATAATAAGAACAAACGACGTCTCTGATTTTTTCAAAAAAAAGGGTAGTCCGTAATCCAATACTTACGATATTGAGCCATCACTGTTCACAGAAAAATTGTAGTAGTCGCAGAGTTGAGATACAACGAAGCCCATATGCGGACGGTCTTCTCTTTCGTGGGCCCAACACTTTGTCACCAGGTCCCAAACGGCATCGGTAAGCCCCATATCCGTGGTATTTTCTGGACGATCAGGTCTTTTCTTTTCTTCATACACCTTTTCCGGAAGATTTCTTTCCCAGCGAGTTTCGTAGTACGGGATTCTTCCTGAAAATATCTGAGGAGTATGATTATTCACCGAGAGGTCGTTTTGTTGAGAGATATACCTCGTAAACAACCATGGCGAAGGCGTAGACATCTATAATCGGAGTGATTAGTCTTTGCCATGCTTGTTTGCCAAGCTCCCCCAGCATAGGGTCGAGCAATTCGGGAGCCATCCAGCGTACGCTACCTCTCGGGACACCATTCCCGGGGGCAGTTTGGCGAACACTATTTACGTTATATCTGACTGATGCCATGCCAAAGTCAGCAAGGAGGGCGTGGTGTTCAACGTCGATGAGAACATTGAGCTAGTGAAGCCAGACGAGCCATTAGTAACGCTTGCGCCGGTATCTGCATATCAGCACGCACGCTTTTCAGATCACCATGTGTCACGTTGCGAGTGTGCAAGTAACTCAGTCCCAATGCGATCTCGAGGACCTGCAGCAATGCGATTGGGTTATATTTGAGAAGGTGAGAGACAAGTACTCACGAGTTTAGGCCGATCCGCCTTCTGCCCCATCACGAATAAGTATTTCTTGAGGTTATCCCGAGCCATCCAAGGACTGATTGTACAAAGCCCAAGTAGTTCCCTATTGGTACCAAGAAATGGTACAATGTTGGGATGACGAAGGTGCCTCCACATGACCGCCTCTTTATGGAACCTCTATTGCCATCGGGTGAGTAGCCTAGCATAATCAAATTGAACCAGATACAACCATTTTAGCAGCACGCCTCTTGTCATAACTATCCGTTGCAGAGGAAAGTACGATCTTGACGGCTACGACCTGCGCCCCGTGGAGCCAGCACTTATATACAAGGCCAAAGCCGCCATAATCGCTTGGCTGATTCTTTTCAATCCTCCATCGCTCAATGGGCAAGGTACAAGATGACGGAAACAGCTCCGTGCTTCCGCAGATATCTCCCAGACTGCGCAAACATTTTCTGTACGTGTCACTGTCCGGATTCCAGTAATTCAACCGCAGCGCCTTGAGAGGAACTACTGATTAGCAGCTACGATGTTGATTTTGGGAGGGAAGCACCAACACCGTCTAGCACATCAAGAACATCTTTCACGATTTCAATCGAGAAATAACGCAAGGGCACGTAAAGAAGGGGTAAAGAGATGAATTCTTCAATCCTTGCTGCTGCATCGTCATCCGGCGCAGGCGATTGGAGAAGTTTGTTGATCACAGTAAGTAGATGGATATGTTCAACAGTGCTAAGTTTACATCGAGATCGTAAGTGTCATTGTAGGACCACCGCGCCAAAGATTGACGTGCTTACGCGGCTAAACCCATCCTCGTCATTTCTGCTTGCAGATCCATCATAATGGCCGGCGTCTGCTAGTTGGATCTTAGACCATAGACCTTCTCGCCGTCGGGTCAGACGTCTGAGCGATAGAGAAAATCTGGGCTTGGCAGGCTGAAAGAAGGGGCGGGGCAGACATTGTGCTCCCCGAACATAGGACATCTTATATTGCGACCGACACCCGAGTGTCATCGCCTCCTGGGGCTTGTATCCTTGCAACCCACGTGCTACTATCTGACAGGTGACATGTTGTTCAAGTCGCCCTTGTTCGAAGTAAGGCATACGACCGCCTGTCGTTTTGGAGCTGTAGTGGTCTCGTTGAATACAAGCCTCCGGTTCAGGCATGATGAGGTCTGACGTATTGTAGGGACATCAGACTTGTGTAACGCGACTGAACTACACTGACATGCCCCTTTTGGAAACAACGCGAAGTGAAGTATACCCAAAGTGAATATCTAAACCATAGCGGTGACCTCTGCCCGACTCGCCCGGATACAGCATTATCAATTGGCTCATCACGATACTGTATCGTAAGGATCGAGAACATGTTTCGCACACAACCGACTCTAGTGACTAAGAATTGATTCGAGCTATGTTACGTCGCTTTGATGCTGCTCGTCGACAATCACGGCCAGGATTTATTTTCAGCCTGGCTGCGCGTAATATTGGATCTGAGGCGCGCCCACAAGCGGCGAGGTGATGGAAGGCAGAGCATAAATACCGCGGAGTGCCAGCGAGGTGTTAGATCAACACCCCAGACATGTGCAAGCGCTCCGACATACGCGGCGAACCACTGGCTGCGGATTGGCCTTGAGGTTGGCGATGGGCACTCGAAGGTGCTCCAAATCCGGAGTGGTGATAGGAGACAGGACTACAACATTGAGGTGATAGCACGAAGTATACAGCGCGAGGTACCGGAATTTCAGCCAGGCCAGCGCCATTGTTTAGACGGCTTGTCCTGACACTGCTATGTGGCGCTAGAGAAGATCGACGAAGACACATGAGAGTGCGGTAACTCCAACAGAGGTCGCAAGTAGTTCAGCGACAGTCTCGGTGTCCTTGATCTTGGCACGAGGCGAAGACCCTGATTCCGCCCAACGTCTTCAAGAACTGCCAGTCGGGTCCGAAAATAAGACTGGTGTCGTTAATACTGAGACTCAGTTCCTCTAATGTAGGTTACGCGGAGAGCAACCTCGTTGAGCAAGCCTTGATAGTCCACATCCGTCTTCAGCGAGCGCAGGGTTCGATATGCAGGTAACAGAGCTACGTAGGAAGGATCCCTGGTATTGTGGTTAGCAATGTGGATGAACGTCGTCAAGAGTGCACGTTCCGTGATTACGTGCATGAGTGATTCAAAAAACAGATGATCGCTGGCAGCACCAGGGACAGGCAGGTGCTCTGGAGCAATGTGGAATTGTAGCCGACGCAGGGATTGACTGAAGAGGTGTATAATGTTGATATCGCCATGTTTCAAGTTGGTACCAGTAGAGCTCCTCAAGGTAAGGTAAATTGGGTATTCCATCGTTGGGACGCACCAAGCATGAGAATATGGCCCCCACAACTTGGTTGCTAATCGGCTAGGTGGCTTCTCTCGGGACGCATACAGCTTGAAGCGTGGAAAGTCGCTCTCGAACACACCGCGCTTCACAAACTCAAGTCTCAAGTTAGATGGGGTGACAGCGGATATCAGAAATCTTATACCGAGTCTCCACGAAACGTTGGGCATACTCGCATTGCCCTCATTGCTTGACCGAAGAGTATGTTGAGCAGAGGAAGCAGAATGTCCAGCCTTCTCCACAGTAAACGAACAACTGGATCTAAGAAAGGCTTGCATACCAGTGCAGAACTTGCTAACGTCGATTGGGCCAGGTTATCATCTGGGGTTGGCTAGCAGTGGGCAGTCATGTTTATTCCACCGAGGGGCACTACCCGCTGGAGTAGTACTCACAGCATGTTATTATGTCGGAATATTCGGTGCGCATGTATGTTGGAGAGGTGAGAAGGAAACACGGTCGTCGAACCTTGGCGACGTGTAGAAAAGGATGTCCCCCCGGGGAACAAGTCGAATTTGGCGTTGTATAATGCCGTAGCCAGTAAAGTGCATTCGCATGAGGAAAAGTACACCGACCAGTTGAGTTTGAGACAAGCATGAGTCGAGCTCGAACCAAGAGAGCTGGGAAGTAATCACGTGCCCTGTGTTTACAGACGCGTCGCGAACAGGGCGCGTTCTGATCTTGGACGCGTTCAACAGGGTCTCCTCACTCAAGCGGCAGATCGTTACCCGTCTTGTTCTCTGTACTCACCTTTTGTACTACCTGGAACCTGGGAATGCCTTTGTCCGTGCAATATGGACTTCACAGAGATCTACAAGCAAAGTGCCTCTCTTGTCTGCTTTTCACCCGGCACGCGGTTCCTCTTGACCGCAATCCAAGACAGACTCGTAATCCGACACGCTGAGACATTTCAAATAATTCGCACCTGGGCCATGGAAAATACTGGAACGCCGACTAGCCTGGTTGTTTCTAACACTGCCGCCGCCAAGATTAACACCAAAGGCGCAGACCCGAGCAAGGGTAGAAGAATCAACAGGAGTGGAGGCAATGAGGGTTCTGCAAGCGGGAACGAAAGCTGGGTCACTCATGCTGGCTGGTCTTGCGACTCGGAGTATGTGTTTGGGGCGTGTGCGAAGAGCGGGTTCGTGGAGGTCTTTCAAATGCGGGACGATGCATGGCGAACCCGCATCGACGCTGGGGCCGAAGGCTTGACGAAGGTTGAATGGGCGCCTGATGGACGCTCTATTGTCTGCTGGAGCGAATGGGGTGTATGTCCTCACACGTACAAGCATTCACAATTACCTCACCCAATGTGATACTCAGCTCAGAGTAACGATCTGGTCGCTAGTCACTGGTGTCGCGACGTATATTCAATACCCTGCGCATATCGAACGAGGTCTGTGCTATTCTTGCCCTTATTGCGCATAATCCCGATAATGCATGTAGGCCATGCTTTTCGCTCGGATGGACATTATCTCATCCTTGCCGAGCGACACAAATCGCGTGATACTCTCGGTGTGTATGACGCAGAGGCTGCGTATCGTCTTGTGAGGGTATGTTTTCCCTCCACTGTCTAGCTCCATGAGCCTATGCATGTGCGAGCTGACCATTAGGTCTGGTGTGTGCGCAGCACTTCCCCTTGCCGACTTCATCGCTCGCCGGTCTCTCACTCTCTCCTAGCGGTGGTCATGTGGCTGTATGGGAGAATTCATTAGAGGTAAGTGCCCTTAATATTGCAAGGCGGTTTTCTGAGGGTTTTCCTAGTATATGGTGCACATTCTGAGTCTGGCCGGGGACGTATTAGGAACATTCACGCCAGAACGTGATCCTGGCTTCGGTGTCCGCACAGTCGCATGGCATCCTGCAGGCCTCTATCTCGCGGTGCTTGGCTGGGACGACAAGGTGAGCAATGAAGTCCCTTCCGTGCATCGAGGCCAATACCAATACCTTTTTAGGTCCATGTTCTCGAAAATCTGACATGGAGCTCTGTTGTTACATTTGACCTGCAGAGCCGGGTTCCCGGCGGCGTGGTATGTTTTATCTGATAATCTCGCGCACACATCTCAGTCGTATCCCCGCCGTTGCTGACAGGCAGTATGGCGTGAGCCTGACAAATGGCTCGAAGCGACACACGGACGCGGGTTCCTGTCATGTGCGTCCACAAAATCCATGTACACACGTACACGCCTGACCTCCACCCTAAGACGAGCGCATCCAGTCGCCCCACTCACTCACTCTAGCCTCTCGAGATCGCACAAAGCCTCCGCCCGAGCTGGCCGTAGGGTCTCGCGCGAGTACCAGTGCGGACCACATCACGTGGAACGCGGACGGCAGCCTGCTCCTCGTGCGCTACGGTAGCGCACCGGACGCGGTCTGGCTCTACTCCTTCCCGCAACTGGGCGAAGGCGCCGCGTCAGCCACACGGCGACGGCTTGAGGGCCCGCCGCCCAAGCCGAAGCTGCGCACGGTCCTCGTGCACGCGTCGCCCGTCGCATCGGCGCGATGGAATCCCGTGCGCCGGGGCAGCCTCGCCATCTGCTGCGGCGGGGGCGCGCTGTACATGTGGAGCGACGAGTGGGTCAGCGAGGATCGCGCGGACGACCACGCACATGCGCTAGCGGACAGCCGGCCGGAGGGAGAGGAGGTTGCTGAGTGTGTCGGTGTGCCAGCAAGTAGGTCTTCCACTCATTATCGACCATGGACAGAGCGATTCTGAGTGACGTCTGTTGCAGAGAAATTTGCAACACATTCCATACGGTGGGCGCCCGATGGACGAGGGCTTGTCCTAATGGACCGAGAGACATTTTGCTGTGCATTTGAAGTCGAAGACGCTGACGACATCGAGCCACAAACGACGTAGACTTTCAATTGCTGGGAGCCGGCCTTGCCTTTCAATCTCTTGTATATCATTTGTATGGTGGTATGTCTCGCTTATGCTTGTATTTCCATTTCTATCGATCGGACACATTGTTTTGTAATGTTGAGTACTAGAAAAGGGCATCGGACGCAACAGCGAACGCCACTACAAGCAATTACAACAGATAGTTGTGCGATGGGAGGATAGCAACAAGACAGAGGAAAGATTGGGTCTAAGCATGCAAAAGAATGCAAAGGAGTGGCACGATCATCCAAGGAGATCAATGAGATAAAAGCGACAATAAATGGCCGAACAACTGGCCCAAAGTTCGTCTTACCATGGGCCTCTACAATCACTACGTCCGTGAAGTACAACCTGCGAACGTATGGTCAGTAGAGATACGAGAGGTTCACAGACGGCGCGTACAGAACGGAGAATGTTCCCGATCCAACGGAGTGTGTTTCACACGGGGACAGACTCAGGTCGCCGTTCACTGCGGCGGCCGACGTTGGAATTTCAGTCGGCCAACTGGGTGTTGCCATTGCCATAGGCGTCAACGGGAGTAGTGGTCGCGTTGTCATCGATGCCGGTCAAGTCGCGCGCGGAGACGACGTCCTTGCGCCGGCCGATGGTGGAGATTCCGTCGCCCACCTGGGTGTTGCCATTGTTATGGACGTCAACGCTGCGCGAGGCGCGCGCGGCGATGACCTTGCGGCGGGCGATCTTATCAATAATAGAGTTCGCGTGGCCGTCCTGGGTGTCGCCATTGCTCAAGACGTCAACGGGCACGGCGACTGTGTTGTCACTGATGTCGAGCAAGGGTCGGGTGAGGACGGGGGTGTCTGGCGCAGGAACGGCCACTGGCGCGGCAGCGGCGAGGAGAGCCAAACTGGCGAGGACGAGGGCGTGGAGGTTCAATTGCATGGTGCTTTGGGGGGAGGGAGAGGGGAAGGATCAAGGAATGTGATGAGTCGCTGTGACTAGGGGGAGTGGGAACGAGGACGTCTGCTGAGCCGGTAGCGGGGGAAGGGCTATTGACTCTGAGACACGAACCTGGACGAAGGGCGGTTTTATATCGCCTTGGTCGGCTCGTCCGCGTCAGTGTGTGAAGTGTCGAGAAGCGCATCCCGACTTGTGGCAAGCGACGATGTCTCGGGACGACGTTCGGGCGCAGTCATGCATCCATCTCGAATTGTCCTTGTGCGATCCACTTCCTCAGCTGGCGTACTCAGGACTCGGGGAAGGCGTCTGCAAGATACGCGAGCTAGTATGAGTTCCAGTAAGAGTGCAAGGTGTAAGACAACGCACCCCAATGGTATTGTTGGCTGCTGGCCGGTGATGCTCAACACGGACACTGAGTGCGCCGGTCTTCCATGCTGTCGATTCAATTTACTTGGACGGCCACAGCGCCGCCATGATATTGATCATCCGGTACTCTGCGCTCACCGGAGCCAATACGGTAGTGCTCAAAACATTCACAACAGGTGGCAAACGAAGGCCAGACAGGTATGGCAGGACAGCTGTCGGAGTGTTCATGCACTGTGTTCACATATACCGATGGAGACGGAGAGTTAAGACGTTACAGCAGGAGAGGATCTCCAAAGCTTCTGATCTGATGGCGGGAAAGCCATCCGCACGTCCGCAAATCCTGTAAAAACCGCAGCTCCAGGATGCACTGAACACGCGAGTGGTCCACGTACGATGGGGCGATAGGGGGACGATGTCCTGCGCTAGCTGGTTTGATGAATGCGGTGCGTGCAACTATAGACCTCGTTTATCACATAATCCTGGCACAATTCGTTGACTCATGGGATTCCAGATCGCGTGTTGTTGTGTACGATGAATGCAAGCTTGACAGATGGTTCACGTCGCGCGCGAACCAGAGCGGGCGGACGGGCGAAGCGGCGCGAGATGTAGCTGGATCGATGCTTCGAGCTAGCCTGGCATCCTCGAGAAGAGGCCTTCCGAGCAGGACAAGTCCATCTCCCTCTTCGCAACTAACGAATTCCTGCGCGCATGCACCGGCCCTTGCTTGGTACTACCAAGTTGGTAGACTCACACCAAGAGGAGTGCAAAACCTGAATAAGCCACACCGTCCGAGCGCACTCCAGGGACCCCGAAAAGTGGGTAACGAAGGGTCCTTCTATAAGTAGATGCATCAGGTGATCCACGCCATCTGCGTTTCCAAGTCCAACTCACGCTGTGAGCAGCCGGCGCATTCATTGTTATGTGCGAGGAACAGGTACATTCTCTGAGAATAAGCCCTATACAGTACTTGTCTGTATATAGTACACTTGAGGCGTCGATTATAAGTTGTATTGGTACCGTAGCTATCATCGTCTTGCACGTTTTGTTGGTCGCGCATCAGTACCATGCGCTGCGTCCAGGCGCGAACGTTTCAGCCGACGCGGTAACATACAGGTGCTTGCAGCTGCGCTGGGTTGTGGGATATACTTATGCGGGATTTTGTCATCTGGAATACCCAAGCACCGCTCCTCGTTGTCGCCGGTCAGTGATCAGCATCATGCAGCATGCTCTGCATTTCACCGGGTATTGGAGCTCCACCCTCGCGGCCGTCTGCTAAATATCTAGGATGCAGAGCTAGATATGTACTTTGATGTGCCTTCGAGACTCGAGAGGGCGAAAGGTGGCCTGGGCTAGAGACTCGTCAACAGAAGTACCAGAAAGGAAAAGTCCAGGACAAGAAAGCATCAGAAATAGTAAAGTATGCGCAAGATGAGGTACAGCCATAGAAAAGGCAAGATGAGCAGAGGCGCGTCAACTTGATTCAAGGCGACGCGCCTTGGACCGAGCGACACAACTCACGTGGTCGCGAACATCACACAAACGTCACGTGAAATATGGAATTGTTTTATAGACATTATTCAGGCGTGCACACATTCGAAAATTCATTTGTCTTCACTGATATTATGAGGAGGTATATAGGTATCGAGTGTACACTTTAGAGGAACAGAGTGCAGAATGTGGAAGAGTTATTCACGGACTGAACGGAAAACCTGCACGGAGCGCGTATTAGGACCCCGGAAAGTGGGTGGGTACCCACACACTGCGTGTTGTTCCTCTGCGCGCTCGCCTGACGCGCCACCGCTCCCAACAGTCCCACAACCTGGCAGCATTAATAAACGCGTCCGTGTGGCGCTGGAGACTCGACGAAGTCTATAAGCACTGCGCTGTACACTAATAGTCTAACAGAGGGCTCGCGGTAATAGCCAGGCGAGCATAGCACTAGTCTCCTGTGAGCAGAACGGGTTACATTTCCTTCAACCTACGCGGGCTCCGGATATCCATGTATAACCATAACACCCACGACACCGCGTCCGATCAGAGAGAGAGAGCGAACGATGCAGATGGAGCGATCCACTGCTGCGCAACCAGCACGCGTACTTGTTTCAGCCTCCAGCTGCTTTCAACTTGTTCAACGCATACAAAATAGCCCTTCTTGATGATGGTGTAAGCATCATCGATGGAATTCAGTTGCTGGGAGCCGGCCTTGCCTTGTAATCTCTTGTATACCATTTGTGTGGTGGTATGTCTCGCTTATGCTTGTATTTCCATTTCTATCGATCGAACGCATTGTTTTGTAACATCGAGTACTGGAAAAGTGCGCCGGACGCAACAGCGAATGCCACTACAAGCAATTACAACAGATAGTTGTGCGATGGGAGGATAGCAACAAGATAGAGGAAAGGTCGGGTCGGGTCGGGTCGGGTCGACGCATGCAAAAGAATGTAAAAGAGCGGCACGATCATCCAAGGAGATCAGTGAAACAAAAGCGACAATCAATGGTCGAACGACTGGCCAAAAGCTCGTCATACCATTGGCCTTCACGATCACTACGTCCGTGAAGTACAATCTGTTGATATATGGTCAGTAGAGATACGAGAGGTTCACAGACGGCGCGTACAGAAAGGAGAAGGCTTCGGGTCCAACGGAGTGTTTTTCACACGGGGACAGACTCAGGTCGCCGTTCACTGCGGCGGCCGATGCTGGAATCCCAGTCGGCCAACTGGGTGTTGCCATTGCCATGGGCGTCAACGGGAGCATTGGTCGTGTTGTCATCGATGCTGAGCAAGTCGCGTGCGGAGACGATGTCCTTGCGGCGACCGATGGTGGAGATTCCGTCGCCCAGCTGGGTGTTGCCATTGCCATGGACGTTAACGGGAGCATTGGTCGTGTTGTCATCGATGCTGAGCAAGTCGCGTGCGGAGACGACGTCCTCGCGACGTTCGATCTCGTCAATGATGGATGCCCCGTAGCCCACCTGGGTATCGCCGTCGTCGAAGACGTCGACGGGCAAGGTGATTGTGTCGTCATCGATGCTGATGAAGTCGCGCGCGGAGACGACGTCCTTGCGGCGGCCGATGGTGGAGACTCCGTCGCCCAGCTGGGTGTTGCCATTGCCATGTACGTCAACAGGGAGGGTGACCAAGTTATCGCCGACGCTGGCCAAGTCGCGCGCGAAGATGACTTTGCGGCGGGCGATCTTATCAATGATGGAGTTCGCGTGGCCCAATTGGGTGTTGCCATTGCCATAGACGTCGACGGGCAAAGCGACTGTGTTGTCACTGAGGTCGATCAAGTCGCGCGCGAAGACAACGTCCTTGCGACGGCCGATGGTGGAGATTCCGTCGCCTAGCTGGGTGTTGCCATTGTTGTTGACGTCATCGGGGATGGTGACCGAGTTGTCGTCGACGCTGACCAAGTCGCGCGCGGAGACGGCGTCCTTGCGGCGGTCGATCTGGCCGATGTAGGACAACGCGTGGCCTATTTGGGTGTTGCCACCGCTGAATACGTCAACGGGCAAAGCGACTGTGTTGTCACTGGTGTCGGCCAAGTCCCGGGCGAGGACGGGGGTGTCTGGCGCAGGAACGGCCACTGGTGCGGCAGCGGCGAGGAGAGCCAAATTGGCGAGGACGAGGGCGTGGAGGTTCAATTGCATGGTGCTTGGGGGGAAGTATCAAGGAATGTGATGAGTCGCTGTGACTGGGGGGAGTGGGAACGAGGACGTCTGCTGAGCCGGTAGCGGGAGGAGGGCTGTTGACTCTGAACACGATCTTGGACGAAGGGCGGTTTTATATCGCCTTGGTCGGCTCGTCCGCGTCAGTGTGCGAAACATCGAGAAGCGCATATTGCTTACGGCAAGCGACGGTGTCTCGGAAGGACGCTCGGGTGCAGTTATGCATCCATATCGAATTGTCCTTGTGCGAGGACGGGATTTGCTTCCTCAGCTGGCGTGTACTCAGGGAAGGCGTCTGCAGGATACACACGCTGCTGTGAGTCCCAGTAAGAGTGCAAGGTGTAAGACAACGCACCCCAATGGTATTGTTGGCTGCTGGCCGGTGAGATGCTCGACACAGACATGGAGTGCGCCGGTCTTCCACTTCCATGTTGTTAATTTAATATACTTAGACGGCGAAGGAATGGAAGTCTTCGTGGTTCTGAGCCGCATTGCGGCCGCAGCACCGCCATGTTATTGATCATTATGTACTCTATGCTCACCAGAATTAAGACGGTAGTGTTCAAAGACCTTTCATAGCAGATGGCAAATCAAGGCCGGACTGGTATGGCAGGACAACTGTCGGAGTGTCCATGCACTGATTCCGCATATACCGATGGAGACGGAGAGTATACAGCGGAAGAGAATCTCTCGAGCTTCTAATCTGATGGCGGGGAAGCCATCCGTATGTCCGCAAATCCTGTAGAAATCGCAATTCCAGGATGCACTGGACACGCGAGTGGTCCACGTACGATGGGGCGATAGGGGGACGATGTCCTGCGCTAGCTGGTTTGATGAATGCGGTGCGTGCAATTATAGACTTCGTTAATCACATAATCCTGGCACAATTCGTTGACTCATGGGATTCCAAATCGCGTGATGTTATGTACCATGAATGCAAATGCTCTTGACAGATGGTTCTTACGCGTAAATCGGGGCGGGCAGGCGGGCGAAGCGGGGTGAGATGTAGCTGGATGGGTGCTCAAAGCTAGCCTGGCACCCTCGAGAGGAGGCCTTCCGAGCAGGACAAGTCCATCTCCCTTCTCGCAACTGAAGAACCCCTACGCATGCACCGGTCCTCGACGTCGCTCTGTAAACTCACACTGGGCGTTATTCCTCTGCGCGCTCGCCTGACGCGCCGAGCGCTGGAGACTCGGCAAAGTCTATCGGCACTGCACTGTACACTGATAGTCTAGCAGAGGGCGCACAGCGCTGCGTTGCACGAGAAGTGAGACCGGGAGGAGACCGGCAGCAGAGAGCTTGCGGTCATAGGCAGGCGAGCTATAGCACCCACGACGCCGCGTCCGATTAGAGAGCGAACGATGCAGATGGAGCATTCCAAGGCTGCGCAACAGCAAGCGTCAACTTGTTTCAGCCCCCAGCTGCTTTCAACTTTGTTCAGCACACGCATTGCCGATGATGTGAGCATCACCGACGGGGGCCGAGGGGCGCATCAAAACTGGGCGATATGCGTGCGTAGAACGTCGGCGACAGAGAACTCCTGTTGGCGCAGGACGAGGGCGTCGGAAATCCTGGTATGTCGTGCACCGCAGAGAGCGTGAATGTGGTCTCCGTGGATTGGGCTGGAGTGGGCACGACGAGAGGCGACGGCGGGCAAGACGGATGGCGGACGGTACGAGGCGCGTGTGTGAAGCCTGAGCCAGCGCGTCGGTCATGTGATGCCAGCCTTGAGGACAAGACTCAGACGGCGACGGGCGTCGTCGCCCTTTGTGTTATGACCATCATCCTGAGCCCTTCTATTCACGTTGAGCAACGTGTGCGTGGATATACTCGTGTCGAATCCGCTCATCGATGCAACCAAGCTGCGACACTGGACGGGCGTTCGTAAGTATTCATAATCTCGAGCGCGTTCCGCTAGCTGTGCGTCCATACTCGAATACCCGTCTTGTCGCATATACTTGTAGCTTATTTTGAATGGATTTGGGTGTCCTCGGATGAGGCTGACGTTGTCGAATGTTCCTTGTATGTGTATCAGTAAATGCCGAAAGCTTGAGTGTTCGTGGTGGTCGCGCACCCAGCCAGGCTTACTTATAACCTCTTGGCTACGTCAACGACCCTAGCCTATACAAAATGTTTATGTACGTCTCTCCACTTGCGTGCTCACTTTCAATTCGCTCGCGTTGTACTCAGAGAAAGCTCTTTGTGCTCATTGCCGTTGTTCTCTCTAACCAGTGAAAGCATCCGACCTGCAGGGCTGGCTGTCTTTAAAAGACGTCCCTGGCGAGATCCTGGCGGAAAGTCTTGGGCCGAAACAAGTACACTCGATGCGTCGATGGACGTGATGTGCTGCCACCACAGATGCCACTGGCGCACGCTATATCTTCTGACCTTCCAGGATCGATTTCCTAGATAATCGCACAGCACAGCATCTCCAGGTCAGTGGTGGTGGTCCAAGCGGCGGAGCGTGGGACGACCAAAGCAGATGGACAAAGCGCAACGCCACAAATTGGCGCCCGGGCCCGCCACTCATATATTGCTTCGCTTTCGCCACGGTATCCTTTGTTCTGCTCTTACCACTACCACCACCACCATCTCTACCCTTCAACACAACAAGAACTCCCTTCTCGCTCCGTGTCTTCTGAAACATGTCTTCCAACCTCACTCATCTTGTCGTGCACCTGTGCGAAGCTAGCTCTATCGACATCACCTGTCACGCCATTCTCATGCCGCGTCTTCAAGAGCTTTATCCCGCAGTCAGGGTGAGAGCTACGCTTGCCCTTGACCATGTTGAATGCCTGACGCCTGTCGCAGATCCACGAGGCGGTCGTCGAACAGACCGTCAAGCAACCTGCCAATGGCCACTCTAATCGCCGGATCAAGCTCAAGGCCAGCGACGGCCTCCAGGAAGCCTTCGATGTGCGTCGCCACACTAACTCTGCTCGTCGCGACCATGCTGACACGAGATTATGCAGAAAATGTGCGAATTGGAGCGAACTCTGCAAGGTCACGGTGAAAGAATATTCAACAAATACATCATCGTGTGGCGCGCCAACCAGCCGTCCGTCCAGAAGACGGCGTCTGCCCGGCCACGCATCGCGGAGGACATTCGGAACGTGAGTGCGATATACTCTTGTGCGCATCTGTCGTGGCATTGACTGGCCCACAGAAGGATATCTTCCTGTCCATAATCTCCCCCATGGAGTCTGTCCACCTGGATAAAAAGATCATGGATAACGTGCGTGATTGATGTCGCGCGACAGCGTGTTCGTGAGCTCACACGTGTATCTTGTTGCAGTGCGCCCTCATGCACGCAGATGCTCCCGCCACTTGGTCACCCTGGCCACAGAACCTAAGCTACTGCGTGCAAGGCTTTGGAAAGGCGACATACCGTGGTACGCATATTGCTGCACTATGTTCCTGTTTGCTATGTACTGACACCCCCGCTCGCGCACTAGGCTATGTTTCGCACCCTGACCTGCCACGACTTATGGAGGCGGCCAATGTGGAGCTATACGAGACCGACCCGGGTGACTTGCGTCGTGTTTTCCGCGCGTCCAGGCCTCAGTGCGCCTTCACCGAGCCCATCAGGATCCAGCCCCAGGCACACTTCATGGCACCTGCGTACGCCCCGCCACCTGTCGCCTTCGCCGCGCCTATGTACGCTGCGCCACAAGTCAATCTCGCGCTTCCCGCGAACGGACAGCAATGGGCTATCCCAGGACCTCAGGTTCCAGGTGCATGGCCACAACAGCAGCAAGCCCAAGTCCAGGCACAGGCGCAGCCGCTGTACAACCTCAGTCCTGGTGGTGCTATTATGGGCCAACCACTCATCCCCCCGCCGGCACCGGCGCCAGGCCCCAGTCGGAAGCGCAAGCAGCGTGACGACTCGACTGAAGAGATGGCAGATTCCACGGACCGCGAGGCGAAGCGTGCGCGGGTGGTCGCGCGCGCCTTCTCGAACACGGGAAAGGGCAAGGCCAAGGCCAGGCATACTGCCGTCGCGGAAACGCAGCAGATGACTTATGCACACTCGCCTGCGGCCATTCCGGTGCTATCGGGGGCACCGCTGATGCAGATGCATGCGGATCCTGCAGGCCCGTCGCCGAACGCGTCTGCGAGGGTAGCGCCTCCCGTTATGGCGGCAGATGTCGGCTACAGTGATCTCGCTACAGGTAAGCTCTTTCTGAGATAACACCGATACACGATGCTGATATGTGCCTCTTCTTGTTTGGCAGGAAGCGGGGGCTCGTCGCAGGTGCCCGATTACTCGCCACAGCCCCTGGTACCTACGCCGTCGAGCACAAGGGGCACTTCAGCAGCGGCTTCGACGGACGTGTCGACGCCACCGGTCGTGGACGCTTACACAAATGTCAGTTTACCTGACGTTATCTGGGCAGAACCTGAGGCCATGATGGACAATCTCCATGTCGCATCGGAACGCCCGGTAGATATTGACGGGGCCTTCAATCGCTACTTCGAGCGCTGGGGTGAGTGGTCCTCATCTTTTCCCATCCCCCTCGTAGGGGTCAGGGCTAATGCCGTTCGTTCTAGCATGCGCCGGGCTCGTGAATGACGGCATGGTCGGTAACGACGCGGATTTGCCCTCTACGCAGGGCTTCGTGGAACAGCTCACAACAAGTGTCAGAGTCCATCCACCTGTTGATCTCAAGCAAGGTCTGTGTTGTTTGGTTCTGCGAATGAGCCGCCGCAGTATTGAACCGCATCTATACAGAAATCAACCGAATCTGGTATCAGCCTGTCACCACGACTCTCGATGACGATGTTGCAAAGTGGGGCGATGAGGGGCCTATTCCCCAGTACGTCCTTCTTGAAGAAGGTGAGTAAAGCTTGCAGGAACTCCCCAGTCGCTTTGTGCTCTTGTTTTCTTTCTCAAAGCTGATGTCAAACGAGCAGGCCTAGAACGCGTTCGTTACGATTTTCCTTGGCAGCCTGTATCTGACGAGGCGGACGCTGAATACATCCGCCTCCTTCGTCGCGTTGAAAGCGGTAAGTATAGCTGTGGACCAGACTGAATGTACAGATATTGATTTATCCTTGTGCAGAGTGCTGGCTGGACCATCTTTGGTATCAACATAACTTCGATACCTCTATGGTCATATACAATGGCACTTAGCTCAAGCCAGTGAGTCTACAACGCCATCGGCGATCGTATATGCTGTGATTTAGGGTGATCCATTCTAACCGGCTGCTATAGCAGATCATCCTGACCAGGCAAACAAACGTGAATATGCAATAATAGCCCCTCAGGTGCTGAATGTACACGATTGACCAACGGCAATAGTGCAACCGCGCCCAGATGGTAAGAGCCCACATGCGCTTAATGTCGTGATCATGGCAGTAATCCTAGCTCTCCGTTATCAGACGATACCCCATATACCCAATCGCCTGGGCACTCAACTCGCATTCCGAGCTAGCGATCACAAGGCTAGCAGCATGTACTGCGACGTACAAGAACTGGCGACCGAGGAGCCGCTCGTAGTGAGACCGCGAGCATACCCGGATGGTGAGAGTTCTCGGGAATGCCTCTTACCACCCTTTGTGCTAACGCTTATAACGCCAGACGATATCTTGATGCCCCGTTGTCTGGATGGGTCAGCGTCGACATATCGAGGTGTGGCCCGGTCTGAGCCTGTACGCGAATCTAGTCTCTACTAGCACCGACCACCTTGCTAGTGTCCTGATGTACATTGACACGCTTTTGTGTAATGTATATTCTGTGCTCTAAGGACCGTGTGCCATGGCACAGCACACCATCTGGATGTGGTGGACAATCATACCGTGCTGAGCGCCTGATGAGGCTCGTGATAGTACCTACAGGATGTTTATCAGTCGACTGCAGACGCTGGCTGCAGGCACCCAGTTATGGTGTCAAAACAGCAAGACCACTGGCAACGGTCACGGCCATCAAGAGAAATCGTCTGTCGTGGCGCGAACCAGAAACTCTATTTCCTTGTGGCCAGGACGGGCCGTCCACCTCGATCCGGAAGGTGGATTACCTCATTCGGACTCCATCGCGACTGATCGGCCAGTTGGGGAGTAACTCTCTCTCTTGTGTGCGTCGTTCCGTGTCCTCAAAAGTCCCTTATGATGTCGCCGTTGTCTACGGCTCCTTCATCTCTTATAAAACGGCCTCGCCGCCGAGCAAGCCCAGCTTTCTCCTTTCCCCGAACTTTCAGTGCCCCTCGCGAACTGCCCGTGCGGACGAGCGGCTCGGACGCGACACATACCAGGTGAGTCCGTCGTATTTGGATCGACTGCAAGGATCATGTTCACCGTCGTACGCGGGTCTGAGGGACTGTGTGGCATGAAATCGATCCGTACGTCTGCCAAACTCCTCGGCTTTATCCCTAGTATGCCATTCGCAGTTTGTGCACGATCAGGGCTCGGAACGGCTTCACAGGGCTGCGCCTGGTACAAGCGCTACTATGATCATGATGCGCGGCTGTGCTGACGGTGCCAGCGGCTTGAAGCGCGCGCGCTATCAAGTATCACGAACACGGAACTGAATCATCGTGAACATCTGTACAACTGCCGTGGTGTTGAGAGCTGAATACGATCGACTGCGGCCTGAGGAAGGAAAGCTCGAGTCCTGCTCGACAGCATGGGCGAAAAGCTCGAGTACTTCGTCAAGATATTCGACGACACGGGCAAAATGATCACCAGACCATAAGATTGGACCCGCGGCACCTAATATCCTACACACCATAACATCTTCTCAGAGGCCTCATTCTTTGCCTCCAGGGCCAGATATGCTTCAGGTATGTTCAATAACCGCTCAGGAATATTCTCGGGTTGTCGAGCTAGTACGCAATGGTTCGGGACGAGCGTCACCCATCTAGTCATCGTGCTTCTACTAGCAAGTGACATGCCTTTCGGAGTCGATGGTCTACTTATCGATTCTGACAGGCTGACCCGTTGATAGATCCCCAAGCCATACGAGAAAACAGAAATGATTGCGCCAGGTATACTGTCGAGATGCGACACAGGGGGCAACGAAATTCAAACAACATTAATGCAGCCTGCGGTGCAAGTCCGTTACGGGCGCGATGGAAACACAAAAGCGAAAGGGAAACGAGGGACAGCGCGAACCGCGTGTTTTACGAAACGAAAGAAGGGGGTATCTGAGCACGAACATGGATTGTCAGTGTAAATTTACATGCATCGTGAGGCCACAATGCATGCACTCACCGAACACGATGATCTTGCAGCGCATCGCGTGGCCTAGAGGACGATGGGGCTGCAACCGATACCGATGCCAAGGAAGCCTGAAACATCACCAGGAGAGTCAGCGACCGCTCTGAATTCACTACAGGAAACGAAACACGCACCGTTGCCAATATTGTTGCCCTCGCAGCACACGGGGCTCTGCGCGCAGCTGCTGCCGCCGAGGAGTCCAAAGTCGCCGCACGAGGTGTGGACACTTGAGTCGGAGGCGTAGTCTGTGTGGTCGAAGCCGTGCGAAGCGATGACCGCGAGACCCTCGGGGGAATCTGCGCGGTAGGATGCGCCGTCGCAGCACAGGGTGGAGCCGTTGCACTGGCCGTCGCGCGGGAGGCGGGAGGGCGACGCGAGCGCGAGCGCGGAGAGCGAGAAGAGGACGAGAAGTGTGGCGCGGAACATTGTGAGAGTGACGAGCGCGGTGCGGTAATGTATAGCGAGTGTGAGTGTGAGTGCGAGTGCGAGTGCGAGTGGGGATGGAGATGGGGGCATCCCGCTGGCTGTTTTATACGCTGACTGGGTGTGCGCAGGCGCCGGGGAGTCTATGGCCCAATCTGGCGAGACGGCAAAGACGTGAAGGCTCTGGTGCTGCGGCCGGTCACGTAGAGTTTGCGATTCCATTGCTCCGCTGGAGCGTGGGGCCCAGAGCGTCTCGCTGCTTCCAAAGTGCGTTCTGCTGTGTTTGTCGTTGCCGCAGAATGCTCTCCGATCGTCCGTCCTGCACGGCGCGACTTGGCATTGGAGCCAGAAGTTCGAAGGCGACGTGCTGCTGGAACGTCCGCACGCCGCGGACACCTTTGGCGTAGGCACAATTCTGCAAGTGCCACTTGGCGGCGTCGAAGCGTGATCGATTGATCGAGGGTGCGCTTCGCGTTCAGGGACAACGCTGACGTCCTTCATTTCGAATGGGACATATACTGTCCGGATTGGTGATAACGCTGGAACTGGAAGCTCGAAGACAGCGCGCTGCTGGAAGGTCCGCATGCGCTGGGGCGTAGCGGCATTTCTGCAAGTGTCACTCGGCGGTGTCAACGCACGATAGAGGGTGCATTTCCGCGTCCAGCGCCAGCGCTGATATTGGCTGCGTCGATCGGAGGCAGATGAAGCATGACCTTGGCCCTCGGGCATCGGTGCACGCGCTGGAGCTGCAAGTTCGAGGACGGCGCGCTGCGCATGCAGCGGAGCCCCTGGGCGTTGCTTGCAGAGTACTGGGATGGGATGCGACCACAAAAGAAAAAGAAATTATTCCTGCAAGCGTCACTTGTCTCTTATCGGTGTCAAAGCACGATCGAGGGTGCGTCAGGGCCAACACGAGCGTGACGTGGACACGGTGTCGATCGCTGGGCTGACGGCTGTCCTTCGTTGCGCATGGGACATATACTGTCCTATTCCTTACCGGAGGCAGATGGGACACGGCTGCGGCGCTCGTCCGACCTTGGTGCAGGCGTGTTTGGGCCCGCTAGCACCAGGGTCGCATGTCGACGCAAACCTCAAGCTCAAGCTCAAGCTCGGCTGAGCATGTCGTGGATATCATGCGGCAGCATGGCAGAATCTCAGCTCGGTGAGAAGCGGCAGCAGTCGCTGGGCGCGGCGGGTCGCCGGTGCTCCTCGTAATTGGGGTGTATGAGATCCTACTAGAGTGGGTCTTGAGAGAGGTAAACGGAGAGCGCACCGCGCGTCCTCACCGTTATCTGATAGTTTGTTTCTGACGCGAGGACCTTACTCAACATCGGTGCACGTCGACGACGACTGGGAGCGCCTTCGGGCGTTTCTCGTGATAAAGCCAGAGTGATGTTCCGCCGGAGATAGTCTTGAGAGCGAAGAGAAACGGGAGCGCGGCGCCGTTACAATTACCTACGTCCAAGGCCCGCCGTGGCGCTGCCGAGGCTGGGCTGGCGATGACAGTCCTGCGTCTTGCACAGAAGCAGGCTCCGGCGGCTGCGGAGAAAGGCAAGGCGAGGGCGATTACTGGACCTGCTTTTCTGGGAACTTCCGAATTTCGCTCGATCATCATCAGAGAAGGAGCGCCAGCGCCGGCGCGCGTCTTGGCCAGATAGCTGTGGTCGATTCTATACTGGTGGTGACTTGGGCGTTGTCCAGAGATTCATTTGCAGGCTCAGCGCTCAGCGCTCAGCCTCAGCAGCAAGGCGAGTGCCACCAGAAGAATAGTTTCTGATACGAATTGCGACGCGGATTCCATGTCGGATTCCGCTGTGCCTCGGCCAATGACCGAGGATATGCGGCATCCAAACATGCCATGGGACGGTCATGCGAATCCTTTGTGAGCGTGCTTCGCTGCCTCTGGACGTGTCAACATCATTTAAATTGCATCGCGGTCCAAGTAGCTCGCTTTCTGCTCGGGAGCGTCCCGCTTCTTGCTTCTTTTTTGCATCAAACTCTGACTTGTGATCGACAAGCTCGGGTCTGCTTCTGGTGGACGAGTTCCGGGGCTCTGTGGTTCCCGAAGCCATTTTGTCATGTATGTCCGGTGCCCCTGCAGCCGTCTACGCGTCAACTGCGGTGTTGCCAGACGTGCTGTTCTTCCCTGAGCGCTGTGTGTGCAGCCATTGCGCTCTAGGATGATACTGCCCCGCGATGAAGCAGAGGCGCGGCGTGCCTGGGTGGCGACAGCTGGACAGGCAAGTGCTCAGAGACGGAGTTTTGCCCGGTGACAGAGACAGAGGGGGACAGCGGCTGTGGCAGATTGTCTTTGAGAAGCAGTTTGATGCTGGAACGGGCAGTGCGCCACATCCCGCGGACGTGTGCGATCGGAGGGCGCATGAATCGCGTGATGCGCCCCTGGATTAGCCATCGCCCGCGGCCATGGCGGCTGCTGGTCGCGCCCTGCACGGTGTATTAAATAGCAGGGAAGGCAAGTCGGTCCTTCCGTGCTTTCGTCGTTCATCCGCTCAGCTTCCCCCCGCTCCTTCGTTCGAGCCCGTCTCTCCTTACCCCACCTGCCTTCGCACAAACACAACCCAACATGCACGCACGCCTCTCCCTCCTTGCCGCCGTCACCTGCGCGCTCTACGCCGCCGCCGCCCCTGCCCTCGTTCCGCCCATGGACCCCGCCGTGGACCCCATCACAGACGGCCTCGCCGGCACGAACCTCCTCGCCCTCGCCGCCGACGCGGGTGTCGCGCTCAAGCCCGTCCTAGACCTCTCCGCCGGCGTCGGCGCCGCCCTCGCCATCGGCCCCGTCGAGGACTGCGGCTGCACCGACACCCCGACGCCCACGTCGACGCCCCCGCCTCCACCGACGTCGACCTCGGACTGTGACACTCCGACCGCGTCGCCCGCTACCCCGACCTCGCCCCCCAGCGACAGCGCGGGCCCGTCCCCGTCCCCGTCCCCGTCCCCGTCCCCCTCGGCCACTGACTCTTGGGGATCGCCTTCGCCCACCTCGACCCCTCCCACGGAGCCTTCGACTCCCGCGACGTCGCCCACCGCCTCGACCCCGGCCGCATCCCCCACCGAGTCCTCCACCCCCTCTGCGTCTCCGGTTACCACTCAGCCGACCGACACCGCGACCCCGTCCGCCTCGCCGACCTGGACGCCTACCAGCGCGACCTCTACCTCTGTGATCGTCCCTGCGCCGACCTCGACCTCGACCGCGACCTCGGGTGGCTCGGGCGCGGGCCAGTGCAACACGGGCTCAGTGCAGTGCTGTAACAGCGTCGTGTCCGGCGACAGCGCGCACAGCCTCCTCGGGCTGCTGGGAATCGTGTTGGAGAACGTCGGTGAACTCGTCGGCATTGGGTGCCAGGGCATCGTCGGCGGCTCGACGTGGTGAGTGATGCGGTTCTTGGTCCTCTGTTGCGACGCGTTTTGCTCACGAGTTGTGTGTATTTCCCTCAGCACGAGCGCGCCGGTGTGCTGTGAGAACAACACCTTTGGTGAGTGCTGTCCCGTACAGTACATGTAACCACTGTTCTGACATACACTGTGTACAGATGGTCTCATCAACCTTGGCTGCTCGCCCATCATCATTAACCTTTAAAAGACGGATTTGTCCTTGACGTCGGTACGTGTCTTGGTTCGCGCAATCCCATTTATGTGTCTGATGTCCAGAGTAGGGAGTCGCCTACCAAAATACGTAGGGCAATCTAAAAAACAACTGTCTCTTACCTTCGCTTTCTCGTCACTCTTTTGCTCTAGGCAATCTTTTTTGTTGGTTGATTCGGGATGGATCATGGTTGTGGTTGACTGCCGGTGCCGTGGCTGTATAGCTTCGTGAGCACCGATGCACTCGTATCCGCATTCATTAGTACTTCTGTTTGTTCGTTCTGTGAGTGCAATCCTGTATTAGCATTGCATACACGTTTGTGCAATCAAGCCCTTGAGATGTACCTCTTGTCGCGTGTGCAATACACCTGCTGACGCGATCACATGACCGCGTTTATCTGGTTCGGCGATGGCCCTAAGCTCTCATATCTGAGGTCCATCAAGCTCGGAGAACTCCTCTTGACAGGCCAAAATCAGATTTTCTGACCTCTCGAACAACCAGCATGCAATGGCAATTGAGATGAAATGAAATTAGGATGAAATGAAGGCGTTCAGGAACCCCTTCTGCAAACATCTGATATTAGATAAGCGAATTTCATTGCTCATACATAATAAGTAGTTGGACACCCAAATCGGATCGCGGATTCCCATTCCCATTTGCAATAGCAGGCGTTGGACGTGTTCTATTACTGCCCGAAGGGGGCGCACACATTGCACACCACGAACATTGCTAACCGAGTGTGGCAATTCCCGCTGCGGTGTGTGCATGTGTGTGTGGTATGGATGGACTGGGACTGGGAGCATTCGCAGTGCGCACGCCGACCCCGGGCTATACCTGTGGCGCGCTGCCTCGAACATCGTCGCTGCTCTGCGCTGCTCTGTGCGTGCGGCGTGCCTGTGTGCGATCAACAACGACAACGACAACGGAACAACGGAACAGCGGAACAACGGCTTTCGGACGCGCAATCGGTGTGGTGCGGGCGCGGGCGTGCGTGACTGGCAGGCTCTGCGGCAGAACGACGTACCTGGGCCCGGGTCCCGAGTCAGATGGTGCAATGAGCGCGTTGGTAGCATGTACGAGAATCAGAGAAGTGGAGATGTCCCGTGATATAATATGACAGAGACACGGGGCACGGGGCCGGCAAGAGCGGGAGCGTCACAGGCACGAGCACGAGCACGAGTACGCGAGTATGGGCATTGGAGGGCGCGGTCACGAAGGCGAAGACGGGGGGCGTCCTTGTCCTTGCTTGCCGGCGGCCCCCACGACGCGGATCGTGGTTCAGGGCGGTGCGAGCTGGGCTAGGCCGATCACTGGGCAGCGGGTGCGGTCAGCGGGCATCGTGAACGTCGTGGGCGGATGGACGGCACTCACTGTTGTTGTCGACTGACGGGTGACGGGTGACGGGGTGGGTGGTCATGGACGCCGATCGAGGGGGCGAGGGGGGCGAGACCCGGTGGGACCAATACGCGCGTTGCAGGGGAGGGGGAGGGCGATGTGAGAGAAAAGGTCAGCGTGGGTGGAAGAGAGCGTGGATAAGACAGCAAGGGAAAGAGGGACGCACGGTCGAACGCAGAGTAGGCGTGCTCGAGGAAGGACATGCCGAGGTTGTACTGGTTGGGGCCCGCAGGGCAGAGCACGGTGTAGATCGTGTCCGCGTCGGTTATGTTCAGCGCGGCGTAGAGCGGCGCGGGGACGATGTAGCTGCCGGCGGTGTCAGCACGCGGTACTTACCGAGTTTGTATGCGTGTGAAAGAAAGCAGCAATAAAGGGAGGGGCAAGGCAGAAGGGGCACGCACTCATCCGGGGTGATCGTGAAGTTGAGGCTGCCTACGCCGACGTAGAGCGGCGGGAGCGTGCCGCTCGCGTTCGCAGGGAAGGTGAGGCAGCCCTCGAGGAGTGAGCTGCTCGCGAGCTCCGCGTCGGGGGTATTTTGCAGGATGTAGAACAGGCCGTCACTACGGGAAAGGGGGGGACGACGATCAATACGAGCGCAGAACGGATCAACAGCAGGCGAAGGCTGGCAAGAATAAGGAGAAATGCATACTTGGGAATGCCAATGAAATAAGTCCCAGTGTCGACGAGCGAGTAGAGCGTGGTGTTGATCGCGTACTCGCCGCCCCAGCCAAAGTAGAAGGCCTGTGCACGCGATCGGTGAGTCTTTCTCCTTGCTCGGTGAAGATGCACGTACCTCGACTAGCCAGTGCTGGTTATCCGCAGCGGAACGCGGGAGCCAGTCGATCTCGCCTGTCACCCCGCGGCTCGCGCTCAGCTGGCGTATCGATCATTCAAAAAGCTCGTGCAACGAGACGCACCGCTGAACTTGCTCTCGTCGACACCGCCAAACGTGAGCTCGCCAGTGCTGCCCGGCTCGCCACTGGCACTCAGCGGGCTCACGTACACGCCGAACATCGCTGCGGGGATGGCACCCTCCGCGGCGAGGCTCTGCACGAACGTCGGTGTCGTGTTGTACCCGGAGACGACGTTGAAGCTCGTATTCGCGGGGCCCATGCCTGTTGAAACACGCAGCCCCGCGTGGTCAGGAACGAGCTCGAAAGCTCGGGCGCGCGAGTAGCCGGGGGCCGGAGGCCCCTATCGTAGTATATAACGACCCCGCGCGATGTACGTACCGCACGCGATTGTCCCTGACGGGCATCGCTACGCCCGTGGACAAACGCGCCCCCGCGCCGTTCGCACCGGTTGTTCCAACACAATCGCGTCAGCCCGCTGGGGGGTTTACTACCTAGCAAAGCTCTGGGGGCAGCTTGAAGCCCGCCGCTCGCTGCGTCGCCGGATCCCGCGCGCATGCCGTCGCTGTCGACGCTCTGCTGGTCGCCGCTGCACCGCAGAATATTCCCGCCGCCGTCGCTGCCGAACCGCTTGCCTGGATGGGGCCGAAGCCATCTCGATTGAACCCGTATGATTGCTGAACCTTGACGCGGACCCTGATTGAACCCCGCCGTCGAATGTCGAACCGCCGAACCGTCGAACCGCCGAATTGCTCGCCGAGAGCACCGTTGAACCGCTGTACCCGAACCGCTCGCCGAGAGCACCGCCGAACCGCTGGACCGCTCGTCGAGAGCACCGAACCTGGAGTTGAGAAGTTGATGCCGAGGAGTTGATGAAGATCGTCGTACGTCGTACGCCCTACCTTTGCGCCTAAGGGTCGCCCGTCGCAGCTCATTCGAGCACGGACTATCGGCCGGATGTCGGACATGGGGATGGATTGTGGACCCGCCGAGAGGGTGTGAGGATGGATGCTGAGATTGAGGGAGTGCCGAGTGCCGAGAAGCAGGGAGTGCGCGTGAGCCCTCGCTTGCTTCGCTCGAGGGAGTGTGTTGAAACACGCAGCCCCGCGTGGTCAGGAACGAGCTCGAAAGCTCGGGCGCGCGAGTAGCCGGGGGCCGGAGGCCCCTATCGTAGTATATAACGACCCCGCGCGATGTACGTACCGCACGCGATTGTCCCTGACGGGCATCGCTACGCCCGTGGACAAACGCGCCCCGCGCCGTTCGCACCGTTGTTCCAACAATGCCGACTGCGAAGTTGACGGTGTCGGCACGATCGTGCAGCGGTCTGAGTGTAAGATAGGAGCTGAGAGGAATGTAAGGAGAGCACTGACTGATTCCGCCCAATGGCTCTGCGATTTGGAAGCCTTCTGTGTTATTAGCAGCACCAATGAATGCCGCAGATGCAGTCACGCCACCAACGGTGACGCGGTCGATGTAGGCCGTGCCGGTGGCCCCTCCCTCGCCGTAGCTATACAAGAGCATCAATTCGCTTTCAGGGCTGAGCTCTTTGCACATACTTCGCATCGAAGGTTTCGTTTATTCTGAAGTTGTGAGATAGTTCAGTAGGAGGCCATCATACGTGTGAGACTCACATCTGTGTATACGGGCCGGGGGCATATGCTTCTTGGGCGCCGACCCAGAGGAACGAGCTTCCTGTATCCACCAGGATATCGTTGAAAGTCTGGTCGTTCCCGGCTTGTACTATTCTCAACTTGAGCAAATGGAGATCACGACATTTAGAGAGGCCGAAATACTGACTCGCCTTGCACAGTAACCTTCAAGCCAGCGTTCGTAGTCGGTACATTTGAATCTGCGGCGGTCATACATAAAATCTGTTCTGCTAAGCATGTTATGCTTACCTGAACTGCTTATAAGCCTAGGCCTAGAAAGTACTAGAGGTGAGCACAGAAGTACGTGGACTAGCGCGTGCAGCAAAGGACCTACATGATTGTAGAGGTGAAGGGGACCTTGACAATGGCCCCGGCGTATGCTGTGTAGAACAGAGTCGAGATAAGTACCGCTCTTGCAAGGCTCGGAGAAAGAAGTCTCAATAGCATGGCTGAGAGCTTATCTGGTGGCCTCCAAAGTACTCGCGTCAAGCTCCCTGTGTAGTAGAACCCTCATGCACCTTGCACTTATATATTCGACCCGCCTGTGAAAAGCCCGACGTTCTAGAAGCCTTCCCGTTCACTCATCAGATCAGCGGGCAGGGTAATCACGAAGCCTGGTGCATCATCCGAGCCGCCACTCGATGTAGGCATTGTTGCGCGCTGAATTGGCGATCGTGTGTCAGCGTTGGTTCTATCCATGTGTAGTACATAACTGCGATTTCGACGAGTACATCAACATTCGAATTCGATACAATTTTGTGAATGAAGTAGACAGACTTGACTTACTGGAGACGCAGCCAGATATCCTCTCGCGCTACCTTTCCCACGACGGCGAAGCGACACCATCGAAACCATCGGCAACGTTACGTCGTTTGCGGGTCGCATAAGTACGTGACAAGATGTGTATATTCTATCAAGATCGTGTTTGGTGGGAATGCAATTGTAGTTCGATTGAGCGTTGACACAGGTCTACTGAACGGTCGTAGCTTTCCTGTGCAAGGCTTCGGAGCTCACAGACACTGGTCTTATGCAAGAAGAATACGGTATACATGCACCTTGATGATAGTCCTGATCGCCGCAGCACGAAGGTGTCTCAAGCAGCTGTGCATACTTCAAGCGCAATTCGCCCACGCAATTACCTGCTGACGTGCCAGCTGGACGGAGAATACTTTGAGCGACAATGACCCCGATGGCAGACGGGACTCACGGCGCAATCTGTTGACTGGTATTCTCGGGGGAGTGCCTTTAGTCATACTGCAAGATCACAACCTTTTTTATTACCTTGTTAATGTGCCCTCCTCAATGTCCTTCACGAAGTGCCGATTCTTATCCAAGGCGAACGTAGCAGAGATGACATCGAGTTTTGGACGCATAGAATCACTGAAGAGAGCAACTTGGTCCGTATTCACGGTCTCAGGGATCTTGTCCTTCATACTGAGATCTCTTGTCGAGTGAGACATGACGACAGGCAAGTCGGCTCTAACGAGTTGAATGCACTGTGAGATTTGGCAACGCCAGGGACTTCAGGTCGGAATTGGAATAGAGTAAGTGTCATGTGTCGAGTAGATCATTGGCACGATTCTCCTGCAGGATTATGACATTCACCCTCATCGACATCCCCAAGCCATTCAATCCGGTCCTATATTCATTTATCCCGGTCCTCAAGTCCCAAGTCCATTGCCAGCCTTCGACGCAAGCGCTGGAAGTGGTCGTCCGTTCGTATAATGCTTCGACGCTGCTTAAGGTGTACAAAACAGCATGTGATTCAAAGGTTTGTCATGGCAGTGAGAATGGGGACGCGGGAATCCTTCCCACGGCGGTGAAGGACAACAAACAAGTGCGGCTAAACCGCCATCAAGATCTGAGATCCTCGGCTCTGGTGCGTCCTAACTGCGAGCATCGCGACCTGTTGAAAATTGCGACTAACAATTCTACTTGTCCACCTGCTGAGCATCTACATATCTGCTCAGTTCACGCTCAAATTTCGCGCAATTCGTAACGACTTCATCGATAACGTCGGCGGTCGCTTCAGAAGCCTCAGAGTCCGGGTATACAGACACCGCTCCATCCATATATGTCCCATACAATGGCTGTGCCGCTTTTGTACAAAATGACTCAGGTGGGAAACGCATCATCACGGCGACTAGAAGACAGAAAGTTTTTTCTGCTGACATCGGCGCGCTATAGTGCCTCTCGGATCACCGCTCTTGAGCACTGAACGGAATATGGGCCCGGGTCGCAAAGCGGACCCTATAACCATGTGCCCATTGTCTGTCTGGCGGTTGTAAACCCGTGCCGTCGTAAGAAAGGACCATTCAGCTTCTACTCTTCTCACACACCTGCTCAAGGATTGTCACTGCCTCGATGCATGCATCGCGCGCCCAGACCATACGTGCGCTTGCGCTTGCATTATTATCCCATTGTTTGGGTGCAACATAGGGCCATCGTGTTGTTCTCCCTGTGTTCTCCGATGCGGTCCTCTGAGTAGTCGAATTCTGCTGGTGCTGGCTGTGTGCCGTCGTATCTGGACCGAGTACCACCCGCGTGCGTATATGGATTTATTAATCCGCCGGCACTCCGCGATCAAACGTGTTGCTTACAAGAGCCCCAAACTCTGGAGCGAACGACTTCCTGACGGATGCAATTTGCCACGGAATTGGAAAACACCGGGATGCATCACGGTCTGCAGTGTGCCTCCACGAAAGCGGTCGAAGCACATGCGTAATTATGCCTGCTTCAGACAACGGACAAATTTCCCCGTACACGACGCGACTGGAGCCTCAATGACGATAGCAATTGTACACGACGACGGAACGGGGTTTCAAACTACAGCTCGGCCTCTAAATGGCCACATTCCCGGTAACGAAGTACCTCCGCTTGCAGACCATGGAGATGGCTCGCAGAAGCTTCGATCGCGCACAAATAGTTCTGCAGTGTGCATCCTAATATCCATGTATGTCGAGCTGGGCAGTTCCGCTGAATCGTGCTGATCTTCTTATTCAGATGCACACGGGCCCTGACGATGGCACAATGCCATCGCGTCCATAACCGTCCTGTGCCAAGACCATGGGAAGCGCATTCCCAAAGAGGTCCAGGATCACCAGGCGTTGCATGCAGCAGACGGTCCTTCCTCGGCACACGAGGACGTCGCGTTGCTGAGGTGTAAGATGGAACCGGTGCTCTCGCTCTTCCTCGTCTCCGACTGGCGGGTTCTCCAGACGAGAATTCACCTGCATCTTTAGCCATGCCTAGATTGGGGACGATGCCGGCCAGTCTCCCTTCACGCAGGAAGATCGTACATTGAGCATCGAGCTTGTTTTATTTCTAGTCACATAATCATTCTTGAGCTCGGACAGCACTGCGATCGCAAACCATGTGCTTAATGTGCAAACACTGGCGAAACTAAGTCGTGCCTCGCAGGCGGTCTACGAGACCAGTTCATTCACTGCCCAGAACAGACAAAAGCAGGTCTCATTCGATGCGGAGATGATGCCGCACCATTGTTGCCGTGATTTGGAGAAGTCTAGGCTCTCAGAGACGTACCATTGCTGGCAGACTGTCAGATACACCGCGCGCACACCGTATGTCCATGTCTGGGCGATGTTTATCATAACATTGAAGCGCGACGCAATACATTAGAATAACCTGTGAGCAGCGAGACGATAGCAATGAGGTAGCATCGAGCACCCTTGTCCTCGGGATAGGGCAGAATGAAATGAACAGTAATGAGTGGAGAGCGATAGCGACTGTGCAGAGCAGGGGGATTTGATAGCACTCGAGAGCAGGATAGTCAGAGCATTTTAAATACGACGAGACGCAGACCACAAGGCCCTCATGAGTCACTGTACGGCACCAACGAGTTCGTCAATCTCCCGTAAGGCGATGAAAGGAGGAATAGGCACGAACAATTCATGATCTTGCAGCCTACGTGCGAGGTGCGGGGTATAGTGACGGGCGGGCGCCTGGGGTGCCTGGTGGGGACTGGGCACTGCCGATTCCACTGGAGGCATTCAGAAATGAATGATAGTAGCTGTGAGAGGAGTGCGTACCGATTATATGGCCCGACGGGCTCTAACGGGTTGCGAGAAAGGATGTTAGTTTGTCAGTGTCCTGTGCTCAAAGGTCGATTAACTTACGGCTTTTGGCCTTGATCTTGTCGAGCTCCTTCATTAGCGCATCATAGCGCGTATCGCGCACCTCAAGGATACGATTCGTCACATTCTCCTGGGTCTTCTCAGCCCATATCTCGAGCCCCTTCGCTGTGTCAGCTGCAAGTTTGGTGATTTCCGCCAAGAGGTGAGTAAGCCTCTCTGACAGGCTCGACTGCTCTTTCTTGACTTCAGCCATATCAGCCACAACCTTATTGACCTGCAGACCAGGCATGATTCAATGACACCCCGTCAACCACAGTTGTACTTACAGATGTCTGCTGAGCGTCCATAACAACAAAGAGCTTGTCCTGCTTCGCGTTCAGCTCGTCAATCTGCAGACCAGTTAGCATCACGAGAGATCCATGAGCCATAGTCATACTGACCGATGTCTGGTGTTTGCCTGCAATGACAAAGAGCTTCTCTACTTGCGTGCTTAGATTCTCTACTTTCGTGTCCAGCTTGTCCACTTTCTTGTCCAGCTTGTCCACTTTCTTGTTCAGGTTGTCATATTTTGCAGTTGTATCGCGGTGGTTCTGCGCAATAAGCCTTTCTAACCGCGCAAAACCATTGTTCATATCAGCTTGGATGGCGGCGGCCATTGTTGTTAGCTGGTGTAGCGTATGGACTAAGGTGTGAATCGTCACTTAGTAGAATGCAGAATAGCTGCAGTATCCTTCAGCACTTACAATGGTCTCAAGAGGGAAGTTGATGAGGCACTACTGTACGGCGGAAAGGAGCAACTGGACGTCGGTCGATACAAGACCGGGGGTGCTTGCTTATGTAGAATGCCGGAGATGGAATTTGGACCGCCGCTTGACCGCAGGCGGCCGGAGTGGTGGTGGGAAACCAGATACAACCAGATGCACGATCAAGATCTGAGATCGCCAGCGCTCATCGTCCCTGCTCGAAAGTGCGGGGGAGTCATGGTGAGTGTTCTTCTTGCATCTATCCTAGCGCTGCTCGCCTCCGAGGGGATCGTAGTGTATACAAGGAGATGCTTAGGTTGTGCGAATGGACAGCGCCGAGTATGTCTCCGATCATAGCTCTGTTGGGACTCAAGCGAGAGGACAAGAGACACATCTCTGTTGCATCTCTGTTGAGCAGAACTGCGCTACTCAGACGCTCATTATCACCCTCTGGGATACAACTGACAGCGCAAGGCGAGGGTAGCTTCCATGACCATGCCTCGATTCCCACATCGTGCATAGCATGATACAATTCAGCACTTCTCTGCGCTATCCGTTCCAATTGTAATCATGGCAGTCACCATTGTACGCCCTGGCTCTATAAGTCCGTTGCAATTCCCAGATCCCTGAATACCTGCCAATGCTCTTTCGCGTACGTCTCGCAATGCTGCTGCAGCACCTGCGCCTCCAGTAGCTTCGCGTCTCTGTGCACTTCAGTTGCGCGTCAGCATAGTACCGCCACACGCAAGTCGTAGCCCGCAAAGAAGAGCAACTCACAATCCGCAAAGGTGCCCGGTGTGATCGTTGCTACCAGCATGCTCTCAATCTCCGCGTACAGATCGGTGATGCCCCAGAGATGTGCCAACTTCAAAACTGACAGTAGTTCTCCTTGGTCGTGTTCATCTTTGATCGTAGGCCGTCCGGTGTAGATGAAGTCTGTGCAATTTGTCAATCATAACGCAAAAAGTTAGTTGTGGACGGGTGTCCCTACCGACGATGGTTTGTATGATTGCACCCGTTTCTTCTACTAGTATACGGATCGGATCATCTGGGGATGCAGAAGAGGAGCTTTCGGCATATCCAGAGTCGCAAAATAGATCGCGGAAATGTTTCACAGATGCGGCAAGGAAGCTGCGATGGACAGGGAGCTCTGACCCGTCCGTACTAACGAGCAGGGCGTCGGTGAGCTGTCTCTTGAGCCGCTGTTCGTTGATGGCAAAACGCAAACGCGAAAACAGGTCATCTGGCGAGCGCCGCTCCACGGGTGGGGCGACGAGCTGCTTGATCTCGTGGGCATTGGCAGCAAGAAGAAGATTCTTGAAGGGCATCAGGAACGTGCGGACACTCTGGCGATCGTCCTCGTCAGGGGCATTGAAGATGAGCTGACTCGCACTCGCGAATCGCCATGGACCGTTCTCGGGATCGTCCACGTTCAGGAAAAGATCATTGTCGGTATAATTCAGGAGTATATCGCCGGCCTCTTTGCTGCGTTGGTTCAACCATTCATATGTCTGGGTCAGATCTCGAAGGACCTCTCCATTTCCCGAGAACTCTTCCGCGGCGCACAATGCCAGGACGAGAAGGTGCTCGACCTAGACAAGGTGGGTAAGCTGTAGTTCAACAGGTGCCATATTGACTCACCACTTCTTCCACAGTAGGGACGCCTAAAGATAAGTCGGCAAGGAATAAACGCTCGTGAGGCACTACGTCAAATAGTCCTCGTTGTGTCCAAGCGATAGCTTCATGCTCTGGACGAAGAACGTTGCTCGGGGAAATGATATCTGGCAAAGGCTTAACAATCCGATGAGATAAAATATTGGTCAAGCCATAGCGCGGGAGGCTTTGGCGACGAGGAACAAAGTCATAATTCTTCAATTGACTCCATTTATACTTATGAGCGCCGATTTCCATAGGCAAGTCTTGATACCATCTGTAAAGGGCTGCTGCCTGCTGTCGCCTGTTAACGGCGGATCCTCCACTGCGGCACCAGGTCTGCACGCATGTCATGAACGTCGCGAAGTCGAGTTTGGATTTGAGACCGAAGCTTTCGAGCTTTTTCTCGTATTTTGCAAAATCGGGATGTATCAGATATTGGGAATGAGAAGAAAATATGTCCCGGAAGGCATCCACTCCTCTTCCCGCGTACAAAGTGTTCGAATTGACCATTACCAATGAGCTGTTGGGGACCCTTATGAAGGTTACATCTGAGAGTTGCGACTGACAATGGGAGAAGAGCCTGTCGAGGAAGTGTTGATATAGGGTTACGTCGTCAGGGGGGAGTATCTTTAGATCATTCAAACGAGAGAGCATAACAGGTATTGTCTTGGGTTTGACCTCCGATTCGAGTCGTGTCAGAACCGAGAGAGGCACGCTTGTGTAGTAGTATCTTGATCCTTGAAGAAAGTGGGCCGCATGCTCCACTTTGAACGCCTGTGGGAGAACTTGCACATCTCGATCGCACAGAGCTCGCAATCTGACTACGTTCGCGCATTGCGCGGGCCAGATGGGTAGACGGCATATGAGTGATTTGAGATCAGGAGATGTGTCCACGATGCAAGCCTGTATCTCCTGTCTTGCCCAAAGAGCAAAGTCGGAACACTCCTCCTCAGAAAGTCTAGAGAACAGCCCCATGACGCTGTTTCCTCCGCCCCCGAGATCATTGCATTTCCACGTGATGAACCGGAGCACCTTTATGAGGCCGAATCTGAATGGGATGGAGCTTAATAGCCTCGGAAGCGGCGAGAGCTTGTCGTCATCCAGCTGCACGAATAGCGCACCCATCTTCCCCAACACCTTGCGAACATGATCTAGATCATAGAAATTCATCGGAATGACAAGAACTGCAGCCGTCTCCTGACAATGTTTGATTGATACATATTGGCCTGCGTGAGTGGTTTTGACTAGTGCCAGTGATGATATATGCTCGATAGATGTATCCAGAATATCAAAATGCTGCCAAAAGCTTTGGATCCAAGCAGCGTCCTTTTTGTTGCAGTTCATCACGGAACTGATGGATTTCGGGAGACGTGACTTGACGAACTCGGCCACAGCGGGACCCTCGAATTCTGAGACGTTGAGACCGTGCCCTAAAATGTTTTCCACTCTGAAGTCGGGATGAACAAAGCGGTCAGAGGGAAAGAGAGGCCAGGGCCTTCGACGACCGTGTAGTGTGCTGGCATAGAACATGGTGTGTGATGAGTCGTTGATGTCTGCTAGCGTGTCGTTCGCGAGTGGAAGAAGAGGTAGACCTGCAATCTGTGAAGGACTAAGGTCTGCTTGGACACCGTTCAATATCTCCTGGACGCCACGGACATCGAGCCTCAGGCTGGTGAAGGCATTGAGGAAAGATGTCCGATATCGGCGAATCACCTGACAGACGTATTCAGATTGAACCCACTTGAGTCTCTCGTCAGTCTCCAGGGCCTTGCTATAGTGCGCCGATGGAAATTTGACGAGCTCATCCGGTTTCAAGGCGAGAAGCATCTTGCTGCTTGTGTCTGGGGGAATACGGGATCGAAGGAATACAGCATCCGTGGGTTGGAGATGTTTGCCTGAGACACTGTGAAAAACCTTCCTGGAGGTGGCTGGCAATAGTTCATAAAAGCCATCAGCCACTACCTGTGACAAGGGATCCTCTGTGACAGATCCTGACACCTTGGTCGCTGGAAAGAGTTTTGAGTTGCTCTTAGCTAGGGGCCATTGTTCTAGGAACCAAAAGTAAAGCAGTGGAATGCGAGATGAAAGAAGCCAGCGATTGAGCACGGCCTCGGGGTTAGATTGGCCGTTGTCATCAAAGCGAATGGATCGTCGATCATCGGCTAAAATGAAAGATGCGTGGATATGCAGCGGAAGAGAAGTGTATACCGGCAGAGGCAGCTTCGAAAAAAACCTCGGGCGAGTCGGCATCGTAGTCGATGGAGATATGACTACCGCAAGGCCAACGTCTAAGACCTTGAGCTGATGCCTCACGACGAGATCCTGGAGCTCTGGAGGTGCGTCTTCGGCGCATAATTTCATCGAAGCAACACGCCAGACCTGACCCTGGTTCTTTGATAGTGAGCCCTCGTGCGCCATCACAACATCGTGGCACCTGAAGTCGTCCTCCGTACGCACATCTCCTCGTTCTGCAGAAATCGCCCAAAGTCCTTCGACCACTCCCGATGAATTGCGCCAATGCGCACTTACGTGTTTCACTCCAAGAAACAAGAGGGAATCTAGTGCATCAGCCTCGTAACCTCGTATCAACTCGTGCAAAAAGATTGGGGAAACAGTGCAAGCGGAAAGATTGCTGCGCCTTGCATAAGAATTGGTCCGCAGAGGTAGGTAGAATAAAGTCTGCAAATGAGGCATGTCAGGATTCAAAACCACGGACATGAGAAGCACAACATACTCCATCATAGAATTCCTTGTCTGCAGAAAAACCGAATATTCCGTTAAGCCGTGAGAGGTGCCCATCGTAGAGACTGTTTATCACATCAATATTACGAATCAGTACTGCCGTGCAGGGTTCCGCACTTACTCCTGAAGCTTCGAGAGGGGCAAGTGTAAAGCACTTCGCTTGAGATGTCCATTTCGAGGCAAGTACTTTCTGGATGGGTCCAGGAACAAGACATATCCTCCAGAGACTATCATTGGCACCTATCAACACCTACGATTAGTCTGCGAGAAATAGATACGTGCGACGTCAAGCTCACTTCACTGAAATGGAACATCACCAGTGAGCCTAAGCCAAATCTCCCAATCGTATCCATGTCGCCTTGTTTGCCACCAAGTCCTACATGACGAATACCCTTCCAATCCTTCTCTTGGAATAGTGAATCGTTGTGGATGATCAACGCTTTCCCCCCACAAATGCGTTTCATTTCGTCTGTCAGGAACACTGGACTGCTGATGTTGTCATGTTGAAATTCGTCCAGTACGATACCGAGTGCACTCGCATTTGCGTCAGCCGCGTTCGCGAGGAACTCGTTGAACGACTGTGTGACAGAATAGGATCTCAAGACGCCTTGGATCCTAGTTGTCAAATCCTCGTGCATATCTTCATCGTCATCCAAAAGGCCAAGGTGCCATGAGCTGAGAGATCGTATTCCTAGGCGCGTCGCTATATCGTCGGTAACGAGGGTGTGCATTTTGTAGAAACCTGCTGGAAGAGCAAGTTCTAATGCTCGTGTTCCCAAGTCATCGTAATAGACTTCATCAGGCCGCCGGAGATTCCCACGCACGTCAGGGACAAACACTGGCATGAGCTCCTGATTGTGGTCTTCCGGAAGATGTCCGATGGCGTCCAATAATCTGACCACCTGTCGCAGATTGCAGCGAGGCTCCTTTTTCTTCTCGTCTGCAATTCGCTGCAGTATCGCTGTTGTAGATGGCCTTTTCGGTCAAATAACGGTGAACACATGCACAGGATACTATCAATAATTGTACTTACTTCTCGTTGCAACCCATTTTCAGGAGAAGTGATTTGACACCCTTCAGGGCGACTAAATCAGAGGGTATAGTCCAGAATCCGGGGAGACCATCCGCTTCTCGTGAAAACACTGCCTGTGATGTGGTTGCGATACGTATGGGCTCCCATGAGATAGGTATCCATGCATGATCCTGGACTATATTCTGCAAAGTCCCTAGATGCGTGGAGAAGTCTGAGAGGCGATTTCCAAACTCGCGGATCAAGCGGTACAGGTATTCGGCGTTGTGTTCTTCCAAGACGACAGCCTTCATTTGACTCATGAGAACATCAATCGGAACAGGCATACTCCATCCCAATGCTTGTCGCAATGCTGAGGAGATCTCCATGTCTAGAATCGGCATGACCCGATCGACGAGTTGTCGGCAGGATCGATCTCTACATGCCGAAGGTGAGCACATCCCTCGAGGGGTTGGCAACCATTCAACGGTGTCGTTCAGGCGAAGGTGGCTACAGTCGAAGGAAGTGTCTGCGATCATTTTGATTAATGAACGAGCGAGCTTGTCTGCATCTTCGGCTGAGGACTTGGACAACTTCGATATGTATTGGATACGGTCTCCGACGAAGTCGACTGACAGGCAATTGCGTAGTAGGCCGAGACTTCGCAAGGGATCCATCATTCGGTGATATATGCCCGCGTCGCAGCTTGCTGGATACCTCTCCTCATCCACACGCACCAACGTTGCGATTGGTGAATTAGTATCGACGACGTCTTCGGGAGGCCGACGACTATTTCCATGTCCCACTGCAATGAAAGGTGACTTTCGCAAGGTGCCTTTATCTGAGTACGACAGTAGGTGAGGTCGTGCGTCGAGATGCTCCAGGAAGGCTAGTTGCCATGCAGGACTCTGTTCGACGAGATTTTTGATACAAAGAGTCACGACGTCAGATGCCTTGAGGACTCTGGTTGCGGACTGCATATCAATGGCCTCGATAAGGTCTCCTTCCCATCCGGACGCCAATACGAACAGTGCATTAGGAATGATGGGGAGGAACACGTCTTTCGCACCAAATATGCGATATATGCGTGACGTGATAGGTATAGAGGCCAGAGATGGCCTGAGCTCCCACCCAGCAGAAGTCGCGACGGAAGAGAATAGACGATATACCGGGAGGGAACACAATCGCGATTTACGTTCAGTCGAAAGACGGCCGGCACGCACCAGACACGAGGCCAAATGTGTACCGAGTAGCTGTACTTCCGCATCGCTAAAACTTGGATGAGAGGCATCGACGGTTTGAAGGTTATCAAGGATGCTGGGTGCGTTGAATGGGTCCAAGATGATAGTTCGGGCGATGACTGAGACAGTGGATGGTGGGAAGGACGGATGCAAGAAATGTAGTCCCAACTTCTCTAGCATCTCGCGCAAGGTGGCGTCTAATTCGCTCCCGAGAAAGATCCCCTCCTCAAGCACTCGTAAGCGCCCATCGTTGGCGACGAGCAACGCCAAGGGCTTCGCGGCAGCGACGAGTTCGATACGCAGTGGCCACTGCGGCAACCACTTCCAAAATCTAAAGAGCCAGCGGATCGTGTCGTCTGCAGCGCGCTCCTCGCAAGCACGCGGCAGGACACCGTCCAATTCTTGATGCAAGTACTCGAGAACGCGCTTGCAGTCCATGCGGGCAACATTCAAAGACGCTTCTCCACTTCGACATAATGCAGCCGAGATGAGGGACGGAAGTCGGTCGAGCGCTATCGCATTGGCATCATGACTTCCGAAGAGCTCGGCCTCTTCTTTATTGAGAAGGGTATGCCTCGATTGCGATGTCGTATGCAACATAATGACCTGCCCCGAGACAGTGGGGACAATTGGCAGCTCGGCTAAAAAGGACAATTCGTTCGACAAGAATAGATACGACAAGATCGCTTCTTTATCGGATGCAGGGAGTGCCGGCAGGTCGGAAGACACGAGCTGAACAATCAATTAGGAAACGAGCAATGCGCATGTACTCAAACACTCACCAACAGCGCAGCGTGTGCGGTTCGCGGTGTAAGGATCTTCGCAGAATCCCTGTGGTAGAGCTTCGCCTTCTCGATCATGTCGAAAATATAAGCGGGTGGTTGTACAATCTTCAAGCCGGCAGATACAAGCGATTCGAGAGCAGATCGAGGTGTCTGGACAGAAGCAACGATGACGGCTGATAACTTAGTGTACGCCGGAGGTGTGCTGGAGAATGTGGGCCAGACAGCGAGATCGCGGTCTAGTATGGCCTGTAGTACTTGTGCAGGCATACGATGCCAGTATACAGACTCGCCGCTCGACGCCTGATGTTGCAGAGAGGGCCAGACGTCGTAGAGGTCAGATATCTCCGCTCGCTGTCGCAGGTTCTGGAGCGAGAGCGCCCACGTCTTCGGTATGAAGTTCTCGAAGAGTACGCGATTCCATTCTATAAGCACTCTGCGCCGTAACAGTAAGTCGAGCCATCTCAGACATAGAGCTGCTGTAATACATACTTGTCGCGGGTATAATCCAAGACCTTCTCTCCCGCATTCCGTAGGTGGTCGCGCGCGTCGGTGAGGGCAAAGAGGGCATGTATGTGACAAGGAAACCCGGTTGCCAGTGGGAGAGGAAGATAGGTAAAAAGCCTTCCGTTCATCAAAGGCTTTGACATGAGTGGCACCGCGATTGCGACAGGACTGCCATCCGCCGGGCACAGCTTCTCGCTGTCGACATCAACAACGATGTCGTAGTCTTTGATTCGGCCCAGACGGTCACGGAGAGCATCGATGCAGGATTGCTTGGAGAACGACGCATGTAGGACCCGCCATGCTTGCGACTTGGAACCGGTTGACTGGCCTCCGGCATCGAATTGTTCTACGGCGATGGTCGCAACACTCGAATAGACCTGCTCTGCTATGAGTAAACCTCCATTTTGCTCGCGTGGAGTAGCTTCGCGGTTGATCTGGCAGCGCCCGATCAGTCTTTGGCAATCATCACTGATCTCCAACATCTCAATCTCCTCGACGTGAGACAGGAAGAGTAAGACCATGGCAAGTTCGTCCTCGACGAACTGTTGCATAAGCGTCCTGATCTCGTCTGGTCGAGGGACTTTGGTGCTGAGACGACTGTGATGCCCAGGTGTCCGCAGGGGGAGCCGAACAACAGTATCCAGGATGGGCAGTCCACGGAAGGGAGATAGCTGGTCGGGAGATCGCTCTTGGAGGGAGGTCGTGTCCCACTTCTTACCACCTTCGGGGATCAAGGTGCGATGTGGATCGAAGATGACCAGACTGCCTGCAGAGTATACTTCGATGTTGTCTGTCAACTAGCGACAAAAATGCGAACTGAGCATCGCATACGTCGGCAATGAGCTGTGCACTAACGTGATAGCCAGAACGCATCCCTATGCCGTATTTGCCAATTGTGCTAGTTTGCGATGTCACATTCACGAATGCTGAATTTATGGAAAGACGTACGAAGTATCAGTCTTTTTCGAGGATCCGTTGATAGATCTCAATGCATTCCAATCCTTCTCAGTAAAAGCAGTATCGTTACAAGCTAGCAGTGCAGCACCCTGAAGCACATTGAGCTTCTCGTCAGCGAGCCGGTCACTGGCGTGCGTTCGAAGGTCAAGAATGAAGGCCTTGACAGACGATAATTGAAGTCAGACAGGGAAGAAGGGAAGATACGAGAGTGGGATGCGCACCTGCTTGGTGGCCCTTGCGTCGTCGGAGTTTTGTAATAGCTCACGAAATATGCCTATACTAAACGGGTATCGCTTTAAGATGGATTCAATGTTTGCGGTGAGGTCGACGACCTCGTAGAAATCGCTCATAGTAGCGGATGTTCAGTTCTGGATAAGAGACGACGATGGTGGGACAGAGGGGGGAAACAGGGAACTCCGACTCAAACCTTCTCATTATCATATTGCTGCCTCGAGGCCAGGCCGCGGCCCAAGAGCTACGAAAGCGGGTATGTGGATTGCACATATCATCCGATAAGCCACACAAATAAGATAGACACTCGAAGGGACCCACAAGTCCAAATGCAGCACAACAATTGATGTCCTGCGAGAAATCGGAAAGTATGTCACGGTGGCAATTCATGCATCACTGATAAGTACAACGAACATTTCGTCCAACAGCATCGTCATGGAGAACGCAGCTACAGAGCCGCCAAATGACCTTGCTATTGAATATAACACGAAATTAGCTGCGGCCGCACAAGGGAGTACATGTATAGTCTGTTCCCCTGTGTAAAATAATATAAGATACTTGGGAACAAGCATACCCGATCAGGCTGGCGCGCTTTACAGCGCAGCACAAGACAAATGTTCTGTTGCTAAAGTATGTTACCACGACCATCTGTGTGGCCGGTGTGGTCAAGACTGTCGTACATCGATGTGCCAGAGTACGCGCACGTCGCAACAAAGTGTTCGTCCAGACTGAATGGATGGGCGACAGCCCGAGAAACTTGGCTACCTGAGGACGATGCGCGTACCCTACATGTAACTTCGCTTGGTCTGCATACGATGCATAGTCATGAGACGCTATAACCTCCAGAAAGTGGTCGAATGATTGCATAACAAGATTGAGATCATTAGACAGAGTTGTTCGTGTTGGCGACTGCAAGAGTGAGACAAGCCATGTAAGGATACTCCCAAGGGGGGTCCGTTAGAACTTGCGGCGACTCCAACCCTATTGGTGGTGGTGGTGGTCTGATTGGGATCAGGGGTCCAGGTTTAGCTTTTCAAGCCAAATCTGCCAAATTTCTTCTGTGCGATGCAGATCATGCGTTGTTGACCTCCGAATTTCCGGAGCTTCATCGTTACTGTATTCTGCGTCTCTGGAGATAGTTTTGGTCCAGATTGACCGTGGTCTGACCACTCTAAAGTGGGGGTATGTCTTCGTACGCCCTCAGCTGACATAACTATCTTATCTTGATCCTAGATATCGCATGACTCAGAATCTAATTTGTTTCCGACAAATTAGATTCTAAGTCATGTGATGCCACAGGATCGCCCTCGATCAAATTCTCGTTCATCACGTCCCTCTCCACCTCTCTGCATGGGCATGCACATTCACTGGACTCGGGACTCTGTTCAGTTCACTTAATTATACCACCAATATACATCAGAGAGGTCAACCATTGACCATACATCCTGAGTGTCTGTGCAAAGCAGCTACCAGACATGATCATGTGTCCTAATCTAATCTTATCCAAGTAGTGGTGGAAGATCCTGTACCAGGGGTCTTGCCGCTCACATCATTAGGGTTGAGGTGCGAAATTGTCAGAGCGGACCCCCCTTGGATACTCCGCACTGGGGCGTGGGCGCTTATCTTGCAACACAGATCTCGACGTCAAGCCTTGTCAAGCCCTCACAGAAGTATTAGTTCGGAGACAATGTGAGTGAATTCGGGGTATCGAGCGCAGTACTGTATGACTGTGCTCCATGGAATACTTTCATAAGCACACACGGATTGTTACTAGTCACAGGTTCTAAGGAGCCCAAAGAGTCGGTAGTAATAAGGGCCTATAACCTCATAAATAACATATCCGACAAGTCCTGGATAAGCAATTACATCGGGTGCATATCCCCCGCATGTCTTTCTCCGCCACCCGACCGCTGCTCTCCCACAAGCTTCCTCCCTCCTCCCGCGCCTGGCTAGCTCGTCAATTCCGTGATCCGTACGTGCGCGAACGTTCAGCAGCTCGCTTCCGTTCACGCTCTGCCTTCAAGCTCCTTGAGCTCGACGCCAAATGGTCTATCTTCCAGCCCGACGTGCTGACCGTCGTCGACCTTGGCGCCGCACCCGGAGGTTGGAGCCAGGTCGCGGCCTCCAAGCTTGGGTGGACGGAGGAGGATGTCGTGGGGCTCCCGCGTGGACATAACACCAATAGAAAGGGAAAGGCGGGCTCCAGCTTCGGGCTTCAGCGGCGCGCCTCTGGTAGATGGAGTGACTCAAGTCCCGAGCCCACAGAGGAAGACTACGACCCATGGGAGGAACTCTTTGACGACGACATTACACACAAGATCGGGCGGGGGACGGTTGTCGCAGTCGATCTGTTGCGCATGCTCCCCATACCCGGTGTCAAGACCGTCCAAATGGACTTCCTATCTCCCGAGGCCGACGCGTACATCGCGTCGCTAGTCAAGAGTGACATTAACCCAGATGGCAAGGTTGATGTCGTTCTATCTGACATGGCTGCCAATATCTCAGGCAACAAGACACATGATGTTGAGTCCTGCCTAGACGTCTGCAATGCAGCTGCTACCTTCGCCCGGAAGCACCTAATCGCGGCAGAGGATGTCAGCAGAACACACGGAGGAGTTCTCGTGTAAGCAGCTCACGACCTCTCAGCTCTGTCCCGCTGACGAGGCGCCACAGCGTCAAGTACTTTGAGCATCCGCTCTTGTCAAAGTTCCGTGCCAAAGAGCTCAAACCTTACTTTAATGCCGTTTACAATTGCAAGCCAGAGGCCAGCAGGTCAGAATCCAGCGAGGGCTACTGGATATGCATGGGTTTCAGAGGAGTCGAGGTGACAAGATGAGATGTCGGAATGGTCGTTGAGGATCATCCCCGTCAGTACAATGCCCAGTATCTATACTGCTCCCAGGAGCCTACTGTAGATCTGACTCACCCTCGCTCATTCTGCATAGACAGACCTTTTGTTCATCTCCATCGCGCATGTGTTTCCACAATATACCATGGTCTCTTATAGGCGAAGGTGAGGAGCGTAAGATAGCGCATGTTTTAGCGTTTCACCCCGTGTCATGGCTCGTAATACAGATTATTGTCACCGCCAGACTGTTACATGACGACATAGCGAAACGACACAGGACCGAGAAGATTGAGAGCACATATTGTCCTTTAAGATGAGTTTCAGCACGTGAGGACCGACAGAAAATGCGTGTATTTACCAATAGTGGTTTGATTACGCGCCGAAACCGTAAAGGGTGCGGCCGGAGCGCTTGAGAGCGTACACGACGTCGAGAGCAGTGACGGTCTTTCTACAGAGGAACAGATGTGCGGGTAAGTAATAGTTGAATGGAAACGTGTGGCGAGACGGACCTCTTCGCGTGCTCGGTATACGTGACCTGTGAAGTCGATATCTGAGTACTGCGGATCTCAGCCGAGAGCAACTGATAGAAGACATACCGAGTCACGAATGACCTGCACAGCAAGATCAGTCAGCGTGGCATTCATAGAAATGGCAACGTTGTACACACGTTCTCGAGGAAGATCTTAAGCACTCCACGGGTCTCCTCGTAGATCAAGCCCGAGATACGCTTGACACCACCGCGACGAGCGAGACGGCGGATAGCCTGCAACAATGGATGGCGTTCAGCTCAATCCTGAGCCACAGGGATTCTAGAGGACTACACGCACCGGCTTAGTGATCCCCTGAATGTTGTCGCGGAGAATCTTGCGGTGACGCTTGGCACCACCCCTGTCGCCACGGCGTCGTCAACATCGCTCAACACGAACGAGCATAAAGTACACACTTTCCAAGGCCCTTTCCGCCCTTTCCGCGTCCGGACATGTTGGCTAGTTGTTATTGAAAGGTTGAGAAAGCCGGAGTGTGAGAAGAGTGGGATGATAGTCCCGGTGGCGAGAAGATGGCAGTTGAGAACAAGAGTCGCCGAGGCAAGATGCGCCCAATGACAACACGATGCACGTGATTTTGTTAATGCTCTCGCGCTTTGCCCACGCGCGCTGTGGCGGCGATGCACCCTCCCCACTGTTCTGAACCGGATACTACTTGATCACTTGACACAAGTGTGTCCAACGACGGATATCACACACAGAAAAATGCCTGGAATATCTTTATGTCCTGGATATCATCAGGTCGACGCGTTCGGACCAAACGAGGAATATGAGTCCGAGGAAGAGATCACATATGTGACCCTCGACCTCGGCGCTGTCGAGCCAACGCTGGTCCCAAGCAGTTCTTCGTATCGTCTCATTGTGAGTGCACATACGTCTCGCGCTGGCGATGTAGCCGACATGCACAGGGCTGTCTGCGATAGGGACTCGACACTCCAACACCCTATTTGCAACTCTCAGGCACTATATTCAAGGGCCAGCACCAGTCTCTTTTAGGAACAGAACTGTTGTTTACGGACGCAGACGGTATGCCACGCACTTGCTTCGCTTCTGAGACACGGCCTATGGTAACGCCTCGGCCGCAGACGATCATCCCGATCGCACTAAGAAGTCGCTCGTGCCCGTCGGCACAACGGAGCAGCGCATCCGCTTCAAACAAGTTGAATTACGAGAGAAAAAGGAAGCCTCTTCTCCTGAGCTTCAGCCAGTGGGACAGGTGAACAAGGCGAAGACCAAGCGAGACAGGATCCCGGGAACCCTCGACGAGGTCGCAGGCAGCAGTGTGCCAGAATTCGCAGCATCTAAGCCGCGCAAGGGACGTAAAAGCAAAGCAGATTCAAAGGGGAAGGGTAAGGAGGCTGAGGACGCAGACGACGGGGACAACAAGTCGAAGAAACGCAAAGGGAAAGCGAAGGCAGGGCAGACGGAGGCTGAGCTAGACCGATCGGATGCGCATACTCATACCGACACCGCTATCACCGAGCTCGGTGCTCCTCACACAGATGAGGCCACTATAGACCTTACAGAAATACCTGCAACTGAAGGCGCGGTCCTTGAACATATGGACCATTATGGCAACTAATTACGGCCCAAGAAAAATATTGTACAGTCACCTAAAGGTAGATGCAATGGCAAATGAGTGAGACGAGCAAGGTGACTCCATAAAATAACGACAACCCCAATCATAAGACGTCAGTACCTCAGCCATAGGTACAACACAGGCAATCGAGATGTTATGCAGCAGCAGCGTCCTCCGACGGCTGCTTCGGGTCCTTTTCATTCGACAGGTCTTCAAGTGCGGTGCTGGGCTTTTGATCTGAGTCACGGATGTTCGACAAGAAGAACGTGCCGATACACGCCAGCGCCGCCCAGGGGATGAGCGAGATGAATGCCCATCGCGTTCCGTCTCTGAACGCGTCCTTGACAATTTGTTGCACTTCCTGCGGGAGCGCGTTGATGCTCTGAAGCGAGCTGAGAGACGAGGAGGACGCCTGCGATAGGCTGTTCGCAGTGGCCGCAGACAGCGTGCCGGAGCGTAAGAGCGACGTGATATAGCTCGCGACCTTGCCATTCAGGACGGCACCACACTGTGCAAGACCGACAGTGCCACCGAGCGCGCGGAACTACAACATACAGTTAGAATGAGGACGTGATATTGTAAGAATAATGGAGGCAGGTTACGCACAAACAGGGAAAGTGCTGACACAATGGCAACTTTGTCGGCGGGCTGAGAGAATCGCGCTTGCACTGCCAATGCGCCGATAGACATGCCAACCCCAGCGCCGCTCACGACCATGAAGCTGTTGCAAACTCAGCATTCTGAATCCTATATAAGACTACGGAAGCGTCGTACCCATCAATCATCGAGTCGTTATTCCGATCGACCGCCATTGACACCAGACCCAGCGACACTGTGATGAGGATGCTTCCAAGTATGATAGGAATCCTCGGCTGTGGTTTCAAATAACTAATTTGGACGATAACATATTGAGCAAGGACTGACCTGTCGCAGCCGTTTGATCAGGAAGATCTGTGTCAACGAGCCTGCGCCCTTCCCCAGACGTCAGAATTTCCCCATTGCCGTGTTTAGATTGCGCCACTCACAAGACCCGGAGCGAAATAGAGCAACGCAATTCCCGCACTGGTAGCGGTGTGCCCCGCGACGATCGTCATGAAGATCGACACGAAATAAAACATCACGAGCATGACCATGCCCGACACGAACGTCGCCGCCATCGTCACGCAGATGTTCAGCGGGCGGAACACGGTCAGCGGAAGCATTGGCTGCGTACGCAGCAGCCCACGCCTCGCGTCCGCTCCTGTCGACGCGGACGAGCGTCGCTGCAGGAACCACTCGAAAATAAGGAACGCGATGTACGCAATGCCCCCGATAACGAACCAAACGATCACCCGCGTGGTGTCCCAGCCAGAGATCGGGCCCTCGCTCAGCGCGAGCAAGATCAAAATTCCCCCGCCCATAGAGAGCACCGCGCCAATCCAATCGATGCGGAGCACCTTTTGGGAAAAGGTCTCTGGCTCCGAGGCCGTGCTCTGCGGTCCCTTCGCTCTTGTGCGCAGGATGAAGAATGCGAGCACGACGGCCACTGCACATGCTGGCAGGCTGTCGACGTCCGTCCCGTCAGCGGTGCTGCGAGGTAGCGAAGTGAGTGCAGCCCACTTACTTGATCGCGAAAATCCACCGGAAGGAGACGGTCAAGAGAGCACCGCCAATGATGGGTCCTGTGCAGTAGCCGATCGTGAAGAGAAAGAAAAGCATCGACTGCTGCCAGTTATTCGCATCGAGCGATGCTGAGTCGCTCATAATGATCCTGACCAGCTGCGAGAGAGTTGGCGATCAATAACGGGACAAAGGACAATCGCCATATCGCTTACCGCCTGTAGGCCCGCGGCACCGATTCCAGCGATACCTCGGCCTATGAGCATTGTAACCATGCTGTTCGCTCCGGTGCTGATGGCACTGCCGACCATGAAGAATACGAGCGCAGCTTGCAGCGCCCAGTGCCGTCCCCAGACATCGCCTATGGAGGCGAAGACGGGCAAGAAGACGGTCGATGACAGTAGATACGCTGTGCCGATCCAGCTGTGACATGTGTGTCAGTATGAATTCTGATGCGGACCGCGAGCGGTGTCGCTATGTACTGTACCTTTGAAGGTCAAGTCGGTTAAACGCGGACTGGAGTAACGGTGAGCGAATGTGTATGACACAAATGTTGTGTGTCCACATACGGCAATGTGGGTCTGCGCGGTGGCAACCACTACGGTAGAAATCAGCATTGAACGAATGCAGGTGTTCTTAGACTTCCCACCTGTATAGTCTAATGTCTCGAAATACACTGGAATGAGCAGTGCGATGCTGAGCAGGATTATCTGCCGACGATTAAATGCAGATGCTGCGGGTGCAGCCTCTTGTGCCATTTCGAGGTCCTGGGACGGGTCTCGCTGTAGCGAGGAAACCGGGGAAACATCATGCGGAGCGGACACAGGAACTGTCTCGTTGAGTGTACTACTGTAGGACGATAGCACTAAATGAAACGCATACAAAAAAGAAAACTCCAACATTTCGTTACCTTTGACGTGTCTGGGTTTTCGCCTTCGACCGCGAGTGCGCGACATATGCGAACACGGCCAGCATGGTGGGAGACAGGGGGGAAAGGGGGTAACGTATGGTCGCCCAATTCGTGGTCACTTATAAACGTTGGATAGGAGGCTTGAGCCGAGTTGACATTCCGTGCCTGGGCTGTGCATTGCGCAAATTCGAGGATTCGATTGAAGTGAGATCAATATTGCAACCGGGCAGCGCCTTAGGTAGACAGTGCGCAGCGGGATGCATCCGCAGGCTGAGGTCCTAATTGCTGCGGATGAACATGTTGCAACAAGCCTGCTCTGCATCGCCATAAAGCTCGTGCCGCGAACGGCAATCTAAAATTACGCAGACCATGCCTCAATCGCACCAAATGATCAGACAACTTGCAGGGCGCTTACATTGACAGGAGCGGGCTTGTAAACCGAGCCTGAGATGCTCGACGCACCGACCACTGTGCGAGTTATATATAGAGCGTCATGAGACCAGTAGAAGAATGGCTCAGAGGAATCATACTATCGCACTCTAGGTGTGCGCCCGCAGCAGGAGTGGATACGATGATTGTGAACGCGTTTATTTGGCGTCGGTGATTCGACTGCGGCACATTGATACGTGCACTGGATGGAAATTGACCGTAGTCGTCGCTGCATCCGGATCCTGCCTCTGCAAGGGCGATTGGAGGTGTCGAAGCTGGCGACATCTGAGTCCTAAAGGATCGCAGCGCTGTCCGAGCTCAAGAATAGTAAACATAAGAAAACAAGCTCAAACGGTCACAGACTCGCATAATAGCTACAAGTCGCGCCACCACTCACTGCCTGCTACGGTATCCTTCACCCAGCCCAACCCGAATATAATGTCGCAGGTGAGCATTCTTACCAACTGATTTGTCAGCTCGTGTCTAATAAACTGCATGGCTAGCCAACTGCTATTACCCCCGCGGGTGACGATGCAATTTCACTCTTAATGGCCAGCATCGGAGCCTTGTCCGCAAGTATGGTAGCAAGACTCGAGGCGATCGAAGACCAACTCGACAAGGCTCGTGAGGAACAAAAGGACTTCAACAAAACTCTTCTTAGTCAAATTAATCAAATAGCCGATCTGCGACAGAAGGTTCAATACAGACCGTAAGTTGTCTCATTATTACAAATAACAATTTGTTGATCACTTCACAGGGTATTCAAAGCACCTGCATCCTCACACACCGACACATCCGAAGCCGCATCCCAGGGTTCCTCGAAGAACCTTGGAAGCGAAGGAAGTCTCGGTGTACACGCTTGACCATTGTCACATTATTGCTTGATCGGACCTACGATTTGATGTTTCCACCCGCGAATGCAAGCTGCTATTCATGTCGGGGTGACTTCGTTAGCTCAGAGTAGATACTAGGATGTCGTAATGCCGTAGTCAATCAGCGTGCAGGTCTTAATCATATAGGTTTTCCCCGCTCTGACTCCCGCTGCCGGCTTTCCTTCGTCTCGATCCGGACGTACTCGCTCTCGTCCCGCGGCTCGTCGTCTTTCTTCACTGCCATGTACGCCTCGCCGAGGATCTGCAGCGCAATTGCGGCAAGCTGCGCCTTGTTCCGCGCCAGTGACGACTCTTCCAGTATGCGGTCGCACGTCTCGCGCAGGACAGACTCGATTTCCAGCTTCGTGCCCTGGGTGACGTGATCAGCACAAAGAACGTATTTGCGGCCTGCAGGTGACGAGCGACATACCTTGAAGAGTGTTTGCAGCACCTTCTCGGCGGCCTGGTCCTCCAGCCGCTTCTTGTCCTCCGGACTGAGGTTCCCGGCCTTCTCCGCTGCTTGGATCTGCTCAAACACATTCTTGAGATCCATGGCCGCGCGGACGGTTGAAACGCTGGATACGAGCTTGAGCATGAGACAGATGCAACGGAGACACTACTCACGTTTCGCTGAAGACGTGGTATTTACCCTGCACGTTATGCAACCAACCTCCAACGCCGAACAGGGTCTGATTGCTCGCAAGGAACTGTTTCGCCCGAGAGACATATACAAAGCCGACCGCGTGCAGAAGCTCCACGCCATATGGCTCCTTCTTCAGCTCGCTACGAGCGCATAGTCAACACTAACATATCAGAATTAATAAGGAAAGGTACACACTCCGCCTCGAGCTGACATATCGTCCGGAAGCTCTCCGTGACCTGCACGTCGTTCGGGCCTGTCGCCGATTCGGTGAAGATCCCGAGCTTGCGCTCCAGATTCTCTGATAGCTTCTTGACCCGCTCCGCGCGCACCGCCGCTTTCTATGCACGTCGCTCATCGTCCAACAACAGCACGATAGGATGCGGCGCACCTCAGCAGCCACCTTGCGCGCCTTCTCCTCCCGGCGCGTTTTCTCTTCCGGGCTCAGGATCTGGCGTCCCTTCGCGTCGCGCGGCATGTCCTCGTCATCTTCCTCCGCCTCCTGCATCGCCGCCTTCATGTCTCGTGCGAGACTAATCTGTCCGATAATGGGCAGGAAGCGTTCTCCTCCGAATATCGAGCCGAAGAGCTCCTGTAGCAGCAACCCGGTCAGGAAACGGGCGGGATAGATTCAAAGTGGAGCACAGACCTCGGGGTCGACGAAGCCGCCCTCAGGCGCGCTGTCCTTTGGACCGAACTCGTTGTACTTTTTGCGCAGCTCTGGGTCGGACAGCGTCTGATACGCAATTGCAATCTCTTTGAACCGCTCCTCGGCATGAGGGTCATCTCGATTCTTGTCTGGATGGTGCTTGATTGCCAGCCGGCCTGTACGAGCGCGTCACGGACGTCAACATTTAGACTCGTACACATGCCATATGCACTCACGATACGCCTTCTTGATGTCGTCTGTTGTCGCATCGACAGACACGCCCAGAATGTCATAATAGCCCGTCTCGAGTGGCTTCTCCTGCGTTCCAATCTTCCTCCCTCGGCGGCCACCTTGAGTCTGCGACGATGACGCGCCGTTAACACTTGACGAGGAGGATGGCACCGGGCCGAGGTTAGGTAGTTGTGACGGATAGAACGTATGCGTAAAGACGCCACTGCATGCACAACAGCGCACGCTCAGAACAGTGCTTGGACGCGGTGCAGGTGACGGTACGGGAAATTCAACGTGGGCCTGGCATCTCGAGCAGGCCGTAGCAATATGGGGTGTGTATGGTCGTGATTGAATCGCGTTCATGGTCGTGTCGCCCGAGGTTCCAGTAGAGAATAGAGGGAAGAAACCGGTGGACATAGGCAGACGGCTAAAGCGACTCCGCCGCGGTGTAGCAACAAGGATCCCGTACTGACTTCGTCCGAGAGTGCAGGGCGTTCACAATGTGTGGTTGAGAGACGGTGAATGCCGTCGTCGTGGACGGCGCTGAAACAGTATGAGGCCGGCCGGCCGCTCGCTGAGACCGCTGCCCGACAACTTACCGGAAACATCCACCTCTCTCAGATCCCATCTTGATCGCTGCTAGCTGGTCACTCTGAGGATGTCGAATCAAGCCTGTTGCTAGAAATAAACAACTCGACGAGCGGGGCATGCAGCTGAGCTGGCGGGCGCAACAATATTCACATATTAGGCGGCATGGTCTCCGAGAATATTGAGTTGTTACTGCACCGCAACGTGTACCAAGCGCGAGGATCCAAGCTAATTCCATTCCAATCTTTGAGGACAGGAAAGACAGATTGGCAGGTTATGATATATGCAGTCAGATAAATGTAGAAAACATGAAGATAAATGATCGATACAACAAGTGCGTCTATTCTAGTGTGGTGCGTTGCGACGTTAGAGGTTCATGAATGGTTCAAAGCATCTCAAAGAAGGAATAGAGGGAAAATGAGAACGAGAAATAGAGAAGTTCCTAGATTCAGTAAGTGATAGCATGGTGCAAGAAATGAGGTGCGTCTAGGGAATGAGGTCTAAACCGGCGAGATACTGTCAGGATCAGCGTTCATTCGCAGCTCAGCGATGTTCATGCGGGGGTCATCCGTGATCTGCTCCGCGTCCACCTTCACAAACACATCCGCACGCTCCTTCTCGTCGCCGCTCAGCTTCTCTTCCACAGCCGTCATCTTCGTCTCGGCGATGCTGTTCGCGTCCCGCACCACAGCCTCCTTTTTCGTGCGGTAGAACACGAGCATCGCGGCCCACTCGAGGCCGACGACGCCGAGCAGGAACCAGAACGCCGCCTGCTCGCCCGCATAGCCCTGCGTCCCGTGCGTTTCCTGCACGCTCGTCGTGATTGACCCAACTGCGGCGATACCCACCGCGGACCCGAGCTGCAGCGCGCCGTTGAAGATCGCGCCGATTGTGCCGGCCATAGACGCGGGCGACGTGCGGAAGATCGCAATACTACAAGAAAGAACGCGCGTAAGCTCACTATATGCGCTCGCAGGGGTTCAGAAACTCACTTCGTATGTGTATACGTCAGCATCGCGCCACCACTGCCGAGCACGAACGCGGGGAAGACGAACGACCAGTACTTTTCCGGGCCATCCGCGAACGCGAGGAGTATGGTCGCAATGACGAGCATGCTTTCACCGAAGAGGATGATCCACTTCGGGTTATACACGCGCGACAGCGGGCCTGTAAAGCTCATCGAGAAGGCGAGCACACCGATGGGGATCATGTGAATCGCGGTCGAGATGACCGGCCAGTGGTATGTGTCCTGCCAGAGCGTTGTGTACGTCGTGAAGATCGTCGTCCACCAGAAGTATGGGAGTAGCGCGGTCCCAAACAGCACGGAGAAGTTGGGCAGGAACCATGTCCGCGGCGGACTATCGAGCAAGGCGTGGCAATCAGGGAATGCTTTTGGAGAAACAATGACCGAAGACATACATTGCAGCGGTGGCAACTGGGATGCGTGTCTCGTAGTAGAAAAACCCGACGACCATGAAAATCGAGACAATGAGCGGGACGAGGACTTCAGCAGTCGCCCAGCCATCTGCCGAACCGGATGTGATGGCGAAAATGAAAAGAATCAACGCCGCTAGAAACGCACGAATCGTTAGTATACTGCCAGTCTCCCAACAGTATACTAATTTACCGGTTAGAATAGACACCCCGCCGATGTCAAGACTCTTCCACCTTGCACCCTCGACATGGACAACCTCCTCTTGCGGTGGCACGAGAAGGAAGCAGATAATAGCGATGGGGAATGCAACCATGGCCACGAACCAGAAGACCCACGACCAGGATGCATATTGGACGAATATGGCACCAATAATCAGGCCGAGCACTGGGATAACGACGTCTATTAGCATGTGCATTCCACTTTGAGGTGAAAGCCCACTCACCATTACCTACGGCGCCACATCCGCCGAACACACCAATGGCGCGTGCCTGCTCGTTCGGTTCGACAAACACGCTCACGAGGAGCGAGAGAGCCGAAGGGATGGTCATCGCAGCGGCTACGAGTAGCTGTAGGTAAGAATTTCGAGATACTATGCGAGGAAGGACTTACCGATGCCACTGAGGGCGCGCAGAACAATAATGGCGATCTTGTCTTTTGCGAAGCCAGCACCAATGGAAATTATCCCAAGAGCAGCGACGCCACCGATGAATGCCACCTCTGCAAACGACCGTTACCATATCTGAAACGAGCGGCTTGGATGGATACTCACTTGGATTGTAAACATCGCTTATGCGACCGCTCTACGCATCCAGGGTTAGCATCTCGGGTCTGACCTCACCTCGTTCCCACTCACAATCAATAGGAACGAGGCAAAGGTCAGCTGGAATGCGCTAATGATCCAGGTTGACTGGCTCTCGGTAATGCCGAGCGAATTCTCTAGGGATGGGATGGCGGAGAAGAGAGCCGAGTTGTTGAACGCGTCTAGGAATTGGGCGAAGCAGAAGATAATGAGGAGGAGATATCGCCGGAATGGCGAAAACCGTTGGGGAACCTTGCCGTCGACGAGTGTCTGGGTCGGCGAGAGGACGTGGTTGGTTGGTGGTGCGATCATGTCTATTCAATGAATCTATGTCGAAAGGATGCTAATGTCTATATCTTGCAGCGTGCCAGTGTACAACAGTAAAGGAGAACCAGAGAGATGACCGAAACCCAAGAGAGACAGACGGGAAAGAGAGAAGAAAGCAGAAGAGACAAAGAAAGGGAGACGCAGTGAGGGAGAGACAAAAGGACGGCTTTTATCACCTCGACGTGCGCTGACTGATCTCATGCATAAGCCGGACGTTTATATGGCCTCCGCAATGCGGGGCGCCTCAATTTTCAGATTAGCAACCAGGAGGAAGGTGCCCCTAAGAGCGCGCGGGTGCGCGGAGAAAACCATCGAAATCAGTCGACGCTGGTCGAGAACCGGCATACTACCGATCGAACTTGGAAATCGCTGATTAGATTCCCCGCGTCCAGCCTAGAATCCAATTTCGCACAGTCCTATTGGTGGACGCGACGAATGACTCACCGTTTAGGTAACAACACAGCGACCGATCGTATACACGTTCCGCCGGAGCCGCTGCTACCTGGCCAATCATCGCGAGATCATCTGGCTCTCATCACGTTCCCTGACCGCCTGCTTGCCTGCCTCAACGCCCAACCGGTCGACAGCGCGTAACCGCAATGTTTTCGTGTTTCGTCCGGCCTTATCTGCGCTTGCCCTGCCCGTCAGAACTCCGAAACAGTCATTTGACTGGCATCCAGGAACTACGTTGTCCTGTACGTCCACCAGCTACGTACGTGAGCCTAGCGTCGCCGTTTTCCCCCTTCCGTCATCAACTTGTGACCGCGGAGGTCGCCCATGAGACCTTCATCCTTCATGCCCTTTCGTCAAGCTGGTCGCTGCCTTGGAGACCCGGGAGGCCGCAATTCCCTGATCGTCGCACATGCCAGCTGGCATGTCGTGGCGTTGCTTCATCTGGGTGATATCGTGATTCACCAGAAGACTGCGACAGAGGAAATCGACTTCGTGGTTCTGCAGAAAGAAGTCGATGCGCTACCAAAAGAGCATACGTAATGGCCTGGCCGGCTTGCCTCGCAGGACCCTCGTTTGCGACGCTGTGTGCTCAGTCGTCGCTTCCTTGCTCGGGTGCGCAGGCGGCTACGTGAGCGGTGAAGCGACGCTCGCATCTGCACAGAGTTGTTCTTCTCTCGAGTCTCACCTGCCCGGTACTCGCGCGGCTGAACGCCTTCTTAACCTTCGCATGCTACCTCGCGTCGGCCGCACCGCTTCGGATGTGCAATGCTGCTTGCACATCGTACCGCCTGCGGACCTGTGATCATACGATTCTTTGTGAGGGCGCTTTCCTTCTTGTCGACTCCTGATACTAGCCTGAAATCTTCATGACGAGGACAACGTGTGCCCGCTTTTCGTACGTCGTCATCGTCCAATCCGACAGATATCATCGGGGACTGTAAGATAAGTGCCACGTGTAGCTCGCGGCACATTCACACCGGGCATTGCGGCTTGCTCGGAGGTTTAGGGTCGTTCTTGAACGGGCTATTACTAGCTCACCTTCTCCTCCACTTCTTCCCATTCCCCGAATTCGTCAAGGTATCCACTCCGACCACCACAGGCACAATTTGTAAAGGCATAATATCCGCACCACGCCCTCACGGCCCGACCAGCGCTTCGAAGCGACGCGCTATGTGCCGTTGTGAAGCTTCGTTACAGTCTCAGCAAGACGTGGCTTGGTACATGCGCTACTACTTTCGTATTTGAATCCTGAGCGTGAGCTCACTGGCGAATCGCTCGGAGAGCAAACAGCCCACGGCTTCCCACGTCGCCGTCGTCCTCGTTTCAATGAAGCCGCGCCTAGTTCTCTCCAGCAATATCAGAACTGGGAAGGTGCCAACAACGAGACTACTCCCGGTGCCGGGTGCCCATTCAGCTCGCAAACGGGTGAGCGAGAACGCGAGACCCGGTCCGACTCCTGGCGCGCCTGAGCCGGCGTCGAGCGGCTTGGGTTACGATGTCATAGGACCTTTCCTAGGGTTAGGGCTTCGCGCCACCTCTCCGCCAGCCCCGCCTTCTTCACCACTCTGTCTATTGAGGTGACGAGGTTCCCCTGTTAAATATAGTCGGCATGCGTCGAGCCCCACTTCCACAAGACGCTATATATGAGTCGCCTGCCAAGGTTCAATCCCCTCAACGTACTGTGTTCTTCTAAGACCTCATCTCGACGACCTTCTCGACTACTTTTTTTGACTTGTATTACGCTGTAATTATCACCATGGGGTGCGTGAAGTGCGGCTGTTTGACAGTTGCGGGTAAATACTCACGTCACAACCCCTGTAGAATCATCTTTTCTTGCATCGCAGGAATCTTCGCCTGCATCGCGGATGTCGTGATAGCCGTCGTCAGCGGCATTGCTGGATGTATTGAGTTGATCATCGGAGGTGAGTGCTTTTCAGCCTTTGAGCGTCTCGTCTTTATGCCCATGAACTCACCACCCTCATTCTAGCAATTGGAAGCTTCTTTATAGGCATCTTCGACTGCATTGGGTCGTGTCTATGCTGCGGAGCGTAAGTTTGCGTGGCATTACGCCCTGATATATAGAGAACCAATGCTCACGATGACATTTCAGAGGAACAGCGGCGCCCGCAACGTATTAGTTGATGGCACCGGAATGAAGGCATTTCCGGGGCCAAGAACTCAACGCCCTTGACCTCGTATTGTGTTTACCTTTGCAAAACGTGACGCGTCATCTCAATACCCTATGTATACATTTGCATAATACCACTCAGTTCATTGTTGTCGCGCTTTCCATTATGAATCAATTGTCTTTTGAAGTGCAAATGAAGTCTGCCGGATCGGGGGATACATTATCGCTGTCCCTTCCCGCGTGGCGCAATTCGTCAAGGCATCGCCTACCCCCACCCCCAGGACGAGCATTCCATCGAATGATAATGATGAGCGAACATCCCGCATTGCTGGCAGACTCAACTGATCTGCACGGCACTGATTTTGAAGATCTATGACACGATCGACGCCTCTCAGTCACCAAACCTCCTGTCCGTGGAATTTCATTTTCGGCGTTCTCCTAAAGCGTGCAGCATGAATGTTCAGCTCGGGCACGTCGCGTCGATGAAACGAGCTACTGCGCTGGCGACCGGTACTTTGCACTTCGCAGTATCCCATTGTTGATCTTTCGCGGCGAGGGGATGTGACAGGAGCTAAAGCGGCTGGTGCAGATGGCTCCAGGTCGATTTGGCAGCTCGAGCTTCTCCAACCTCGTACAACGTGCAGGGTCCCCAAGACAATACGAGGTTTCAGGTTGCAAGACGGGCGTACAGTGCGTGCTTGCACTCCATTGATACACGGGTATAGATGCCCTTCGCATCAGTGGCACACAAAGGTCTACAAAGCAGGCCAGGCGTCCACCATGCCGACGGAGTCCTCTTCCTGCCAACACACCAAGATTGGCAACACGACGTGTAAGCGTATGGTGCCCAATTGCGGATTGGTTGCAGCATGGCGGGTCCAACGGGTTCGAACTTCGAGCTGGATGGTCTTCGATAAAACCGCTGCTCGGAAAGCGATGGCTCAGATACAATGCTGTGACGCCTCATGCCCCGCGCTTGTGTACCTCTGCGAAGTGTAATCGATGAGTCTCGGATACTTTTAAAGAGAGCGACATCGAACCTGTTTCAGCTGCAGACCGTCCGTAAAGATGCCAGGCGGGGAGGTTTCATGATCGTCGAGCCCTGTATCTGAGCAAGATCCAGTCTCTAGTGTTAGTATGACCTGATGCCCCGGATGAGACAGCAGTGTATCGGGAAGATCATCGTCTACATATCATCGTGGACGAAGCAAGAAGTTCCGAACTTGAATGCACCTCATAGAACTGAACCCTAGAAAGGGACATTTATACCCGTAGATGCATAACATATGCTCGGGACGACAGAGGTCTTGCGGAAAGATGGCCAGAGGCTCGAGATGACTGCGGCTACATTATGGACTAGATATTCATGTAGAGCGTAGGCACTCGCGCCGCTTACCACTGAAAAAGTTATTTGAATGACGATGGTCCATGTAGACTTTTTTCCAGAGTAGCTACAGCAACTCCTTCCATTTTACCGCATATGCATGATGTCGATGCTTAGTGCTAGAGGTGAAGGGAGGTCACAGCGGTGTGTGTGCACTTAAGTATGCCGATGTGCACCTTTGCAGGTGAGAGTCAGCGTGCTCACCTTCATGCCGGGCCAGATAATCTAGGCTCCATTTGCACAACTTCGAATGTCAATTCATGAAGGCAAGCTCCAGATTTGCCAGGCCCCTCCACAGCAGGTCTAGCGCGAACAATCGAAGGATGGCGTGTGCGATTTTAGACCTTCCTTCGATTGTCCGCGACTGTCGCATTAAATCTTGTCGGTGCTAGTGGTTGTGGAGGATTGATTAATCCTCTAATCCAGAGATTGTCTCGCATACTACGTCCTCGTTCTGCATAGATGAGGAGCACTGGTGAAGACGGAATTGCCAACGGATAAGCGCTGAACTGCGCCCTGATATAAGACAAGCGAGATTTGCAGATGCATGCTATGTTCATATCGTCGAGTATCGCTCGCTTCACTAGGTTTTTCAATGTCGCTGTGTGCCCAGCAACGATCACACTTGAGGAAAGGCAGGCCTTTTAGCAGGGGCACTCGATGTGCAATCCTGCCGTTATTCTCGAAAGCAAGGGCCTGTCAGGAGCACATGAAAGAACGAAGGAAGACGTTGAGACAGGAAAGTAGGAGAAAGTAAAAGGTAATGTAAAAAGGCAGTAAAACGCTGGGGCAAAGCGAGAAATGCTGCGAGATCTGTATGTAAAGTACAGAAAAGGCCCGAGAAGGTTTTCGAACAGTAGGGATGGCTTCGATAGCGATGAAGTATGAGAGATGGTAGGTAAAGCGAAGTCTTTTGGATGATCGGATGGTACCGGATTATGTAGCCGGACTATCCAAAGCGTAGTTCGTACTAGTGGTGTGTATGTCTTAGTGTACCTGTATATATGCATGAACAGGAGTATCGTGTATATCCAGAAAGGGTTGGGAATGAGCCTCAGCGGCGTCGACGTTCCCATGAGAGGGTGGTGTATGCTGGTGGCTCTACGACCGCCGAGTCGGCGTTGTAGGCCACTCGCTAGGACGATTGGGTATATAGGTATCGTCTGACGCATTGATGAGCAGAGGTTCTCTTGTTATATTTCTCGACACTTACCGTCCAGGCACGCTCGTGGGTATTTGTCGGGATGTGTAGCTGCCAAAAAGGCGCTGGGTATATCGTCGCAACACTCTATGCTGGAGTAAGTTTCACAGGCAGACTATCAGAGTGGCGCAAACATGAAGGAAGTATGACTTACTCACCGACGTAGTCAGATAGTGTCAGCATGATGGTCATACCGATCGTGGTTCTCTTTCAGCCACGATCACCAACTACCTCACACGACGCAATTGTAGAGGGCTATATTGGTGGAAAAGTTATCCGTGTACCAGTAATGGTCCACCCACGCCTCTGCAAGGAGTTGATCAATATGTGTGCATGATCATACAGGCCATGGCAATGCTCACCGTGCTCCAGGTCACGCAATTGTCTGATACTGTCATCGAGCCAATGTTGGGTGACAGTTTGATACGGCATTTCATCGTAGCGAACACGGGCTGGTCCTGCTCAAGAAAGCTCAGTAAGGACATTCGCTACTAGGGCCGACTGGCATGTGCTCACCTTCGGGGAACATGACGTAGTCCTCCAAATTGACATCTTGGGAATTCGTGACGTCTTCGTTTGCGTCGAACGGCCTCACAGACGTTCGGACATCTTGGTACCATACTTTTATCCCTGCCAAGTCAAAGTCCGTACTGGTCAATATTCTGCCGCGAGCTGGAAGTGACGGCGCACTACTGACCACTGTATACGCCATCAGGAGGATAGGTCGGCACATATGTGAGGTATGCCACATCCTCCTCCGCATTTGTACCTTGAATCGCGGGTTTGGACGATGAGGTGGACGGCGTCACTCCCGTTATCTCGTCTTGGTACCACAGGTTCTCCTCTGCCAAGTTCATACTAGTCAATAACTTGCCGTGAGTTGGAGTGACGAGGCACTACTGACCGCTGTATGTGTCATCAGGAGGATAGGTCGGCACATATGTGGGCTGTGTCACGCCCTCCTCCGCATATGTACCTTCGTTCGCGGAGGGGAAAGCTGATATGGATGGCGTTAGTCCCGTCTCTCATGAGTCAGATCAAGATGTCTCACTTTCAAGTCCATGCACCTCCTCGGTGAGGTCTATAGGCGTGTATAGATCGACACCAGTGAGACTGGGGACTAGTGCAAAGAAGTCGGGCTCGAGGCCGATTTCCTGCAGCAAGGCTGCGAAGACAGGGTCATCGGCAGGCGTCGGAAGCCTCATTGAAGATTCCCCTGAGGAATCACGGCTGCTGGCAGGGTTAGGTGCCTGCGGATCTTTATGAACAGGCTGCGCGAAGCCTTGTATACCTATCAAGGCAAGTTACGGATAAAAATACATTCATCAAACCATCGCTCATGGATGCTCACCTGACTTGGAAGCATGGTCGTGCTCATCAACCGTGACAACTGTGCACTCGGCCTTTCGTTTACCCTTGGCTTTGCTTGATAGACCCGCCACAGGCGCACTCGCGAATACCCGCTGGCGTTTTGCCTCAGGTTCTGCAGTGCCATCGACCGCCGCGCTCGCAGATTGCTCCGGCGTTGAGTCGCTGCGCTCCTTGCGCTTGCGCCCATTGACTGGCAGGGTCGGTGTAGCGGCTAATGGGGCCGCCCGTCCATGCGATACACCGATATTAGACGATGTACTGGGCTGCGCCGATAGCTGTTGGCGTTCCCAAGTGCCTTGAGCCTGCGGTGTGTTGATTGTGTGCGTTGCAACGCCTGCGAGAGGCGTAGAGCCAATCTGTTGTGCCACAGGCAGCGGGATCGTGCGGTTGCGGGGCACGCCGAGATTGGTCGATGCTCTCGGCTGCGCTTGCACCTGCTGCTGTCGTGCCCATGCTCCCGGGAGATGTGTTAGGGCAGCATGCGACGGTTCACCTGCATGAAGGGCATAGCCAGTCTGTGGCGCGAGCCCTTGTGTCTGTGGCACAAAGCCAGGCTGTGGCGCAAAGCTCACAGGGCCCACATAGCCAATCTGTTGCTGACGAATGCTCCACGGTTGAACTTGCATCTGTGGCGGGGTAGCCAAGAATCTGGTAACCTGGTACCGAAAGTCGTCGCGGCGGATCGGAAAGCCGTCGAACATCAGGGCGCATTGTGTGACATCCACTCCCGCGGCATGCATGAGCTGAGGTAGCTGGGAATATGACATGTAGCCTGGAGATGATAAGGGAGATGAGAAGGTTGACACGGCGAGTAGACAGTAACAGTCTGCTTACCGCGATATGTGGCGCTGTCGAACCCTTGTAGACTGTAATACCTCTCCGCCCACCAAGGCATCCACGGGGCAGGTGAATCAGCATTCGCGATGAGACTCTGTCGTCACGACCATGAGCACACTAGGATATTTTTATCGAGCAAGAGCCACGCACGTGTCGCATTATGCAGTCTTCCATCGGGACAAACTCAAATGGGGAGATAATTGACAGGAAGATGCCATCCTACAAGACTGTTAGCACGACTCAACCCATTGTGAGTGCTCTCTCACATCTCGGAGTTTCTTGGCGATTGTCGGTTTGGCCGTGTACTGCCTTTGAGAGGGGCATGTGGCGCGCCACACGATGATGTACTTGTTGAATACGGGTACATTCATCGACGCTTCCCAGTTGCGCATAAGCTGCATGGTTTAGATGAGTACGTCTCCAGAGGAGGGTGATTCACGCCAGATGTACTTTTACAGAGTCACCCAGGCCCTGATTTGGCTGCATAACCAAGTTGTTCTTGGGCGCGATTTCGTACGAATGTTCGACGACCTGCAATTGGCATAAGTCGCGAACCTTCACTCAAGAGACGTTAGAACTCACGCCGACAGCAGGATACAAGCCTTCGAGTCGCGACTTCAGCGCCGCCGCACATGCAGGGTTGAAAGAGTCCCTGGCGGGACTTTCAAAGACGTGCAGGATCAGGTTGACGGATTGTGCCATGATTCGCTATTGTGAGACAAGACATGTAAGTGGGTTAATGTTGGTGGTGAGAGATCAAGAGAAAGGCAAAGCGGGAGGATAAAAATACACGGTGGCAGCGATTTTAAGCACCGATGTGGCTGGGTCACGTTGTGTCCACTTCGCCACACTCCTTTTGTTGAAGCAACACTTCCCCGTGCCAACTGTGCTGAACGATACCTTCGAGGGATCAATGCCATTGTTGTTGTTTCGCAACGTCCTGTATGTCGGCTGCGATGCCTGCTATGCGAATGGTCATCGGGTGCGCTGCGGTTACATGCAAGGATTATGAACTCACCCCTTCCTCCGCCGGCCTTTTGCGCGGGGCGGATCTCCAGATATCAGAGCGCCAAATGATATTGCACGTACTGTCGACGCTGCCTGAAAGAGGTAATACTGTGGTGCCGTACCTTGTCTGTCGACGTGTCCGACGCGTCATACATAATGTTTCCTGCCTTGTCCATCGGAATATTCAGATGGCCGTCCTATGTGTTCTGCAACCCGCGGGTTTCGTTTGGGATCGTACATGCTGTCACTATCGCGTATGGTGGCGTTGCCTGCCGTCCCAAAGTGAACATCATTTGATGTCAGCCGTACCTCGTATGCATGCCTTGATCACCGTCTTGGCTTGCAGAGTTGAATGACAGATTGGTGTGTGACGTCTCTGCAGACTCTGTCTGATATTAATACACGACAGTTCTGCTTCAATCGATACCGAGAAGGAAGTAGCTCGATGCATCTATTACGACGAGAAGGAGGGCGTTCACCACGAGATAAAGAATGACAATCTTAGGACATGACAATGAGACACCTCGAATGAACACACGCGCGTCCACCTTTAGCGGCGAGAATGGGGTGTCCCGACATCTATCCGCTGTTTAGATGTGGGAAAGACCTAGGCAGGCAATCTAAACGACTCAATGCAAGCGCCCTCATATTCATGGGCGAATCGTGTTCATATTCAATGCCTGCTTAAAGGGCCACTCACGAACATTCGCCGACACTTTGAAATCGGGGTCGTACCATTGTCCTAGACCATGAACAAGTCCCCGTGTGAATATGTTTTGCTGCTTGTCACCGCGAACCATGTGCAAGTGATCGACATCGAGCTTCACTGCGGACCCATGCTACATGAACAATTCAAGCTCGCGAAGATCGATTCTCAAGGTGCTCCAGGACACAACTCTGTGACTTGGGCACAAAAGCGGCGGTTAGGGTCAAGATACAACGGCATCCGAGTGGCATCCAACGCACATCTCCGCATATTGTCTCGTTGACCAGGAAGCAGCAATGTCCCAAGAGTACGCATGATACGACCGAGCTAACTTGGTCATATAATAGCGGTCAGGACGATGATGAGCTTTTCCAATAGTCGACAACGCAAGGCAAGGCCATTTAGCGACAGGGGGGGGGGGGTTCAAATCCTAGATTTATTGACTCGATCGAGCTCAGTCGTGATGGCCAGTGGCGCAACCCGATTGGTCGCTCGGCTTTCGAAAGGAGACGATCCGAGTAAGATCCTTTCCAGCCTATCTACTATCAACAAGGGCGGGGAGTGCTATGTTGAATGCTGCAACTATCGCGATTCCAAGCGGGCTGCGGGTCTACTGTCAAGAAACGAACTGGTCGCTTGTCGCGTTGGAGAGGAGTTGTATGTAAGGGGCCAAAGTCCAGCACAATGTCACGCCGATATACATCACGAATAGAGCCGACTACACAATGTTATAACAGTCTGCTGCTAGTATATCATGCTTCGCGGGGTATCAGATTTTAATGCTGATCGCACAAGCACTGGCATAAGTACATGGCAGGCGGCAAATTCTCACAACGATCACTACAACGAATACACGGATGCAACAGGAAGACTATACACTCTCGTGAGGACCAAGTCTCCTGTGTATATATTCCGAGAAGCAACAGAGCACACATTGACTGAGTGCTTGAATGCAAACTACTATGGTGCGAGCTCGAGCCCGTTGATATGGTTCCTTTGGCCGGCCACCATGACAGCCTTGGCATACGCTTGTAAATAAAGGTCAGAAATGGGTATAGTTTCCGGTGAAGACCGGGGGTATCTGGGTATAAAAGGCTTGCGTATGGAGTATCGGCTATGGATGGATATCGGCGCGTGGCACGTCATCCACTCGAGACGGACGATGGGGTCATCGCTGGGTGTATCTCGTCGACAGGCCCATGTTTGTGGTAGCGCGCCGGCTAGTGGTGGAATTTAAGTGAGAGAAATATGACATCCTACAATCAACAGACGTACCGATGGGTCTGCGCTGATGGCTTATTTGAAACCAGCAGGAAGGGCTACAAGTCCAGGGTCTGGCGCCAGCAATCGGGGTTTGTTTACAGGTTGCATACGCAAGACATTATACCTGGGGCACCGATTGACGCGAAGCATTCCCGTGATGTCGTCACCATGACTTCTTTGTCAGGCAGAGGTGTAGTGTGCTAGGACAGGGTCAGCACGTACCACATTAATCTGAATATACGCGGCTCACCGGCGAGATAACTCAGCCGGTTGGACGCATCCCGTACTGGGGCACCGGTCTGGGAACAATTACGAATTCGCGCATGCTCTGTTGATTGAAAATTGAGCTGAACCATTCGTATATGCTCTCAGACCCTGCACAATAAGCTCATTTAGTAATGCAACGACAGCAACCGCGGTATGTGTACTCACGATTCTCGAGAGGTGTGATAGTTGAGTATCCGGCGGCTGCCTCGCTCGGTATATACGGATTCTCTTCTAGTGGACGCCACGTTTCGACCAGGTAGTAGTCGAGTGGCGTAGGGAATGCTTTCATGTGTACGTGAGCCAAATCATAATTGATGCATTCAGAGCACTCACTGTTTACCGTAAAGCTACGAACGACCGTAGGCTCCCCGGCTTGCCAGCCCATGTTCTGGATATCCATGCCCGCATGGCTGATAGCCGCTTCGTGCAGTGACTCGTTGGTGGTCACAGTAGCAGGGCGTCGGGTCTCTGTGAACGCATCATCGGCTGGGAGCGCGACTCAGCAACATAATATGCGATTAGATCAAACTGATGGTGCTCACCAGTATCATCAGGCCCGTCGAAGAGACTATCCATATCCGAGAACTCATATCCTTCGTCAGCGCCATTGCCTGAACCAGACATCAGTGGCCGATTACTCATGAATCACAATCGCGCTCACTTGTGTCTGCCGAGACAACCGTGTGTTCGATCGAGCGAGCATCGTCCTGCTCATGCGTTCTCCGTGCCTGTGCCTTGGGAAGCTCCCGTGGGACAAAGTCCTCGAGGGAGACGTCAGCCGCAATTATGGGCGGCTTCGGAATGCCCGCAGGTAAAGAAAGCGCGGTGGTACTCGCGTTCACAAGCGAAGTTGTCGGTCGTCGCGCATGTGGCGCCTGCGATATATGTCCTGTTAAGTTGGATTACTATCAGCTTCCTTGGCAGCATATCCAGCAACTTGCAAGACCTACCCGTTGCGTGCACGTCCACGGGGATCTGAGCATCGGGGCCAAGGGGAGTCATAGCGGCCAAGGAGCTGCACCGTGACGAGCCGGCAGTGCTTGCAGGTGTAGGCGACCACGACGAAGGTGGCGGCATGTGCGATCTTCGGCCCACGACAGCCTGGCGTGTTGTCTCTGTGGGCTGCACTGCATTGCTATTAGCATTGGAGGCTGACGCCATCTGCTTCCTTTGCTTCGCCTGCGGCTGAGCAACGTCGCCCAACGATGCATCAACTTCTTCTACCCGCTTCCGCTTCAACCCGCTCGGGCCCACAGATGCTGCTCCCTGGGGTGACCCGTGTGTGATGGGACCACGGATAAGTGGTGGCGTGGAAGTGTTCAACGTGGGGGCAGAAGGCCCATTCCCTTGTGAACGAGGCGTTTAGATCAATGTCCGAAAAAGCATTACCAGATGCCAGAGATACTGACCTGGTGCCAACGGGTCGAACGAGATATCTGTGGCCATCACGGGAGGTCCCACGACAACAGTGGGCGTGCTACGTGATGGAGTCATGGTACTCGCCACACTGCGCATGAGTGGCGACGCTTCTGGGGCCTGTGGCGTGGTCGCGCCCTCTGTCACAGTTTCCGCGGCGCGAGCCTTTTTGCTGCTGCCACTGCGCTTGCTGGACTGGGCTGCACCTGACGTCTGGGCGGTCGCTCGAGCGCGCTTTTGCTGTGGCTCAGCCGCGGCCACACCTTCGTCGTTGACCCTTGATGCGGCATCAGAACGCTTCCTCTTCCCACTCTTCCCAGAACCCGCGCTCGTGCCCGTGTACGATGAAGCAGCAATATCCTGCTTCGAGAACTTCACCTTGTCGCTCGAGCCGAGGTTGAAGCTGCCTTTTGGCTGCGATGCAAGCAATTGCTGGCGGCCCCATTCTCCCTTCGGCTTCAGCGCAGGGAGTGCCGATGGGGGCGCGCGTGGCGTCGGCTGTCGGGGCCCTGTCATCGTAGTCTTGACCTTGGTGTCGTATTTCGGTCTCGACCCAGACTTCACTTTGCCCAGTCCAGCGGCCATCATCACATCGGCACCCGCAAGCGTGCAGACCACTTGCCCTGCGAAGCACGAACCAATGGAACTTAGCAAACAGAGTAGAAGCAACGGGCTCGATGAACAGAGACTTACCGCGATAGGTCGGTGTCCCGAACCCACGGATGCAGTATACCAAGTGTGGCGGCCAACCTTCCCAGGCATCCGCATTGTCAGGCGCCACAAAAGCAGTCTGCGAGGGCGAATCTGTGTATCAGCCACATGTCGTGCTGTATATGGGGACCAGAGGCCACTTACCTCGTCCATGAGCTGAGCCTCCGCATCCGCGTACGGGTGAGTTGAGACCTGGGAAAGGAAGATGCCAGCCTGCGCTCGTTCGTCGTCAACATAAGCAAGCACATCATGGACAAGATACACACCTTCCGAATGTCCTTGACAATGTCAGCCGATGAATCCCAAGACAATCGAGTGGTGATCTTGCTAGAGCGCCACAGGATGATGTACTTGTTGAATACCAGCTGCCGGTGGTCGATGCAGGTCTTCTCCAGGTCTTGCATCGCCTAGCATGTCCTATCAGTAGTTGTACGGTGACGTTGAGCACCCTGACATACAATCAATGCCTCTCTCACGCCCTGAGTGGCGTCTTCAGAGCCTGCCTTGCTGTGGCGATATTCTCTAGTCGCCTCCTCGATCTGTGGCACGATGAAGCGCATGAAGGTGAACTTCGACGCCTCAAAGCGTACCTCAACGCTTGGATACAATGTCTTCAGACGGTTCTCGAGGACCGTGGCACAGTCGATTCTTCGCGAGGTGGTCTGTGGCTCCTCGCACAAGTGGACAACGAGGTGCACGATTCCCTTGCTAAATGTCGAAGTGGAAGAAGACATCGTTTCTTTTATATGCGCATTGGCATAGGGGTAGTGTGTGTTGTTAGGTCGTGTGGTGTCAGGTTGGTAGGTGGCGGTTGAAAGAGAAGAGGGGTCGTGGCGAGAGCCAAAGCGACTGTTGGAATTTAAGCAGCGCCCAAAATGGTCACGCTGTGTCCCACTCGCCACCAGCCACGCCCTCGTCCTTCCCAACCACCACCATCTCGATATCCCTTACCTGCATTCCCATATAGCGCAGTATAGTATCGGATATCTTAAATCTTCAGAACATATATCTTGACCATGGTCACCACGCATTGGTGTGGCGGTGTGGCGGTTCATCGCGTACAACGATGTTGAAGCGACACCTTCGACGTATCGAGTGCGCTGACCTTGACGTTCAATTCCATTGACCCTCTGAGCATCAGGGAGGATGGGGTCAGAAGGTGACTATGTAATAAACATACGTGCACTTGGTCATGCTTCAAGCCATTTAGACCGAGTCATTTAGACCAAGAGGACATCTAGATCTCAAGTGAGCGAACGAAATCATATCTAACATTATACCCAGAAAGCAGTATTGCTCACCAGTTCAAAGCAGATTGAATGGCAGCATTGTTCCGAAGCCTGAGGCCTTGTTTCGACTGCAACTCTCCATTGTAGAATCTAACCACGGGCACTGTGGAACTCGTGCATGATGTTCCTCAATGCAACAAGACTTTTCTCTGAATGCACAATGCAGGAAAACCAGGCCAATGGAGAAGGAAGAAGGCAGGAAAAATATATTCCGTTGATATTGTAAGTATTATTTCTCGCTGAAGAAGCGCAGTGCTCTGACACTCGAACCAACGACAGGATAGAGCGCCAGAGCTCACCTGAGTATCTCAAGGTCGTATTGGACCCGGAGTATCAAGCTCGCATCATTTATTGGTAGGAACGAGCAAGCTTCAACGCTTACCAACAGCAGACACTGTCTTCTCTTGAATTGCTCGAGCGAGCATCGAGGATGCGCGATGGAACTGCTCGAGATGTGAATATGCCGTCGCACCCACCGCTATCACATGGTCATGTTATGAGCAGGTCATTGATAACTGGACATCTGGCGAGTCAAGTCCTGATAGTATCAACGATCGAGCTGATTGCGTCTCTGCTTAGAGCATATATTCCTGCTACGACGCCGAGGGTGGCGGAGGAGTTCAGAGTCTATCCTCAGCTTCCTCCTCATCCCCAGGCCTGAGCGCCTTCGATAATGAAACCAAACGTCGTGCAGCATTGTTGCGAGAACAGCGAGACAAATGCTATTGGCTGGAAGAGTTCACCCCAGTGGGCATGACGGTGAACTGGTCATCGAGATGGTGGTACGGGTCAGAAACGTTGGATCCCAGCACTGTCTTTGCCAATCGTTCGATTCTCATCCGATTTGCTGGGACAGCGACAGCGTCACATGATCGTTCCCCTCCAGCGAATCACATGCAGTTCACTACTGCCATGTGTCGGCGCGCCTGAAATGCCTCTCACAGTGCAATGATTGATAGAATTTATGCCATACACTGATCTTGATACACTGTGGCGTAGAGCAGACTATAAGATGGTCATACCCTCAGGTCCTTGAGACGCTTTCGTGGAATCAGCTTGGGGCGGCACGTAATAAACATAACACAGTGAGACGCTTTTGTGGAATCAGTACACAACACATATGAGCAGGAGAGGCCGATTGTTCGGCAACGCGGCTGGCTTGGTAATCTGGGGGCTCCGATATTCCAGCTACCGACACAGCATCGGACAAAAGAGACTGGATCAATTATCGCACAGGACAAAAACACATGCCCCGTCACAACATGTACGCAGAAGAAAAGAGGGGAATGTCTCACGAGACCCGCGCCGCCACACCTGACGCAAGATGCTCGTCCGCAATACGGGCTTCACGCCGTCATGCTCATCCCATCACTATTAGAGAATGCGTCTCAGTTCACAGCTCGCGCAACCCGTACGTTGTGCTTGAATCCTTAGGCGAACCGCTCGCTTGTGCGGAAACCGGAGATGCAACATCCGTAGACGCGATGGCTGTCTGTGGCATGAATGGGACAGCAGTGCGGCGGGGCTTCCTCGACGGATGCGTCCAGCTTTGCTGAACCTCGCGATACCACTCCGAACGCTCCGACGGGGCCGTAGGATTGGATGCCGCCTCCACCGGCTGTGACAGATCGGACCAATTCTTCCTCGAGAAGAAGACCTTTGTCGGCCGCGGGCGGTCCACACGCTCTTCGCACGTAGCAAAGACCTCTACGCCTGCCGCAGTCATGACATCCGCCATTTCGGGATCGCAGGCAGGGTAGCCTGAGAGCCGACTAACTGTCAGAACGACGCGAACAAATGGACAATGAGTGAGCGCTGCGCACCGCGATACGTCGGGTGCTCTCCTAACCCCTGCATGCACGACCATAAGGCGCGCGGCCAGCCGGCCCATTGCGCGGTGTCGTCGGAATCCACGATGGATGCCTGCGCAAAGCCATGAAGTGTGTGGGCCGGTAGTAGCAAGATCTTACTCACTTCCTGCATCATGCATTCTTCTGCGGCATTAGGAGGGACCATCAGAATATTGCAGAAAAAAATATCACTCTAGAATAGACATCAGTACAACGTGGCATCGCGGCCACATGAGAGCGACTCACATCCATGAAGGGTGGCCCCTTGACGCCCCATTCTGGGCCTCTGTTCTCCGGCGCTGTCAATCGCCACATGACAATAAACTTGTTGAGTATTCTGCGACCTTTCACCCTCTCTTCCGCCTCAAGATCATTGAGACTCTACCACGGCGTCCATGAGTGCATACGTACAGAGTAAAAAGTAAAACGGCCTGAGACGCACAGTAATAGCTTGATCTAAACCTTTGTCCACAGGTGTAGCATGATCGCTCTGAGTCGCGAATTGCACAATCCTCTCCACGACCTGCAACCAACAATGAGGCGGATTACGAGCACAAAGGACCATCACTTACTCGGGCATCGGGATAGACTTTCTGAAGGCGGGACTTTAGAATGGCTTGACAGTCCTTCCTGAGGGAGTCTGTGGAGGGATCCTGGCACAAATGCACTATGAGGTGCTCGACGACGAGCTGAGACGTACTCGTCATTTCGGTATGACAAAGAAGGAGGCAAGAGGAAGGGTCGGGAGGTTGGAGTCAAAGGGAAGAGAGCGACGATGGTCATATAATAAGGCGGGGATCTGACACAACAAACTGTGGCGACATTGTTCCGCTTGGGCCCTTTGACCATGCCACGCACACGTCTCCTTCCTTCCGTCACTACTTCATCTGACATACCTTCAATAAGAATCGTACAATGCATAATATGGCTTCAAAGACGTCAGAAGATCAGAGAAGGCGACGACCACCGAGGATGCCACGCGCAAGTGCGGGGATGTAGCGTTGAGCCCTGACCGTCGAAACGACGCGCCTGTGTGCATTGTATTCCAGCACACTTGGCCCTCGCAGTATCGTGCAAATGACGTTATGACAATTCATGAGGGCATGAACAACGTGATTCAAAGAGGGGCATACAGACACGGTGCCTATGGTCCTAGTAACCAGGTCGTGCATACGACCAAGGCATCTTTTTGCCTCTCGATGTGTCCCCAGAGACCAAGGAGATGAGAGCAATCAAATCAAGGTCAGTCCGTCGCGATGGTCGAGCCTGGCTTTCAACGTTGATATTTTCAAGCTTTCGAGATATTACAGACAAACAGAGGTCGTAAATGCAGTGAAAACGGTGTCCAAAAGCCTCTCTATGCTGGATCGCGCGAGTGAGACCTACTAAAAGGACTAGGAGTCGCGTCGAAGTCGCGCTCTTTGGCTCTTCAACTTGAGGCGTCTATCTCGCGAGTGTCTTGTCACATGATTAGCCTTTTGTAGCACGTGTCGACGCGTTCAATTGTGCAGTCGCTTGCACAGTTGCCCGCGCCCTATGTGGCGCTCATGCCCATGCGGCCACAAGACTTGCGTCGGCACTCACCTTTACTTATACCAATGGAGAGAATCTGAGCGTAGTACGCAGGCACAGAGGCTATCACTACCCTGAACAACGAGAAAGCTGCCGTGATCTAAAGACGATGTTTGTGACAACGCATGAAATCCACGCCGAGGTCTTCAGCTAGAATGATCCTACATTCTTCACCATGATCCCAATCCTTCAGGAAGATCAATGGAAGACCGTATCGGAGCCCCGGTAGGCTCTCGTACGTACCGTGGGACTGATAAGGTTGAGTCTATATACATTCCCTGATCCTGCAGTATCCCTGAACGATGGTCTCCGCTCATTCGTACATATGCATTGTATCACACCCCCATGAAGGAGCAAATGGATCCCAATCTACGACCATATCGCTTTGGCTCTCACAGATGTCATCATGTGTACAGTCGAGGGTCATCTGATACGAAGATGTCTTCTATCTACAGCTCCAGAGTCTATCCCTGCCAGATACGAATGAGGCGTATCGTATATATAGTATCTTCGCCCAAGTGATTTGGCCCGCCATGGCAGAGCGCACAGACAACTTGCTCGATCGTCTGTTCCCCCTTCCCTCAGCCGCCCCTTCCCCGCTCTGTCCAGGACGGTTTCCGGGCATCACACATGCATCCAAAGTCGCTGTGACCGAGGTTTTGAAGGCGAACCATTTGGAGCGACACTCCTTCACTAACGAGCATGGATTTCACAAGTACGTCTCTCCACCGTCTGCTTGTCAGCGCTAGCTCACACCTCGGTGGCAGCCATGCATCTCACCACTTACTGGCCGCGTTTGCCTTGGGTGCACCTGCGCGCGTCTTCAGTGCCATCTATGAGGTTCAAATGGGGCGGACACGTCCGGCGTCGAAGATCTCGAAGAGCATTACAAGGGAGACTTTCTGGTATCACATTGGAGACAGAACGTAAGCCATCGCGGATTCAGGAGCCATGTCTTCCTGACTGTAGTTTGCCAGCTTCTACGAGGGATACCTGCTGTACTTCAGCGACGTCGTCCTCAAGGACGGAGCCGCTTCGGCTATTGAGGAGTACATATTCGCCAAGTCAGCCAACTTTCATGACACGGCCAAAGTTCCAAGGAGGATGATGAACAGGCACTTTGCGATGCTGTACCACCCCATGATCTATCTTGCATATGGGCTGGAGTTTGGCATTCCTGGACTTGTCGCGGAGGGTGAGTGATACGAGCATGCCCTGCAGGTCATTCCTGACTCTGCATTGATATCAGGTCTGGCCCAAACGGCAGTTCATCCTCTTCAAATGCCTGGTCTCATCTCACCATCTGACTACGAGGGGCAGGACACAGCGACAGATAGGACGCCAACCGCATCTGCGGTG